GACAGAAGGAACCAGTGTGGATGTGTGCTCTCATACGTACATCTTAACACGCTCTCGGGTTTTCTTCCAGAAGAGAGTGCCGGGAGCAGAGTGGAGTTTCCAGTGTGTACCTCAGAGTGATGGTGCCCAAGCCTTCGTCCCCCGAACCCCCCCTGCCTGCACGCTCACCTGCTTGCTCACTGGGCCCTGCTGAGGTCGGGGTGGCCACCTCCAGGCCCATCCCGGGGTCTCTGTCCCCCTCCCATCTCCCTGGGGGCTCTGTAATTCAGGTCTCTAGGGCTCTCCTGGGCAGTTCATCCCTGAAGCTGTGGCCCAGGAGCTACAGCCCGGGCGAGGCCTGCCCAGAAGCCCGCAGCAGAGCCCTCCTCCCCAGATCCACAAGCGCGCTCAGGAGCCCGCTTCCCCTTCCTTGGAGGCAGGGCATTTCCTTGGTGACCTGCGTCTCTGCATAGACAGAGCTCTCCTGGGAGCCACTCTGGCCTCTCCCTCAGTGCCTGGGCTGGGGCCTGGTTGGCCCGGGGTGAAGCGGGGACAGCCAGGCCCAGCTGTGCACAGCGAGGGCGGACGGCCCCCTCCACTCTGCTTCCACGGAGTCAGCTCCCGAGGGCTTGCGCCTGTTTGTGTTTATGTGTGCAGGGGGTGGAAGGCTCAGAGAGAGGGACACGGGAGCGGGGGAGGGGGCGGAGCAAGGACCCCCTTTCCTGGGAGATGGCCAGCCTGCCTGCCTCAGCTCAGCGCACCCCCAGACTCAGGTTTCTCTGTTCCAAGCCGACAAAGCACGCGCCGTCTTGGTGCTGCCTGCTCTGCCAAGCGGAGGACGATCTGCCTTCTGTGTCCCTGGCGCCTGAGACCCGAGCCGTCCTCGGGTCCCTGACCACTGCGCCTTGACACCCTGACCCAGCGCCTGGCCGCGTCAAGGTCTGCATGGCTGCGTGATCCTGAGTCCCCACACCCATGGGCCGAAAGGACGTCCTGAAGAATGGTTAGCTACCCAAGGGCACGTCCACTCCCTCCCTTCCGATGATGGGAAAAGAGTGTTTGCGGGACACAAGTGTTCTCTTCAGTCAGCTTTTGCCCCTCCAGCGAAAATTAGCTAAGAGCAGAAGAAGCAGTGAGTAAATGGCCGTGCGTCCTCGCCCCTCCTAGAGAGTGTACAAAGCGATTATTTTATGTGTAAATCAAGACCCGCATCCCTGTCCTGGTCCCCAGAATCAAAAGGCCCCCTGGGCCCGCCTTGCAGACAAATGGGCTCCACGTTCAGTAGCCCCTCCAACCACACTTCCGCCCTCCCCGCTCTCGAAAGTGAGAGAATCAGAGTTGGGTGGGACTTTCCTGGAGCCCCCAGAGATTCTCTGCATCTTTCCTGCTGGGGGAACGGAGGTCTCGGAAGGGGGCAGGGCCCTGTACCCACCTGCTGACGTGCAGTCTGGTAGAGAAATAAAGGTTGAGTGTCTGGGGCAACAAGGGCCATCAGCGTGTTTCCTGGAGAGCGGTCCCCCCTCTGCCCCCTCGGTGTCTCCCTGGGGGCTCCCACCACCTGTGCCCCCTCTGCCAGGAGCAGTGAGTGAAGGTCTGGGGCTCCGATGCCAGCCGGAGGGAGATCTCATCCTCAGACAGGGGGCGGGGAGCCACACCCCCATAGCAGAGGCCTGACTGCCTTCTCACGTGTACAGCACTTGAAAGTTTGTGCATGTGATCAAAGCCCTTTACACACGATTCACAGGGAGATGAGGCTGGGAGGGGCCCGTGACTCCCAGGGGCAGGGCTGGGTCTGAAGCCTGAATATCAAGGGTCACTTGCTCCCCACAGAGGGGTCCCCGGCCCTGGCTGTTCCAGGGGTCCTGCGTCTCCCTGAGGTACCACCCGTCTCTTGTCCTTCCCAGCCCAGCTCAAATGCACCTCCCCGAGGCTTCCTGAGGCTCACACTGTCCCGGGACCTCGTGAGGCTGCTTGACATTAACTCCTGACTCGCCCAGGTGACCCTGCCCTCCAAAAGTGGGACCTCTGGGAAGGGAAGAGCCGTGTTCCCCTGCCTCCCTCATTTCCTCCTCTGAAAGGAGGACTCACTGCCCTTGGAAGGGGACTCAGGCCCTGCCCACAGGGCCAGAGGCAGGAACAACTGTATAATTTGTGGGGCTCAGTGCAAAATGAAAATGGGGAGCCTCTTGTTCAAAAATTAAGAATTTCTTAACAGTGGCAGCAGAGCAATACACCAAGTGCGGGGCCCTTCTGAGCACAGGGCCCCGTGTAATGCAAGGATGCCATGTCCAGGAAGCAGGCCGTGACCAGAGGAGACAGGCAGGACCCACCCTTCGGAGCTCCCAGGCTTTATTTAGGAGACAGGATTTGACACACAGCACACAGCAGAAGCCGGGGATGGGCAGAAGGATTCCCTCTTGAACAAAATCCATCTCAGATCACAAAGCCTTTTGTCTCCGGGTCCTCAACCAGCTCCATGAGATGGGCCCGGCAGGGCGTAGGGCTCCGTCTTACAGATAAAGAGCCTGAGGCCCTCTGAAAGTCTGACCATCAAGCTGGCCCTCATCCTGACGGACAGGCAGCGAGCGGCGCTAAGATGGGCCTGGGGTGCTTACATAGGAGGCAGGCGGGCTCCAGCGCTCCTGGCAGCCTCTGGGGCACGTGGCCAGGCCTGCTTTGCCTCCATCCCCACCCAGCCCTGCCCAAGTCCGGCCTTGTCCAGCCCACAGGACATGGAGCCCGATGGGCCAAGGTAAACAGAGGTTTCCTACCTCACGGCCACTGACCCAGGAGGGAATTCCGGGGAAAGCCCCGGCACACTTCGCACTGGCTCGGGGATGGCAGTGACCAAAATGCCCATGGCCTCCCCCACCCCCTCCAGAGGCCAGGATTTTGTGGTCCTACGGACCCCCACACTGCACCCCTCCCAGGAGGGATGGATGCCCATTGGGGCTGCACTGGGAGAAGTGGAAGGGCAAAAACAGGAAAAGAAGATGTGTCCACGCAAAGACCTGAACCTAAGTGTCCACAGCAGCTTTATTCATTGTAGCCCCAAACTGAAAACAGCCCAAATGGCCATCAACAGGGGCAGGATAAACAAACTGGCACGTCCATACAGCAGAATACTCCTCAGTAATAGAAAACAACGTACCCATATATGCAACAGAATGCATGATGCTTAAAACCCTCGTGTGAGGAAAGGAAGCCGGAACCAAAAAGAGCCCATACTGAGCGACTCCACCTCCAAGAAGTTCTAGAAAAGGCAAAACAAAGCTGTAGCAACAGAGCAGATCCATGATTGCCGGGGGCTGGGGGTTGGGGAAGACGGACAGCAAAGGGGCAGGAGGGAACGTTCAAGCGTGAGGGATTGGGGAGGGGAGGGGAGTTCCATGCATTTGTCAAGACTCATCAAACTGTGTGCCTAAAATTGGTACATTTTATTGCATGTAAATTATACCTTAGTGCGGTTTGATTTAGAAGAAAGAGAAAAGAGGTGGGAGCCAGAGGAGGTGGCGGGCACGCGGCTGCTGTAGGTGTAGCGGCTTCAGCGTCGGCAGGGGGCGGGCCTCCAGGTGTGTGCGCAGTGTTTGTGGGGCAGTGGCCCAGGCCAGCCCCCAAGAGTCCCCACATTACAGGGGAAGGAAGAGGCTGAGAACCAAGGGGAGATGGCCCAAAAGTATGGAGGAGAACCAGGGGGTCGTGATGCCTCAGACACTCGGGCAGAGGGGCTCCAGCCGGATGGAGGCCCTTAGTAGGGGATGGAAGAGGCCAGAGAAGCCATGCAAGATCTGGGCAGTGAGGAGAAGCCAGCCTGGGGACCCCCGTAGTGGCCTCCCCGTGGATGCCTGCCCTCCCCTAGACAGTCCAGTTAGGCCGGCCCAGGGCCCTGTTCCACAGCGTCTGAGAGGCTGTGTGAACACTGAGGCTGGACCAGCTGGTGTGGGAGCTTGGACCGAGCTCCTCTCCGGGCAGAGGCGTGGCCCCTGCAACCTTGGGACCCTGAGTGGCCAAGGAGACCCACTGGAGCCTGTGCCGACCTCCTTGAGGGCCCGGGCTGGCCTCCAGGATAGGCACACAGGCCTCCTCCACCCTCACAGAGTGGCTAAATTTAGCCAGGCAGGGGAGGTAATCTTGGGGCCAAGCTTGGCAGCACTGCCTTGCCTCCCTACAAGGCCCGGCCCAGTACCCGCTCAGGCCATCCGGCCTTTGGGCTTATAAGGCAGGTCTGGCGGCTCTGAAGGTCTGGAGTCTTAGGGTGGGCTCTGGGCCAAGATCTCAGACTTTGGGGAGCTTCCTTCCCGGCCACCAGCAGATACGGGAGCTAATCGTTGTGTGACCTTGGGCAAGGCCCTTAACTTCCAGATCCTCAGTGTCTTTATCTGCAAAATGACAATTCTTGAGCCTCCATCACGGGGCTGCTGTAAAGAAAAGCCTGCAGAATTCTAGGTTTCCTTCACTTCCCAAAATGCCTGGAACAAACACGGATATCTGCCCCTGGGGATGCTGAAGTGGGGGCCAAGGGCGGGAAAGCACAGGCCTCAATGGAAAGATGCACTTTAGAACCAGTGAGAGGGACATCGACCCTAACAGCTGCCTGTCTTACTCTCGCAGAGTGATTCACGAGAAAAGGAATTTGGGGAAAGAAATGTAATTGCTTTTATTTCTTTTTGTTTTGGGCACATTTTTGGTTATGATAACATCCCCAAATGAGACTCTTCCAGGGCATCCTGTTTTCTGAGTGTCAGGGTCAGAACCGAGGCTGTAACAGGAGCACGTGTGTGTGCTCCAAGCAAGTCTGTCTGTCCATTGGTCCATCTGTCTGTCAGCCAGCCTAGCTCCTTGGAGGAGGAAGAGGAGGAGGAGGTGGGGGAGAAGGAGAACATGGTGACAGAGTGAAGGGCACAGACACAGACTGGAGAAGGACTGCCTGGCTTCCCTCCTTCCTCCCTCTCTCCCTCCTTCCCTTCCTCCTCCCTTCCTTTCCCCCTCCCCTTCCCCCCTACCCCAATTTAGTGCCTGCTGCCCTCCCAAGTGTGGTGTGCTGTCCTGAGAAGTGTGGATGGAGTGGGAACACAGAGATGGCCCAGACACGGTGTCAGCATCCACCTCACCCCCACTGCAAACAGTTCATGTCCAGCGCCTGCTATTCCAAGGGCCATGAGGTCAGCTGGGAAGAGGACAGGCCCGTTTGTCTGAGGTCAAGACCAGGCCAAGGGGATGTGGCTACCTCCGCTCTGCCTCCCAGCATCTCTGGATTTTCCTTAGAAAAGCCAGGGCGTGGTACTCACCAGCCCCTCCTGAAGGCAGCATCCCTGGACAGACCCTTGAGCCTGAGATTAGCGGGAACTCTGTGTTGGGTGAGGCTGATCTGTTTGATGGGGGGATTGAGCTAGGGTGCTGGAGGGGCCCTCTGTGGGGACCCCTTGCTGTCTAGAAGGCAGCTCTACTCAGACAGGAGGCTGGGATTCCCAGCCCTGAGTCCTGGCTCCTTGCCCAGAGTGATTTCCCAGCTAAAGGCCTGCCAGGAAGAAGACTCCCATCAGCCTTCAGGGTGGGGCAGCCTGGACGGGGCGGACGGGGTGTGGGGGAGCCCCGAGGACACCCAGCCTGGGTGGAGGGAGGGCCAGGGAGACCTTCCTGCTTCAAGCGGGGGCTTCCTGTACCGTGCAGGGTGAGCTTGGGCAATTCATTTCTCCTCTCTGAGCTCTAGTTTCCTCACCTGCAAAATGAGAGGGAGGTTGGGAGTTAGCCTCCAGCTCTGATGCTCGGAGAGTTAACACAGGACCTGCCCCAGCCCAGCCCCCAGGGCCCCGGCTTTCAGGGCCTGGGTTGGGGTTGAGCGCAGGGTCTGCAGGAGTGGCCTCAATTTCTCTGTCCTCAGTGTTGTCAGGACCCATCCCCTGGCCTCTACCTATGAGGAAAGTCCCATTATTGCCCCATTTCACGGATGAGGAAGCAGGCTCAGGGAGGTGAGGCAAGGTACCCAGGCCCCCACAGCAAGCAGCACAGCCAGAGGTGTTCACTGAGGCGGTCTGATGTCAGGCTTCCCCTGCTGGGCTCTGGGAGCCCCACAGTGATGTGTGACAGACGCGGCCCTCGCTTTGCCTGGGTTCCTGCGCCCTGTGCTGGTTTCAGGGTAGTGGAGGTGCGGCCAGAACAAGAGAGGTGGGGGGATGGAGATGCCAGCCCGACCCTGAGGTTGACTGGGCACGGGCCAGGCTCAGACCCAAAGGGATGGGTGGATGGAAGGTGGTCTATAAGGGCGGGGTGGGGGTCCTGCCACAGGTTCAGGAAGTGTCAGGCAGCTGGGCTGGAAGCAGCCCTCCTTCCTCTCTGCCCTCCTGGCTGTAGACTCCCAGGGACTGAGCTTTCCACCTGGGGGCCAAGGTAGGGTGGGGAGGATGTTTGGATACAAGATGGGTCCCTGGTTAGGGGAGGGCTCCAGCCTGAGGCTACTCCACCCAGGCCCTGGCCTGAGCCCCCAGCTCTGTTCTACCAAGCTCGTGGGGGGCAGACAGCTTTATCTTTGCCTTGTGACGGGTGGCCCATGGTTTCCTGCCAGCAGCTCCCGTTTCCGGAGGCCCAGCAGGGCCCAGGCGGAGCCAGGAGGGGCAGTGGGGCCGGGCCTGGGTGGCCCCCCTGGCCCCGCCCCCGCCTATCTTTGGGAATTTATTTGTCCACAGGCACAGCTGGTCCACAGTCCATTGCCTGCCAGGGGCCAAGAGCGGCTCTGACCACCCAAGGACTCTCCCTCCCAACTCAAGTGCTGACAACTGACCTCTGGCCTCACCTTTCCCACCCTACTCTTCCTAAGGGGCTGGGAAACCGCTAGAAACTTCGCTGTAGACTTGGGTGTTGACGCCTGGCTCACCCCAGGAGCCAAGGCCGTGCAGGGGGCTCGGTTCTCAGCCCCCAGCTGGGCCACCATGGCGCGGCGGCTCCAGGACGAGCTGGCCGCCTTCTTCTTTGAGTATGACACTCCCCGAATGGTGCTTGTGCGCAACAAGAAGGTGGGCGTCATCTTCCGCCTGATCCAGCTCGTGGTTCTGGTCTACGTCATTGGGTGAGTCTGGACGCCCTCCCTGCTGCCCTCCTGCACCAACCCCCAACCCAGGCCTGTCCTCCAGGCTCTGTGATGCTTCCCATGACCCCAAAGAGCCCCTCTTTCTCTCCATGGCCTGTCATGCTTCCTGACAAACCTTTCTGGTGCCATTCAGAAGGAAGGGAAGCCTGCTAACCCGCTGCCTAGATGGGGACACTGGGACGAGGGGCAGCCCTGCCTCTGGTCATGTGGTGAACAAGAGGCAAAGCCTCTGGGCTCTGAGGAACTGACCCACTGCTAATGGTTCCCTCAAGGGGTGGGGGGCATCAGAGGCCAGGGCCCCAGCCAGCCCCAGCCAGAGCCCTTCCACTTCTGACCTCCCAGCCAAGCCACGCAGCTCCTGAGAGATGGAGGCCGCACCCCACTTTACAGGCCAGAGTGGGACGGGCCCTGCTCTCACCTGCCCTGCCTAAAGTAAAGGCATCCTGGTCTATTCCAGAACCTGAGCAGAGAAACCTTCAAATTCAGAACACCTGGTGCCTTAATGGTGGCATGTCACGCAGAGGTGGGAGGTCCATTCTGGTCCCGGGGAAGACAGCTCCTTTCTGGGCATCGTGGGGCCTGTCCCACCGCCCCAGGGGTGCAGGGGCAGAAGTAGGTGGGACTCCCCTGTGGGCTGCTGTTCTGGGAGCCACGCAAAGGCCATCTTCCTGAAATCGGTCTGGCTGTCTGGGCAGGTGCTTATGTGATCACACGTGTGTGTGGTGTGTGGATGCATATGCGTCGTACCCAGGGCTCTGTGTGGGGTGCACGTGCCCTCGTGTGTCTGGGCACGAGCCTATCGGGTGTGGCTGCTGGGGGTGCCCCTGGGGCTGGGCGCCCCTGTGTCAGGGACACTATGTCCACTTACAGTGACTCCACAGAGGGCTCCTGGAGGCCTCAAGGCCACTGAAGGGGGTTCAGCCCCCGCTGGGGGGTCTGGGGCACCCAGAAGCCCTGCCCCTCTGGTCTCCGTGTCCCCGTTTTTGCTGTGAGACCAAACTAGGGCGGGCTGACCAGGAGGCCAGTGACCACCTGGTCCCCCCAGGGCCTCTGACATCCAAAACAACCTTCCCTCTGCCCCCCACCCCCCACCCCGAGGCCCCAGAGCTGGTTGGGTGGAGCCAGGGCTACGACCCAGCCCTCCGATACCTTTCGGACTCTGCCTCCTTACTGTTCACAAACCAGTTTGATATGTGCGGTGTAATTGAGCTTGTGAGGGAAAGAGACCCAGAGGGGAGCAGTGGGGTTTCCAGGTCACACAGCAAGTCAGCGTCCAGGCCCAGTTAGAACTGGGGCCTCCTGATCCCCAGCCTTAACTCTGCCTTCTCTTCCCCTCCTCACAAGGGCTCTGAGAACACTTCTAATGGGACCCCGATGTGTTTCCACCATTAGCCACACTCCTGACCCTCCAGCGGGGAGAGAGCTTGCCCACAGGCCCAGCGCATCGCTCCCACCAAGAGGCTGGGAGAACGTTGTCCTCACCGTGGCCCCCATGGTTCCACATCTCTGCTTTCGGGTCAGCACTGCCAGACCTCCTTTTGTGTGTTGGTGACAGACAGAGGGAAAGGCACAGTCCTCCCACCCCACCCCCAGCTGCAGCAGATGCCCCAAGCCACCATCCAGTCCTGAACACATGCCTCCAGTGACGGGGACCTCACTACCTGCCTCCTTCCCTTCCTCTCTCCCAAGACAGTGCGCTCAGTTTCCAAATGGATGTGGCCTCCTCAGTGTCGGTGAGACTCAGAGACACTGAATGATTTAGCCTGGTTCTCACAGCTAGAAAAAGGCTGAACCAGGATTTGAATCCAGCTGTGTGACTCCAAAGTTGGTCTTGATATCCTGGAAAGGAAACATGCTCAGAGAGGGGCACTGACCTGCCCCAGTCACAGAGCAGAGGGAGGCAGGCAGAGTCCCTGGAAACACCCACCAACCCCCAGACTCCAGCTGGGGCTGCCACTCCTGCTGTCTCTGGTGCCCTCGTCTGGCCACTGCCCACTGCTGCACTGACCGCTCAGCTAGGCACCCGCAACTGCTGACCAAACCCAGCCTGCACTTGGTCTTACAATTTCAGACCTCAGTTTCCCAGCTGTTCCACGGAGCAGGGGTTAGGGGACCCCCTCCAAAGACATTGTCTGCAGGCTCAATAATTTGCCCTTTTCTGAGGAGGGATGGCCTTCCTTTAATTGCCCCCCCTTCCCAAGTGCCCTGTCTGTCAGACTCTCTGGTCCTGTGGGCACTGCAGGGGCACAGAGGGGAGCATAGAAGAGCCAGACACCCCAACCCCAGAGACAGAGAGATAGTCCAGATGGGGGGTGGGCAGACACAGAGACAGAACTGGACAGAGGGACAGACATTGGAACACAACACTCAGATGAAGAGAGAGGCCCTGAGGCTCAGATATGGAGAGGGAATTATTGAGACAGAGGCAGAGAGGCTGAGATGCTGAGAACTCGAACAGACTCCGAGGAGGGAAACTGAGGCTGTTTTCTCTGTCAGTCACAATCCTCCGGGAAGTTGAGGGCAAGTGGAGGGAGCGGACCTGAGGCCCTGGCGGCCTGAGCTAAGATGTCACTCTTTTTATCTCAAATTGGGATGGTTTAATTTGCCGTTAGAGCTGTCTCCTGGGAGGTGATGAGCTCTCTGTAACTGGAGGTGTGCAGGCAGTGGGCTGTCATCCATGACCTCACAGGCCCATACAAGAGGTGTGTTGGGATATGTCCCTGTCTGGGGGGCTCTGGCTGCACACACAGGAGGGTCTCAAGGGGATTTATGAATGCCGCTTGGGGAGGGGAGCCTGGGAAGACTTCCTGGAGGAGGTGGCACAGTGGTGGAACCAGCCTTGAGCAAAGGCCTGGAGGCTCTAGTCCAGGCAGTCCTGCTCTTGGCTTTCCCTCAGGCCTCCTGTGCGCCCCTACGCAGAGCTCATGAAATCACATGCCTCTGATCTTGGAGTGCACCAATCAGAGATAAGGAGAGATACAAATTATTGCTGGGAGAGACACATCCAGGGACACTTCCATAGCATCTTCTCTGTGCCTAGGCCTGTGTCAGGTTCCCTGGGACAGAGGTGGGGTACAGGGTGGGCAGGGGGAGAGAGAGAAGCTGAGGATGAATTAGCTGGAACTTCTTGGTTCCTAGGGACTGAAACCCAATCAAAATGGATTAACAAGGGAGGATGAGGGTATTAACTGGTTTGTGTAACTGAAAAATCAGTGTGGGCTTCAGGCCTGGCTGGATCCTCCCTGATGAGGGTGCAGGAGCATGTTCTATGGGAAGATGAGGAATTCAGGTTGGTCCCATTGGGTTCTCCAAGGAAGCTAGCCAGGATCTTCTCAGCTCTGCTTTCCTCTGTGGAGGCCTCATTCTCAGGCAGGCTCTCTGCCCTCAGAGTGGAAAAATGGCCACCAGCAGCCCTGGGGCACAAAAGCGTCTTCTCCTCCAGAGTTCCAGCAAAAGTCCCGGGTCCAGCTCTTATCGGCTATGGTTGGGTCATGTGCCCATCCCAGAACCAGTTGTTGTGGCCAAGGAAAGGGAATGTCCTGACTGGTGGAGCCTGGTTGGGTACCCACCTCGCTCCAGGCGCTTCTGCTGGAAAGCAGAGTGTGATCGAAGGTCCTGGGGCAGGGAAGGGACACCCAAAGAGTCACTAGGGCTAGGCTGAGGGAGCATGAATAGAGACAGGGAGAGGAAGTGGAGGAGTGAGCAGGGCCACTGGCTCAGGCCTCTCAATGCTGAGTTGAGGGATATGGGCTTTCTCCTGCAGGTGGTGAGGAGCCATGGAAGGGTGTCTAACAGGGGAAGGCCCAGAGCAGGCAGGTGCTGCCGTAGGGGGTGGAGGCCAGAGGCAGGACAGTTGTGAAGAGGCAGCAGTGATAAGAGGTGAGGGTGAGGCCAAGGCAGAAGCAGCGAGCATGGAAGACAGGTCATCATCCCAGTGGGCCCCGCACTGGGGGTGGCCACAGCTCAGCTTCTACCCACCGTTGCCGCATCAGGACATGTGCCCAGCATGGCCAGAGTTCCTGACTTCTCAAGAGCAGTGGGAAATTGGAAATTATGGGTGAAAGGAACATCTCTTGGTGTTTAGAGGTTGGTGATTCAGTCAAAACACTTAAAGACATAAATCGTCAGCCTGACTTGTCTGCAGACTGCATGTTGATGAACCTCTGAGCCCCGGTGTGGGCCCAGCTCTGAACTCAGTCCCCCCTGGGCCCGGAGCCTGGTCTTGCCTCTCTCCAAGGATGCTCTGCCCAATAGCACGTGGCCCAAGGCTATACCCTGTATCACCAGCCACATGACCTGTCCTCCCTGCCACAGGCCAGAGCTGCCCCCGCATCTGCCCCAGCTCCTCTTGTGTCTCAGCCTCCCCACAAGAAGCCCTCTGGGTTCTTTGATGAAAGCCAAGGGGAGATGGGAAGGATGGAGGGATGCAAAGAATGGGGGCATGAGAGGGAGGGTGCCATGTCCAGGCTGTGAGCCTGGGGGTTGGGGCAAGTATGGCACCGTCCTTCAGGATGAGGGCACCAGAGAAGCGAGTTCTGTGGGAAGGTGAGGCATTCAGTTTGGTCCGGTTGAATTTTTGTTTTGAGATAGATTTCACAAGTCATAACATTCACCCTTTTAAAGTACACAAGTTGGTGGATTTTAGTGTAATCACAAAGTTGTGCCACCATCACCACTATCTAATTCCAGAACGTTTGCACTATCCCAAAAGGAGCCTCGCACCCCTTAGCAGCCACTCCCCGTTGCGCCTCCCTACCCCTTGCTCTGCCTATTTTGGACGTTTCATAAAGATCAAATCGTACAATATGTGGCCTTTTTGTGTCTGGCTTCTGTCACTTAGCACCATGTTTGCAAGGTTCGTCCACGTTGGTTGTAACATGTTTCAGTTTTCAGTCCTTTTAATGGCTGAATAATATTCCACTGTATGGAAATTCCACACTTAGCTGGGCATTTGGGTTGTTTCCACTTTTTGCTTGTGAATAATGTTGTGAACATTTGTGTATAAGTTTCTGTGTGGACATGTTTTCCGTTCTCTTGGGTATTCGGCTCTAGGAGTGGAGTTGCTGGGTCAAATGGTAATTCCATGTTTAACTTTCTGAGGAACTTCCAGACTGTTTTCCAAAGGGTCAAGTTAAGTTGGAGGTACCTATGAGATGTCTGGGAGGGGGGTGGGAGGGTAGGCAGGGCAGGGGGGAAGAATCTGTGTCACCAAACAGTTGGAGATTCAACATTTGCATAAGTTCTTTTTTTTTAAAATGTTTATTTATTTGGCTGCACCGCGTCTTAGTTGCGGCATGCAGGATCTTCGCTGGCATGTGGGATCTAGTTCCCTGACCAGGGATCAAATCTGGGCCCCCTGCATTGGGAGCACGGAGCCTTAACCACTGGACCACTAGGGAAGCCCCTATATAAGTTCTTTGAGTGCAGAATTTTGGTTTGTTTTTCCTTGGCACATAATAGGGGTCCCATAAATAAATATCTGTTGAATGACTGAATGTGTGGAACTGAATCTCGGAGGAGAGCGCAGAAGTGGAGATAAAAAATCGGGGACAAAGTGTGCCCGCAACAGCACACACAAGGTTCTGCCTGGGCTGAGAATGGAAGCCAGAGGATGGGGACAGATCGACATTTAAGGAGGAATTGGTGAAGGAGGACCAGAGACTGTAAATAAATAGGATTATTTTATCATGTGCTTGCTGCATGCCAAGCACTGTGTTAATTTCCTTAAAAAGAGCTCATGGGAACGTCCTCCACACCATCACCTAGACTCTTTTTCTTCCTGGAGCCCAGCCCACGGCTCAGTGAGGGGTAGGGCCTTGCTTGTAAATATCTGTGGAACGATCAGCATCTTTGAGGTAGTTGCCTTCACCTCCCTTTACTGAGACATCTAGTGCTCAGAGAGGGTTAGTCTTTAGCCTGAAGCCACACAGCTGGTGAGTGGCGGTGCTGGTGTGTGAACCTCGGCCTCTGTGACTCCAGAGGCCGCACTCTCAGCCACTCCACCATGTGGCCTCTTCCACAAGGGGCTGTTGAAGAAGAGAGACTACTGAGGACGAGGAGGAGAGAATGGAAAAGAGAATTTCTGGAAGGGGAGGGGCTTCTGAAGATGCCAGTGTCTTTGGCATCAGACCCCCTTGGTGGCCTTCCTGGGGTGTTGACCACAAGACCGGATCAAGGAGAGCATGGCTTTGGAGGGACAGGCCTGGCGCCATGGTCATTCTGGTATTATCAGAACCGAGGTCATTGATGTCAGATTTGGGCCACAGGACTGACAGCCCCTGGGAACGGACACAGCCTGGAATGGCTACATCAGTCCCAGGGCACAGCCTCCGTGTGGCTCCTGGCAGACACATTGATACCAGACTGCTCAGTGGAGGGGCCAGGGTCCTGGGCTGGGGAGCCTCAAGCCTGGGTCTGCCTCTGACTCAGGAGGGACACTCCCTCAGCCCTCAGTTTTTCTATCTATACGGTGAGGAGTTGGTTTTGAGCAAAGAGAGACATGCTGCTACTAGGATGTCAGGGATCGGGGGGGCCCAGGAGGCAGGCCGGTGACCTCTCTCTCCTGCAGTGTGTTCAGAATGTGGAGCAGCTCCCCAACATCCCCCTCAGTAGCAACTTCACACTTGGACATGGAGCCAGAGGCCTTCCTGGAGGAAGGAACCTAAGGAGACTGGGGGAATAGGTGATGCCCCACCCTCCCTGACGGGGCTGGAGGCAAGCAGGCAGGCTCAGGCTTTGTCATGCCTCACCTGTTGCCATCTGAGACCTGCAGGGGGCAGCAGTGACCATGCTTAAGCTTGGGAGGGGTTGTCTGGGCTCCAGCACCAGGCTTTGGGGGTCGAGGGGGCTTGGAGAAGGAGAGGAGTAGACTATAGGAGGGGAGAGGACGACATTGGTGGGCTGCCTTCCTGGAGCCTGGAGCAGGAAGACAGCCCCCAGAGAGCTAGTGGTGACTGGGAATAGGAGGCCTGGAGAACTCTGTCATGGGTCCTGAGCTCTGGGGGACAGAAGAAGGGCTCTGAGCTCTGCTTTGGACGGGTGGGCTAAAGGTAGGGTGAGGGGTGACAGGGGCAGAAACACACCTCCCCACAGTCAGCCACAGCCACAAGTGTGCTCACAGATTTGCCCTGGAGATACACAGCTACACACTCTGATGGATACCATGGACACACACACACACACACACACACACACACAGAGTTACAATGAATCGCCAAGATTCTTTCCTGAAGGAAAGGGACCACACCCTGGAGAGAAGTATTATCCACAACTCTCACTTGTAAGCTACGGAAACCAAACCCAAATTGGCTTAAATAAAGGAAAAGAATTTATTAACTTGTATAACTGAAAAGTCCAGAAGTGACTTTTCAACATGCTTCAGGTGTGGCAGGATCCAGGTGCTCAAGCAACATTGTCAGGAGTCTGCCCCTCTCCATCTACTGGCCTGGCTTTTCTCTAAGCTGGCTTCATTCTCAGGCTTGCTGTCTCCGTGAGGTAACACAGATGACTAACCATACCTTGCTTAGCCACCCAACAGAGAGGATCTTTCTTTCCCAGTAATTCCCAGAAAAATTCTGGCTGCGTTGCTGAAACTCCTCAGGGTTGTGTGCCCATCCTTAGACCCATTGCCGTTGCTAGGGCAATGGAACATTGATTGGCAAACCCTGGTCATATGCCCCCCACTGTGGGGCTAGGAGGGAGGTTGACCCCACTAAACCTCCCAGATTGGAAGTGGAGAACCCAGAGGAGCAGGGGTTCTTGATGCTGGGAGGGGAAGGCCAGAATTTCCTGAGAAAGCTGGGAGACCTCCAGCCTGACCCACATCCACAAGGGCCTCATCTGGGGCCAGATGCTGTGAGCCCTTCAAAGGGCCACTTGCCCCTCTGGTTTCCCTTCCAAGTCAGTCCCCCTCCCCAAGAGCTCCCAGCATGGCTGAGATAATAGTAGCTAATGTCTATACAGTGCTTAGCCCATGCCCGTTTCCATTCCAAGTGCTTTCACAGGCATTAACTCACAACATAAGTAGTATTGGTACTATTATTGTTTACATTTTACGAGGAAGCTGAAACAGAGAGGGATTTGCCCTAAACAGAGACTAGTTTACCCCAGCTCATACAGCCTGTGAGATTCAAGCCCAGACTCTCGGGCACCAAAGGCCAGGCTCTCGGCCATCATCATACTCTGCTGTGTCTCAGCGGGAAGAGCTCAGGAAGGAAGGAGATAGGGATGAAGACTGGAGTCCAAGCAGCTTGGCCTCCAACAAATGCTACTCTTGGAAAAGGCTCTGAAAGAGACCTTCAGGGGCTCTGCTCCCTGGCCAACCAGTAAGAGTATTTTCATAGTGAAAAGAATGGTAGAACCCCAGGCACAGGCCAGCAGGGGGAGCAGGTGAGGATTTCCAGCCTCCAGTCCAAGATGTAGCTTTAGGAATGGAGAGTGGCTCAGAGACGCGTCCGGGGAGGGGAAGGGAAAGGACTTGACACGTCCAGCTGGTGCCGGAAGGGGCGGTGGCCCACAGCCTCATGCCATCCTTGAATGGCTCCGGCCCACTCTGGCCCCTCTGCCCCCCAATCCCCCCGCAGGTGGGTGTTCGTCTATGAGAAGGGCTACCAGACCTCGAGTGGCCTGATCAGCAGCGTGTCTGTGAAGCTCAAGGGTCTGGCTGTGACGAAGCTCCCAAGCCTGGGCCCCCAGGTCTGGGATGTGGCTGACTACGTCTTCCCAGCCCAGGTGAGCAGACTCGGGGGTGCACCTTCCACCCACAGGGCTTGCTGGCTCAGAGCTGGGTTATTAGGCTCCATCCCACCTCCCTGTGGGACCAGCCTAGCTCCTCTCTGTCTCTGGGCCTCAGATTCCCTGTGAGTGAGGGGCGGAAGCAGCCTCATAACATCACCCCAGTCTGATGTCGTGGGTTATGGAGGCTGCTGGGTGTCCTGTGGGTTCTGGGGGCTTGCTAGGGCAGTGCTTGGGTTCTTGGGGCTCTTCTCCCAGCTCAGAGCCCTGCCCTCCCCTCCCCCTGCCTCTCACTTCCAGGGGGACAGCTCCTTTGTGGTCATGACCAATTTTATCGCCACCCCCCGGCAGGCCCAAGGCCACTGTGCAGAGGTGAGGACTGTTGCCCATCCCCCCTTCTTGGACCCACAGGGGAAAATAACATAGAAGAGGAGGCCCCCTTGGGCATTGGAGGGGAAGCCAGGTAGGCTTCCTGCGGCACAACAGTGGTGGAATCTCAGGCATAAGTTCACACACAGGAATGGCCCACCACTGGCGGTTGCTGAGGCTTCCCTCCCAGCTGTGTGCCAAGCAGGATGCCTCAGTGCCTGCCCAACCCCCAAGCCCCAACCTTCCCTACCCCTGCTGTGACATCAGCACTAGGGCAGCTGGGCATGAGCCCAGAGGGTCCTGGGAGGGGACTGGGGGAAGGAGGCTGTGATTAAGGGTCACTCCAAAGGGGTCTGAGACTCTGCCCCACACCCTAGGGCCATGCAGGGGGCGGGGGGATCTTCTTAGGACCCTACCCAGGGGACCTGGGGCCAGCAGCTCTCCCCTTCCCCAGAACCCGGAAGGGGGCACGTGCACGAATAATAGTGGCTGCACCCCGGGAAAGGCAGAAAGGAAGGCCCAAGGTAAGGTCGGCCTCCTCCTGTCCCCCTCCACAGCCTGTCAGCTCCAGGCTTCCTCCACCAGGATGTCCTTCCTGCTCTCTCTCCTCCCGCCACCTTGACCTTGGCCTCCCCTGTCCCAGAACCAGCCAGGCTTCTGCTCTTGGACGCCCCATCAATGGGGGCTCCTAGGAGTGGGGCCTGGGGGTTCTCCTCTGCACCCCCAGCTTGGGGTGGGCACCCAGGGGTTCCACCCTTGCTCCAGGCATCCGCACAGGCAAGTGTGTGGCCTTCAACGACATCGTGCATACGTGTGAGATCTTTGGCTGGTGCCCCGTGGAGGTGGATGACGACATCCCATGGTAATGCCCTGTCCTTCCAGGGAGCTGGGAGCAGGGTCCCCAGCCCAGACTAGAGGAGCATCTGGATCTGTGCTCTGTCCCCCCTTCTTCCAACCCCACCCTCACCCCATCTGTGCAGCTCAGGCCAAAGATGCCCCAGCCTCTGCTCAAGGGGCCTGAGAGTCCACATTACAGCATGCCCACCCCTCCAATGACTCAGGAAGATCCCATAGGCTCTCCCAGCCCCACACGCCAAGCCCAGCTCTGGCAGGCACACGAAGGACTCCTGGGGAGGGGGCAGTGAGTGAGTGCCGTCTCCTCCAGCCCTGCCCTTCTCCGAGAGGCCGAGAACTTCACTCTCTTCATCAAGAACAGCATCAGCTTTCCACGCTTCAAGGTCACCAGGTTTGTGGGAAAAGCGGGCAGAAATGCAGGCGGCTCTCGGAGGCTGCTCCAGCCGGTCTTAACCTGTCACCTCTGTCGCCCTGCACTCATGCTGAGTTCCTTCTGGAGGCAGAAGCTTGGGCTGGGCCCCTGGGGTGGGCTGCCTTCAGTCTCCAAGGGCTAGGGAAGGGGCGTCTCTAGGGCCCGGGAGGGGTCCCCAGAGCTCCCGGGCGTGGTGGGTGCCCTCCCAGCTGGCATGCTGCCACCACCAATGCCCTCTGCCCCTGTAGGCGCAACCTGGTGGAGGAGGTGGATGCCGCCTACATGAAGACCTGCCTCTATCACAAGACCTTGCACCCACTGTGCCCAGTTTTCAAGCTCGGCTATATGGTACAAGAGTCAGGCCAGAATTTTAGCACCTTGGCCGAGAAGGTATGGTGCCAGCCGAGTGGGGAGGGCTGGGCCCCCAGATCATCAGGCCAAAAAAGACTTTTCAGGCCCAGTTAAGCCCCGCACCGCACCCAGTCCCTAGCGTGGGCTGAGCATATATATAGATCTATCCCCTAATACTGGGGGCCCCTGTGGTTCAGACCTGTGTCCTCAGCAGGGCCCGACATGGACCTGGCACAGAGGAGGTGCCCAGAATGAATGACCATAGGCAGATGTCACTTGGGTGTCTTCCGAGGGCCCAGTGTTTTTTTAAATATTAGATACAAGCAGCTTAAATCACATGGCCCACGGCCCTGAGAAATCCTGTGCCTGCCCAGGTTTCCTGGGAATTCTGGAGGCTGAGATGCACACAGTCACGTGGGATTCCCAGAGAAACGGTACCTTCTAAGGAGCACAGACCTGTCTGACTGGGCTCAGATCCTGGCTCAGACAAGTCTCTTACCTTCAGTGGGTCTGCGCTTTTGCACCTGTAAAGTGGGAGCAGTAATAGTGCAAGTCTCTCGGGATTGCCTTGAGGGCACGGGACAGCACTTCAGGGTGGCCTGGCCCAAGGCATCCTAGGCACCTGCTCCCTCGTGATCCTTATCGTCTGCTCCTGTGGGTCCAGGGATGGGAATCAGCCCCTCTCCGTGACATCACACACCAAAACAACTCACCCACAGTGCCTTCGTGGAGAACACGGGTCAGCAAACTTTTTCTTTAAGGAGCCAGAGAATAAGTATGGGCCACAGGTCACATGGTCTCTGTTCTAGCCACCCAGGTCAGCTGCTATAGGGCAAAGGCAGCCACAGGCAATGTGTAAACAGATTCGGCCCTGAGGCCTCAGTTTGCCAACCCCTGGAGGGGGTTTACACAGTAGCAACACACAGGACCAGAAAGCTGAATGTTAGTTTCCCCTGTTCCTAAAAATCTCCCTGCCACCCCCAGTAGGAACTTCTCACCCATCACCATTGTCTGTAGGCACCTAGCCTCCCGCCTAGCTGCCCAGCTCCACACGCAACTCTCCTCTTGCTCAGCCCACCTGTCCCTGATCCTTGCCTCGCCCAGAGGGGCTTCACTTTCTCAGGTTTTCTCTTCCCAGCCCATGTCTTTACAGACTCCCTCTTTAATTCAACAGCTATTTACTTGCCTCCTGCGCTGTGACTCAGGAGTCAGTGCAAATGAGACAGACAGCTCCACCCTTGTGGAGTTTACAGTCTTGGAAGAGATGCGTTAATAATCACACAAAATAAATGTGTGGTTACAAAGTGACACGTGTTCTAGAAGAAAACACAGAGGGAATCACAAGGGCATATTTTAGACTGGGGGTGGTGGTCAGGGAAGGCTTCCCAGGAGAAGTGACCAAAGGATGAGAAAGTACCAGCCTTGTGGGGAATGGTGGTGGGCGGGGGGGAGAGTGACTGCTTGTGCAAAGGCCCTGAGGTAGGAAGAACCTGGTGTATTCTAGAAACTGTCAGAAAGCTGGAATGTGATGGGTGGGAGGCGGGACCAGAGAGGGTGACGGGACCTCAACCCTGAAGCAGCTTCTCAGTGTCTCTTCTCAAACAAACAGAAAACAGCTGCACCAGCTGTAAGGCAGGAGTTCTTGATCCTAAACCCCAGATCTTGAGGGCCTGTGTCCCTGGTAGGGCGGGGTGGTAGGCATCACCATCGACTGGCACTGTGACCTGGACTGGCATGTGCGACACTGCAAACCCGTCTATGAGTTCCACGGGCTGTATGAAGAGAAGAAACTGTCTCAAGGCTTCAACTTCAGGTGCCTGCCGGGCCCCCACCAGTGCATCCTTCCTTGGCGTTCTGCGGGCTTTTCTACTCCCAGAACCCCTTAAGGCCAAGCAAGTGTCCCCGGGAGGGGAGCAGCGGATCCTAGGAAACTCCCATTCTCCCGGAATTGGCCAAGCAGGGAGCACGAGCCCGGAGGCCTGAGCCCTGCCGTTGGCTCTCGGCTCCCTTGAGGCCCACCTGGCTGGGACTGGCTGGGGAATTGCCCACATCAGGAGTTAGGGCAGCGGTTGAGTACTGCATTCCTGGAATGAGGCCTGCGATTCCCCCTCTATATAATGTTGGGGGGCACGGGGCTGTCCTCATGGACCTCTAAGGGCTCCTGTATCCCTGATGCTCTGGAAACTCTGGACCCAAGACAGTTCTCCATCACCCACCCTCTCCTGCAACCTCTCCCCTTCCCCAAGGTTTGCCAGGCACTTCGTGGAGAATGGGACCAACTACCGGCACCTCTTCAAGGTGTTTGGGATTCGCTTTGACATCCTCGTGGATGGCAAGGTGAGTGTCCAGTGTGAGGGGTAGCCAGAGACACACTCTCGGTTCCTTCTGGTGCTTGTTGGGTGTCTGTGGTTAGAGGCGACAGGAAGTTGGATGGGCCTCATTCAGCACTTCTATATCTGATAACAGAGGGACCCAGATGCTGTTGAGGGCAGGGCTTTCCAGCCTGTGACCACACCTCCCTCACTGTCTCCCTGTGTCCAGGGAGGGCAGAGTCAAGGTCAAAACCCAGGGCTCCCAACCAGCAGCTGGGTCTCCATGCAGATACAGAGCCGTGGGCAGCAGGCTGTGGGACCAGCTACCAGTGGAGGGTGGGGAAGGCCCCTTGCTCCCGGCCCGGTCCCAGCGCTCCTGAGGAAGGCCTTTTCCACCAGACCCTTCTGGCTGTTAACCCTTCTTTCCCCTGGGCCCTGCCACCAGGCTGGCAAGTTTGACATCATCCCCACCATGACCACCATTGGCTCTGGGATTGGCATCTTTGGGGTGGTAAGTGCTGAGGTCATGGGGTCACTGCGCCGGGGTCAGGCCCTCCCCTTCCACACCTCAGCAACAAGTCTCCCATCCCAGACCTGACCGAAATTGTTCCCTATTACTGAGCCCACCCCACCTCCCTAGACCCGCACACAGTATGTCTGAGGAAACTGGGGCCCAGAGCTGGGGCAGGACGGAGGTGGGGAGTGGAGGGTCCTGTCCCCACCCCCAGGTTCCCGTGCGCTGCCCCTCAGGCCACGGTTCTCTGCGATCTGCTGCTGCTCCACATCCTGCCCAGGAGGCAGTACTACAAGCAGAAGAAGTTCAAGTACGCGGAGGACATGGGGCCAGGGCCGGTAAGAGAGCTCCCGGAGCCAGCCCTGCAGAGGCCCCAGGCCTGCGTGTCTGTGCCGGGGAGCCAGCTGCTTCCCCCGGGATGACTTTCATCCCCGCAATGTTTACACAGGGGGCGCACGACCCTGCGGCCACCAGCTCCACCCTGGTTCTGCAGGAGAATGTGAAGACATCCTGACCTCTGTCCCCCCCTCCTACTGGACACAGCAGGCGGGGAGCCTGGTGGAGTCTCAGCCAGGGTGGAGGGGTCTCCCCAGGAGCGCTCCCACCGTCTCGGCCAGGCAGACACCAGGTTGCCGGAAGCTCAGGGTGGACTCTGGGAGAGACCTGCACAATTCTGGGCTCTGGCTCCAACTCTGCAGCCCCCAAGGGAGCCTCACACCAGCCTCAGCCACTCCTGGCCCCAGGTTTTATGCCTCTCCCTCTGGGCCCTTGTCTATCCATCCTACTCCCTCATGTCTCCAGACCTCTGCTGTCCCATATGGCAGCCACTAGCCATCGGTGACTATTTAAATTAATTAAGATTGAATAAAATTAAAACTTCAGTTCCTCAAACAGCCACATTACAACTGCCGAATACGCACATATGGCTGTGGTTGCCCTATTGAACCACATGGAACGTTTCCAGCATCGCAGAAAGTTCTGTTGGACAGCTCTGCTTGAACCCTTTTTCTTACTGACCCCAGATTTCCCTGGGATGCTTATCAACAGTGCTGGCACCTGGGGATTCCCTGGCAGTCCAGTGTTTAGGCCTCTGCGCTTTCATTGCCAAGGGGCCTGGGTTCGATCCCTGGTCAGGGAACTAGGATCCCACAAGCTGTGAGGCCAAAGGAAAAAAAAAAAGAAAAGCAGTGCCAGCGACTGGGTGCACCCCAGACCTCCGGAACCAGAAACTCCACGTCTGGTCACATGATCTGCAAGCATAGCAAACTCTTCAGGTCATTTTCAGGACCTAAGTTTTAGAACCGCTCCTGATCAGGTATCAGACTTAGCTGGGGCCGGCATCCCCTGGCAGGTGCGGGCCTTGAGCAGGTGTGTGGTGTGCTCACAAGCCACACGGTGTCTCATGCACTCCTCCCCCTCGTGCACACTCTCACCCGCACGCACAGCCCCCCTCCCATCCACACTGTGTGTTTGAACAGCTTGGGCCCTGCAAACACAACCATCTGAACACACCTACACCCCCAGGCACAGACTCATGGTCCACGCCACCCCGCCTCTGTGGGGATGTGCTTCTCCTCAAGTGTGTCAGGCCAGGACAGTCTCTTCTAGTGATGAATCCTTACTCAGCTACCTCTGGTCAGCGTGGGAGCCTCAGCCGAATCCTGGGCTCTCTGCCTGTGAGCCAGCCCCAGCTCCCGAGGCCTGCCCGGCTCTGTGTGAACACAAGGTCTGGGAAATCAAGGGCTGGAGTATAATAAGAGGATTGGTGAACGAGTTCAAACCTCTGCCTTCCGCCCTTTCTTCCCAGCCCTCTCTGAAACCCAGTGTCCGCAGCTGTGAAACACGGGGCTAAGCTGAGCGATCTTTGAGATCCTTCTGGGTCTCTCCGTGGGAGGTGGTGAGCTGACCCTTATGCAGAGGCAGTGTTGGGCATCAGCTCACCTCTATCCAGGGGCCGCTGTCCTGGCACGGCCCCAGTCATTGGAGATCTTCCCAACCCTCCACACGCCCCTCCCCCGGCTTTGAAAGGCCCGGCACTGGGACAAGCAGAGACCCCAGGAGTGGCCTCATGAAAGCAGGGGAGAGGAAGGGGCTGGCTGTCCCAGGAGGGAGATCGGATGCAATCCCAAAGAGGGGAGGAAGGTCTTGACTGGAGACAGTGTGGAAGGATCCTCCAGGGACCCTGCTGTGGGCATGACCCTCCGGCCAAGCAGGGTCTCTGGGCACCCCCATCACCATGCTCTGTCTAGACCAGTGTTGTCCAACACCAGTGATGGAACATTCTCTATCTGTGCTGTCCAATGTAGTATTCACATTGTGGACGTTAAGTATTTAAAATGTGGCTCATGCAACCAAGGAACTCAATTTTTTATTTTATTCATTTGAATTTAACTCGCCACGTGTGGCTAGTGGCTACCATATTGAACATCACAGGCTAGCCCCTCCCCTCTCCCTCAGGCCCTTGGCCTCCTGCCGTCTTCCCCGGCCAAGAGCCATCCCTTGGATTTTACAAGACAGGCACTCCCTCTTCTTCCCTCCCTTCCTTCTCCAGATCTACCTGCTTGTGCACCTCCAGTCCCCTTCCCTCCTGAGTGAGCAGAGGATTCCTCCCTGGAAATCATGCCTCACCCAGCCTGGAGGCCGCCTCTCCTCTCTCCTGCTCCTCTCCTGCCTCCTCGCAGCCCACATTTCCCTGCTGCTCTGCCTGCTCTCTGTTCACTGCCACCACCATTCCAGAAAGACCAGTCTACACTTCCCTCTGGGTCCCACCCTCTACAATTGGCCTCCAGCCCCTACCCCCACTTCTAGATGCCCTTGCCAAGGTTACCAGCGGCGTCCTTGTTGCCAGATGCAAGCAGACACTTCAGCCCATATCCTGCTCAGCCTGTCAGCCTCTGACACTGTTGGCTGAGCCCTCCTTTGTTGAAAGATTTCCTTCCAGCAGCTCCTAGGACCCACCCTCTCCAGATTTTCTAGTCAGCCTGGAGTGTAGGGATAAGATAGTTTTCAATTGCAACTCTGTCACTGTGTGTCCTTGGGCAAGTTGCTTAACTCTCCAAGCCTCCTCTGTGAGTCAGGGATAATAATAGCCTCTACTCAGGTTGGGGTAAGATAAGATGCATAAAGTACCTAGCACAGAGCCTGGCACACAGTAGTGCTCTGCCCCTGCCTCTATCCTCTCTTTCAATGGCAGAGTCAGATAGCTGTCCCCAGGTTCTTGGCTGGGTATGTGGCTGCCTAGAATGGAAGCTGCATTTCCCAGCCTCTTCTTGCAGCTGGGTCTGGTCATGTGACTGTTATAGCTAATTGGATGTATGTGGAAGTGTCATGTGACGCCTTCTGGGAACTTTCCTTAAAAGAGAGCTGGTGCAGATCCTTTGCCTTCTTCTTCTTCATCCTTGTCTCCATCCCACTGCCTGGAATGTGTGCGTGATGGTTGGAGCTCTAGCCGCCATCCTGAATCACGAGGACAAGAGTCAAATCCAGAAGTGGCTGGAGTAGTGAGTGGAAAGGGCCACATCTGGGAGGTCTTTGTGGAGCACAGCTGACATACTGTTACCCCAAAACTGGGTTCACCTTCTGGTGGGTGTTGAGCCAAAAGACACAACCAAGCCAAAGAGTGGGAGAAGGAGGCACTTACTACCTGAGGCAAGTAAGGAGAACACTGGGGATCTTTCCCAAAGCAGTGTCTCCCCGAATGGCAAAACTGTGGAAGTGTTAAGCTACGGGTACCTGCATATTCGTGAAGAGGCTTGGGCAGTGTACGAGTCATAGAATTGGGGCAAAGGTTGACAGAAGCGTCAGAAAAGATCAACATCATCCCTCAGGTTCTAGTTGATCTGGTGGTTGAAGGGGGTTTAAATTCTGCAAAACAGCTCTCTTAAGAAAGTACTTCAGGCTAATCTGAAGTACTCAACCAGAACTGGGGGTCTTTACAACTGCTCTATTATCTTTGCCATTGTTATTTCTCCACCTGATAACAGCTGTTTGTTCCTGCATTCTTTTGTTCCCTTATGATCATTAATTACTGAGACCTGTTCAAGGACAAGCATTGTGGCCAGGGTTAGATTACAAAAACGGCTTAGGCCAAAAATGGCTTCTCTTATGTCAAAATGCTACATCTGGTTCTTTTCCTCGGGGAGCCCCTACCCCATCTGCTTACAATACCAGCCCAGGACTGTCTTCCCTGAGGCTCTTACATGGAATTTCTGTTATCTAAGTCAAAACTGATCCTACCTGGTACAGAAATTTTTCCCCCTAAAAGCAAGTGTTCTGTCCTCAGCCCCTGTTTATTTGCCCTGAAGTTATCTCAGCCTTTCCCATGGCCCTACTATGGGTCCCTTCGGACAACTCCCAAAACTGTCTCAATGGCCCAGCCCTCTTTCCTGAACTCCAACCACACACATCCAACCCCCTAATCGCCATATCAATTAATTATTCATTCGACAAACATCTTTTAAGCACCGTGTCAGGCTTTGTGCTGGATGAATCAGGCATGGTCCTTGCCCTCAAGGAGCTCCCAGTCCAGAGGAGGAACAGGCAGGTAAACAGATGCTCACTTCAAGGAAGTCCCTAAGAGGACTCGCTAACCCACTCTGGGCAGTGAGCTCATAGGGAAGTGTGTCTGGCAGAAGGGGCATTGAACCAAGTTCTGAAAGGAGTGAGGCAGGTGATTAGGACTGAGGTCATGGAGGGCCTGATTAGATCTATTCTCAGGGTACTGGTGAGCCATGGAAGATTCCGAAGCAGGAGCTGACCAGTTGGACTTGTGTTTCTAAAATATTACTCTGGCCACCAGGTGGAGAAATGCAAGTGGGTGGGGGCTGTGCGGGAGGGCAATGAGGCTGCACGGAGCTGGGAGGCTAATGAGGAGGCTGCTGTAGCAATTCAGGTGCAAGAAGATAGTGACCTGAGCCAAGGGAGGGGCAGAGAAGCAGAAAAAAGTGGGTGGATTCCAGGGATATTTAAGAAGCAGCATGGGCAGGACTTGGTGATCTACTGGTTGGAACAGGTAAGCGGTAGGCTATGATGACTCCCAGGTGTCTGGCTCCAGACTGAGACAGGGACATAAGAGGCCAGGTTTGGGGGAGTGATATGGGGCTCTGTCTTGGACAAGCGGTGGGGTGAGGTGCCAGAGGATAGATACACAAGTGTAGAATGTAATTGAACCAAGAGTTGATGAGCTCGCCAGGGGAGAGGTGGGCTACCACGAAGGTCAAGACGTCCTGCCCCAGCTCGCCATTCCTGCTGCCTGCTCACAGAGCCCTTCCCCAAGTGAGAATCCGACTATGACCCCAGCATTCTGTTAAAACCGCTTCCCGTTTCCCCTACCCTCCACGCAGCAGAAGGCTAAACTCCTGAGTCTACCATTCAAGGCCTTCCTCCCTGGCCCTCGGCCCGGGCCCCATCCCTTTGCTGATCTCGCTTCGCCCCTCCTCTAGTACTCACTGCGCCTCATCCCCGCCCCCCACTCCGGGGGCAGGGGGTGCGCTCTTGCCCCTCCCAGGCCGAGATGTTTGGGGGACAAAGGGTTTTATGGGGGAAGCAACCGTACCCTCCAGGTCCAGCTAAGGGGCCCAGGCCGCGGCCTGGAGGGATTTCGGGGGACCCCAGATAGCCTGCCGCGAGTCGATGGGGGCGTGACGAGGCCGGTCCAGCCGCAGGGGGAGGTACCCCTACAGAGCCACCGCCCGCCGCGGCCCCTCCCTTCCAGGAGCCGGGCGGGAGTCCTGGGCTCTGATTGGGCGGTGCCGGAGGGGGGCCGCGCGGCCAGGCCAATGAGCGCGCGCCGAGCGCGGCGGCTGGCTGGGGAGCCAGCGCCGCTTGGAGCCCAGGGGCCGGCGGTCTGAGCTCCGTGATCTCGGCCCTGGATAGGCGGGCGGGGCGGGATGCGCGCCGCGGGAGCGAGCCTGGCCGTCCTCAGGGCCGCGGAGAATCTCGCTGGGCACCGAGGTAGGGGTCGGCTGGGAGGGGGCCGGGGAGCGGGAGGGGACGAACGCCTGAACGTCTGCTCGGAGCCTGCAGGCGAGAAGGATGGTCTGCGAGGACAGCCGAGAACTAGTCCATGCGGGGATCCTCCCCCTTCGGTCTGCGGGGCCCAGTCTATTAGGTGCCTCCCGGAGCCTGCTTCTGCCTGCGCCGGCATCCGGGACCGCATCTATGAGGGCGCCCCGCCGTCTGCGTCCCTCTCCCAGCTCTGGTCTGCGGGACCGCGTCCATACCTGGCGTACTACCCCAGCCCCAGCTCGTGGTGGGAGGCCGTGTCTATGCGGAGTGGGCCCAGACAGGTGAACCCACGTGTGGATCTGCGCGGAGCGCTCCTGCCACACTGCCCACCTCCGAGTCTTCGTGCTGGAGCTGGGGCGGGGGGATGAATGGGACAGATGCGACGCGAGTGGCTTTAGCTGCGCAGTCCTCCCTGGTTGGGGCGGGGGTGGAGGGGGGCGGCGGAGGTGGATGCTGCGGTTTCGGCGGCCCGACAGGCACAGAACTGGTGGCTCGGAGGGTGCACACGTGCACAGGGACCTGTGTGTGGTGTTTGGAGGCGGGTGTGCGTGTGTCACGTGGGCACAGGAGTGTGCCTGTGTGCATTACAGGATGGAGTGGTGTGTGCGGGCGGGTCACGCGGATATCGGCGTGCGCCTGCTCCGGGAGTGGGGTGTGTGTGTGTGTGTGTGTGTGTGTATCTTGAGGGTGCAGGGGTGTGTAGAGAAGGCTGTGTCCCAGGTCACAGGACTGTGCCTCGGTGGGCTCGTCTGGGGCTGTATATCTGTCAAGTGGGCCGGGAAGTGGGAGGAGCACACAGCTTGTGTCCTTGAGGGTGCACCGACTGCCCTCACAGCCCCCACTCCTTCCTTCAGTGCATACAGACTGAGCACCCACCGTGTGCCACACCGTGTCCTAGGCCCACAGACTCTGGGGACTCCTGCCCCTTCCTTGGCCTCTTACCCTCAGTCCCCACAGAAGGCAGAGGGATGATTTTTTAAAACCTCATCCAAATCGAGTCACTCCCCTACTCAAAACCTTCCTCTGGCTTTCGAGGCCTCCTGGTCTCTGTCCAAAAAGACCCCCAAAGCCAAGCCCTGAGCCCCAGCCAGGAAGTGGCTCTCTGTCATGCACAGTGTGAACTTCTATCCTCTCCTCTGAAACCTGTACTCAGCAATCATGAAAGAGCTTAAATGCCATCTCCTCCAGGAAGCCATCTGTGAGGCCAGGCACAGTGAATGACTGGGCCTTGTCATCCAGGTGTAACTCTGCTTGCCATCAGGTACCTCTCACACGTGGATACCCCACTCTGGTGACATCGGCCTCCTTGCTGTTCCTCAGACAGGGCAAGCACCGTCTCACCTCACAGCCTTTGCGGTTGCTGTGCCTAAAATGCCCTTCCCAGATATCCACACTGTTCGCTCCCTCACTTCCTTCAGATTCCGCTCAAATCCTGCATCAGAAAGGCCTTTCCTGATCGCCCTGTATAAATAGCACCCCCCAGTGCCTCACTCTTGATTCCCCTGACACGATTGTATTTCTTCTCCATAGCATGTACTGTTTGACATACCATCTATTAATTCCTGGCTTTCTTGTTTGTTGCTTCTTGCCCCACTAGAAATTAAACTTCATCAGAGCAGGGACTTTGTCTTTTTGGTTTGCTGCTTTATTTCCTGGGACCTAGCACAGTGCCTGGGCATATAAAGCAGGTGCTCAATGAGTTTTTCTTGCATGAATGAATGACCCTGGGTTTGCGTCCCAGAAGTCTGTGTCCCTGGCTGCTCCCTAGCCTGTGAGCCACAATCTGAGTCTAGGTCTCCTGCTCTTCTGTCCTCCAGATTCCAAGATCCTGGAAGGCCAGGTCTGGAAGAACTGAGACCAAATTTGCATGTTAGGAATATTCCCTCTAGCAACTGGTCTGGAGGATGGGGTGTGGTGGGGTTGGGGTGTGAGCCTGGAGGCGGGTGACCTGTGTGGCGGAAACAGGGGGGAAGGAAAGTGGCGGTCTGCGTCTGGACTTTTTAAGGAGTTGGGCTCAGTGACCTCATCCAGCACAGCAGTGGGGAGATCAGGAAGGAGATGTCTGAACTGCCCTCCAGCAGCAAAGGAGAGGGAGGTGTGTTCTGGCAGAAGGCACAGCTTGGACAAAGGCCTGGCAGCAGAACAGAGTCTGCAGTTTGGGACTTGCAGCCAGAGTGGAGAGTAAGTGTGGGGTTAGGGGGGATAAGGATGGGCAAGAGGGAAAAGATGGCTGATAAGGAGGGCTCCTGGGTTTCTGGGCTGGGAGAACTGCGGCGGGGAGGGGGGGCACTCGTCTCAGCAATGGGGACAGAGGAGGAAGAGCAGACTCAGGGAAATGCTGAGTTGAACTGGAGCCGCTTGGAACTGAGCTGCCAGGGAACACGGAGGGGAGGAGGCACAGACCTGTTATGGAGGATGCGGGGGCAGAGGGAGAGGGGGAGGCCTGGAGACTATCAGCCAAGGGCGCTCAGGATGTGCTGAGGGCTGCCGTGCTGAATCAGGCACAGAGCCCATCTCGGTGCCTGGGGCCTCCCTGGGAATGGGGGGGCGGGGGCGTGTCCTCACAGCAGGCGTCCTCGAGCATGACAGACGCCTGGGCCTCCCTCGAGGGGACTGAGTCATCCTGGGCGGGGGCGGGAGCCACAGAGGCCACCCGTTGCCAGGGCCATCCAGACACTTGTCAGGAGCATAAACATGGCTCCTGTGAGGCAGCCCAGTGATGTCAAGGCTACTTTCTGTGTCTGGCCCGGGTGACTGGACCACCTCCTTACAGCTTTCCCTTCTGGCCTGCCCTCTGCCAGCCAGGGCCACAGCTTGTCTTGCCTAGATGATAGCTGAACCCCTGCTCAACCTTGCCCTGAGGTTCCCAGCAGCCTTCCAGAACTCAGGGTGAGGCCTGACTAGTACCTGAAGTCATCCCAGTAGAGTCTGCTTGAACCAGCGTGGATGAGAGCAGGATACCCCTGCTCTGTCCTGCGCTGGGCCTCCTCCGAGGGACCCAGGTGATGAGGCACATCCTGAGGGGGAGGCCTGGCCAAGCAGGGTCTGGAGCCAGGGTCTGCATCCCTTGGGAATAGCCAGACACCTGTGGATGAGGGACGTAGCCTGGGAGGAGAAACCTGAGGGGGTAATGTGCCAGGCCACCTGGGAGCGGGAGGCAGATATGGGGCTGCGCTTTGTACGTACATCAGGGCTCGCTCTCGGTGGCTGTGCCACAGACTCATCCCAGCTCCACGTCGCTCAGGCACAATCCTCTTCAACGTTCACAGTCTCGTCCATTTCCTCCCATAGCCCTGGGAGGCGGCATGATGGTGGCTATCTGTGCAGTTCACAGATGAGCAAGCTGAGGCCCCCCAGGAGTTCAGTGATTTGTCCAGACAGCACAGTCACAGGCTGGGAGGACAGACTGGGGTAGCATTTTTCAGTGAGTGAGGGCCTGAGCCTGGCCATTCTCGGCTGCAGGACCAGGCTGGTCCCTGGGAGGCTCCCCACGCCCATAGGAGTCCTTGCTCTGCCCTGGGCCTGGGTGCCAGCCTGTCTGTCCTTCTATTTGCCCATGTGGCTCCTAGCCACCTGCTGAGTCAGTTTATACGTAGTGTGCACGGAGGCCTCAGCTTAGAGAGGGCCTTGAGAGACCCCCTGGGTGAGCCTCCAGAGCGGGGTGGGTCCTGCCCAAGACACAGCCCAGCCCATCAGGCAGCCCCAGGCTGGTAGACTGTTGACCATGTGGGAAGTTCAAACTTGACGCTGTGGGGTCAGATTGCTATGGCCCCCAGGGGCGCAGGCCCCACCTCCCATTCTGGGACATACATACACAAAGACCTAAAGGCACACAATGCACATGAACACACTTATCCACGAGTATAGACCACACCCATAGAGTTTTGTTTCCGTGCAGATCCCCTCCTGTGTGCGTTCCACTGCCCCCGGCCCCACACACACACACACACACACACACACACACACACACTGTCACCCCGAGCCTACAGCCCTGCTTATGCGTACTCTCTCACGCGGACACACGGCCCTGTCTCCTGGACACGAGGCAGGAACCTGGGGCCTCCCCAGGGCGCCTCCTGCACAGACGTGCTTAGTCACCTGAATTTGATCCAGGCGGGAGGGAGGGCGGAGGGCCTGACGTCAGCCCTCACAGCTGCCTTGTGCCGCCGCGCATCCATCTGGGCCACCACGTGTCCCAGGCAATCACAACAACGGCAGCACAACTCCGTTTTACGGGCTTCGTCAGTGGCAGGCCTGGTTCTGAGCCCGGGAAGGGTGTTCACTCCTTTTCGCAGCCCCGCGGGCGCGTGATACTGCTGTTAACCTCATTCTGCAGATGGGGAAAACCCAGGCACAGAGTGCAGTCACCTGCCCATGGGCACCTGGCCAGGAAGGAGCGTAGCCTGGCAGCCTGGCTTCAGAGCCTGGGTCCTCAACCAGGTAACAGGGCCCCAAACTGGAGCAGGAAGGCTCTGCCCTGACCTGCTGTGTGACCTCAGACCCATCCCTGCCCCTTGCTGGGCCCTACTTTCCCAATCTGAGAAAAGAGGGAAAGAGAGTTGAAGGAGGATGGCCTGTGGCTGGGGTAACAGCCTCAGGGAAATCCTATGCAAATTTGATGGGCTAGGGCAGCCTGTGGCCTCTGCCTGTGGTGACTCTTGGTCCCCTCGGTCACTGCTGTGGACAAGAGGACAGGAGTTCCGCACACTGTCATTTGTTCCCTGCCATGGGCTTGGCTTAGGCTCCTTGGGGTCTCCTTCCCCCTCTCTGCTTTTCCATCTGTCTAATGGGGCCAGGACTGTAATGGTCACTATGGCAACTACTCATTCATTCAAAAAATATTTACTGTTTCTCTGTGCCAGGCACTGCTGCTGCCAGTAACCTTATGGAGACGAGGCAGACAAGAGCCCTAACCTGTGGAGTTTATATCCTGGTGGGAGAAAAAGGGCCTACAGAGTGAGGGGGAGGGGCGGCAGGGTGAGCCACCTACAGGGTGGGCCAAGCTTGTAGGGCTCCCTTTAGCCTTGGCTTCTTCCTTCCTGCAACCATCTGGTTCCCAAAGCCTCCCTGATGCTCTAATTCCATTCCACCTCCTCCAAGGAGGCCTCCATGATGCTCCAGCCCTACTCCCTTCCTCACCTACTTCAGAGAGTCCTCCCCAATGTTCTACTCCTACTTGCCACTCTCACCTCCTCCAGGGAGGCCTCCCTGATGCTCTAGCCTCACCAACCCCCACTCCCCTCACTCCTTTAGGTCCAGTGTCCGTGTCTTTTCCTGTTGCCAGTCTAAATTCCCTTCTCCCTTCCTTTCTGCATGCCAACATCAGCTCCACCAGGCTTCTACTCATACAACACACTGTGTGCCAGGCACAGGGGGTCTGGACCACACCCTTACCCACAATCCATCTCCAAGTTTTGCTGTGGCCTTAGGAATCTGGGAAGGTCCTGCATCTGTGGTACAGATGGGGAGACTGAGGCTCAGAGTCAGGAAGGAGCTGCCCAGGGCCCACAGCAGGTTGGCCGGCAGGACTGGAACCCAGCCCAGGCTCCTCTGTGGCCAGTGGACTCCAGTGAACCCCGCCTCCTTGACATCTGTCAAAGCAAGGTGATGGGGGAATAAGGGGTGTAACGGAGACCACGTTCTCAAAATTGTTGTGTGGTGACAGCACAAGTTACCACCAGACAGGAAGGGCAGAGGGTCAGGAGTCCATTTACTTCCTTTTCCTGAGAAGATGCTGAGTCTGGTCCAGGAAAGGGGAGGGGCATCGAGTGGGGTGGGGCCAGTGCTCAGCCTGGGGCAGAAATGGAGTCCCAGCCTGAGTATCAGGGTTCAGCCCTGGGTCAGGGTTCAGCCCAGAGCTGTAGTTGAGTGTGAGGTCTGGGGCTGGAGGTTGGAGGTTGGTTCGGGGTTCAAGCTGGAGTTAGTCCTTGGCCTGGAGCCTAGATGGAGGCTCAGACTGCAATAGGGCCAGTGTGGATATAAGGCCAGGCCAGGGGGAGCATCTCAGCCTGAACAGATGTGGGGAACATTTTAGCCACATGAATAAACTGGAAGGAAAAACCAGGAGAAATAAGTGCAGTGAAGTCTCTCTTCACAGTCACCAAAGTAGCAGCCTCCTCCTCTAATGGACCCTGTCCTGGGTTGCCGGCTCTGCTAGGGCAGGGAAGAGAGGAATGGGAGACTTGCCCTGTGGCCCTGGAGGGTCTCCTGGAGGAAGTGAGATGGGTGGGAGAGGCTGGAGGCCCAGGGAAGTCTTCCTGGAAGCAGTGAGGGGTGGAGGGGGGGCCTGGATCAGCTTCCAGGCGGCCACAGCAGCAGCATTGGAATGCTCTGTTGTCAGGGGGTGGGGCTGTGAGTCACTGTGCTGTCTGCTGGATGGGGGCCTGAGCTGACCTGGGGCTCTGTTTCTCCCAGTACTGCTGGGCCTCCAGTGTTCTGCCCATGTCTGTCTGTCCTGACTCCAGAATATCAGATTCTCCCTGCTTCCCTGTGAAGCCAGGAAGGCTGATGTGACTGTGCCTGTTTTACAGATGCGGACACTGAGGTCTAGAGGGCTGGTGTGCAGCAGAGCCAGATGAGTTCCTGGAATTCCTTTAGTTAATAGGGAGACTTGAATTTGGATGCTGGCAACCCAGGCAGAGGGAACAGGCCAGGTAAAGACATGGAGGTGGGACTCACAGTTTGTGGCTACGATGGGAGAAGGGCCTGGAAATCTGACCTCCTTGCTCTGTGGCCGGGATTGAAGGCTTCTCTGCCCTCTTTTCTCAGGTTCCCAATAAGGCTACACAGAGGAACCCGCTGACTGTGGCAATGGAGGGGGGCCCAGCGGTCTGCTGCCAGGACCCTCGGTCAGAGTTGGTGGAGCGAGTGGCAGCCATGGATGTGGCCCACTTGGAGGAGACGGATGGCAGCCCAGAGCCCACCAGGAACTGTGTGAACCCTTCACCACGGGCCAGAGCTGCCTCCGTGATCCCCGGCGGTACTTCAAGATGCCCCGCCACCCGGCCCGGCCTCTCGGCCAGGAAGTTCTCCCTGCAGGAGCGGCCAGCGGGGAGCTGCCTGGAGACCCAGGCTGCGCCTTACGCCACAGGGCCTGCCAGCCACATCTCCCCACGGGCATGGCGCAGGCCCACCATCGAGTCCCACCATGTGGCCATCTCGGACGCAGAGGTTGGTGGGGCAGAGCTAGGGGGTGCCCACGAGCTTTTCAGTAGTCCTCAGTGAAGACCCTTTGCTGTTCCTATCCCTGCCACACAGCTGTCTAGCCTTTGGTTTGCATACCCCCAGAGCTGAGGAGCTCACTACCTCACTACACGGTCTCTTCCCGCCCGGGGGAGCTTCATCTGAGCCAGTTGCTGCCTCCTGTAAGTCTCACCATTCCCACCCCCAGTCCAGGCCTAGGAAATAGGTCCCTGCCTTATTCCCCCAAGAAGTCCTCTTAGAGATCTGAAGGTAGTGTGTCCTCCTGTCCTCCAAGTCTTCCCCAGCTTGAGCCTTCCACCTCTAATCCTACCTCTTAGAGTCTGCTCTGACTCAGGAGCTGCCAGCAGGCTTCCAGCCTCTGGGCTCCGTCCTTGCCACTTAGATCTGAAAGGGAACCCAAGTACTGAGCAATCTACAGGCTTCAGAAGCTGAGCTTTTCACGCCTGAGCCAGGGTTCTGGTCTCCTGTCCCCAAGGCTCTCCTCATCTTTCTTGTCCATGCAGTCTCCTCATTCAGCTGCTTCTGGAAACACTTGCTCATGGGTTTCTCCCATCAGGGTCTCTCAGCCCCCCAGCATCCAGGTAGGAATCAGTGCATTTTTCCACCACTTCCTAGGGAGCAAAGCATAGGTATGCTTCACCATTCATGTTTTCAAACATTGTCCAAGTCTTGTCACTTTCGGCTTCACTTTTGGCGTTGGCACTACTTCACTTGCCTATGTAAACTTGAAAGGTTGGTGAGACCCAGGGTCTGGGAGCAAGGGGCCTGGGGCCAGGATGGGGCCCTGGACGTGCTCCTGGAGTGGGAGCAGTGCTGCTTCTGGATCAAGCTTTACCTGATATCCTCTCTCTTTCCCCCACCAGGACTGTGTGCAGCTGAACCAGTACAAGCTGCAGAGTGAGATTGGCAAGGTAGGCCCGGGGGCAGGCCAGGAGCAGTGAGAACTTGTCTGAGGGATTTGCAGAGGCAGCCTGTCCAGATCCTCTGCTTGGCAAAATCCCCTCTCCTCTGGGAATGTGAGGCTGGGCCAAGAAGGTCCTAGCCTGGAAGTGAGGAAAGTTTTGTCCTCTATAGGAAACACCTGGGGTGGGGGGTGGGAGATGACTCCTGATTCCTGACTCCCCAGAGGTTTTTTTTTTTAATATAAATTTATTTATTTATTTGTTTTTGGCTGTGTTGGGTCTTCGTTGCTGTGCGCGGGCTTTCTCTAGTTGCGGTGAGCAGGGGCTACTCTTCGTCGTGGTGCGCGGGCTTCTCATTGCGGTGGTTTCTCTTAATGTGGAACACGGGCTCTAGAGCACAGGCTCAGTAGTTGTGGTGCACGGGCTTAGTTGCTCCATGGCACATGGGATCTTCCCAGACCAGCACTCGAACCTGTGTCCCCTGCATTGGCAGGTGGATTCTTAACCACTGCGCCACCAGGGAAGTCCCTTCCCCAGAGTTTTTGATGGAAGGGACTGGGGAAGGCATAGAGCTGTGTTGAGCCCGGCAGGGGCAGTGACCAGGGCATAGGAGCCCTCTCCCTGCCCGCCTGAAATTTATGCCCACTGGTGGCAGGGGTGGAGATGGGAAGCGGGGGGAGGGGGCTGGAGCTGTTCAGGCTCCCCTTCTCCTGGGCTAGTCCTGGGAGAGGCTGTCCTGTCCAGCGGGGGCTGACCTGTGCCTATCTGCAGGGTGCCTACGGCGTGGTGAGGCTGGCCTACAACGAAAGTGAAGACAGGCACTATGTGAGTCTGGGGATAGACTCACTATGTGAGTCTAGGGCCCCTCCAAGCTGGGCCCTAGGAGGCTGGGGGGGTGGGCAGAGGCTGTGCTAAGACAGAGGACAAGGCTGCCTGTGAACGGAGTGAGCTCCCTCTAGTTGCAGCATGCAGGCTCTTTAGTTGTGGAGCTTGGGCTTCATTGCCCCGCGGCATGTGGGATCTTAGTTCTCTGACCAGGGATCGAACCCACGTCCCCTGCATCGGAAGGCAGATTCTTAACCACTGGACCACCAGGGAGTTCTCGGGAATGAGCTTCTTGACCCTGGGAATATGCAAGCAGGGGCTGGCTGCCTCTAAGGGGAGAGCTCTAGAAAGGCTTGTTGGGGGGAATACGGGTGAGGCCTAGGTTCAGATATGGCTCCCTCCTAACCCAGCATAACTGCAGCCAGTCCATATCCTCAGTGCCAGTGACAGATGCTCATGTGCCTTTCTGGACCTCAGTCCACATGTAACCAGCCTGTTCTAACCCCTGGTGGCTTCACACAAGTGACATGTCTGCCCCTCCCTCCTCAGGCAATGAAAGTTCTTTCCAAAAAGAAGTTACTGAAGCAGTATGGCTTTCCACGTACGTATCTGTCTGGTCCTGGGCTTGGGAGCTCCTGGCCTGGGGGCAGAGGAGGAGGAGACCTCGGAGGCTAGTTTTTGTTAGGACTGGGGATAGACAGGGAGAAAATGAGCAAAGGCCTGGTGGTGGGACTGTGCTTGGGGGGTTGAGGCCAAGGCCATGGTCTTGCAAGATTCTTGCTTGAGGCTGGTCGCAGGGCCGTGGTGAGGCCCAGCCTTCTGCAACTGGCTGGACTCCCCTTCCTGGTCACAGGTCGCCCTCCCCCTAGAGGGTCCCAGGCTGCCCGGGCAGGGCCAGCCAAGCAGCTGCTGCCCCTGGAGCGGGTGTGCCAGGAGATCGCCATCCTGAAGAAGCTGGACCACGTGAATGTGGTCAAGCTGGTCGAGGTAGGCGGTGAGCCAGTGAGCACGGACCCAGCGACCCCGCTGAGGGAAATATGCCAAGGTCAGGGCCAGAATTGGGGTGGGGACTGCCGGGAGGCTTCTGGGGTCAGCTCAGGCTGGTCTGGGATGTTCTCAAGTTCTCATGGAGGGGGACGAGCTGCCCCAGAGGCAAGAAGTGAGCCCCCATCATGGCAGGAGGGGAAGAGGGGCTGGGTGCCATGTGGTGAACCCAGGTCGGGGCCAGTGATTTCTGAGGCCTCATCTGCCTGGTGCCTGCAGAGTTCCTGCTGCATCATCCAGGGTGGCTGTGGAGCACACTAGGGGTCCTAGGGCTGGTGAGGACGAGACAGCCTGGGATGCCCACCCCATAACTCCCCAAGACTCACCCTCATGTGTGCTCCCTCTCACCAGGTCCTGGATGACCCAGCTGAGGACAATCTCTATTTGGGTGAGTGACCCAGCTCATCCCCAAAGCAGCTTACCCCGGTGGGTCTGAGTGCTCCCCGGAGACACACTTGACGTCTAGATGGGCTGTGTGCAATGCACTGACCTCCTGGGGGCAGGGAGGAAACACATGTTCTCAAGGCCCAGATTCTCTTGCCCAGCCCTGCTGAGCCAGGCTCAGAATATCCAGTTAGATTCAACAAATATTCCCAAGCCCCCACTCCACTGATCGGAGAGATAGTAACTCTGTGCCTCAGTTTCCTCACCTGTAAAATGGGGATAATAATGGTATCTACCTCATAGTGTTGATGTAAGAAGAAAGTGAGTTATTATATACAAGACACATTAGCTATTATTAGTAATAGTATGCTGTTGTTATTACTTAAGTCCTTGGTGCCTGATTCAGGGCTGGGCTTAGCAGCTCTCAGGGAATGGCCAGAAGGAACACTGGCTTAGGAATCAGAGGCCAAATCTTTAGCCTCCACGCCCTCTCCTACCTGCCTATCTGCTATGACCTGTAGGAAAATTCCTGCCCCTCCTCTGAGGTTCAGTTTCCCCCCCATAAAAGGGGTCTATGTTGATGGTCCTCACTCGGCACCTGAGAATCTAGTGAGGCAGGTCCATAGTCGACCCACGCTCATTTACTTCCTCTGATACCCTGGGACCCCTGTCCTATCCCTCCCTCAAGTATGCCTGGATGCCTGCCCCCTCTCCCACCCTCCAGAACAGGGAGGAACCTTGGCATCGGCTGTTTTTTCAGCCTGGCTGCACCTTACCTACTCTTCTTTTCTTCTCTTTTCTTTCAGTGTTTGACCTCCTGAGAAAGGGGTGAGTTCCCCATCCCGATCAGGCAGGTCAAGTCTTCCTTTCCTTCCCTGTATCCTTAGTCCTGGGGTCAGCTACTCTAGCAAAAAAAAGAGGTCCAACCTCTGTCCTTAGGGAGCTGTGGTCTGGGTTGGGGAGTGGGGGCAGAACGAGAGACCAAGAGGATGATTCTTTGAAGGCCGGTGGGGTCAGTGAGACTGGAATAGCGAGGGAGGCCTCAGGAAGAGGGGGTGGGTTTTGAGCCAGGCCTTGAAGAACTGGAAAGAAGATTTTGATGGAGAAGAGAGAGAAGAAAAGAATATTTCTCCAGCAAAAGTATAGATGTGGAACTCAACTCTCATCTGTATTCAAATCACAAAGAGTTCTTTCAGTTTTACAAGTTTGTGAGTTGGGTGGCTGGGATGCCATTCACTCCCATTTACAAGAAGGGAAGCTGAGGTTCAGAGAGGGTAAGTGGCTTGCCCAAAGTCACACAGCAAGTCACTGATGAAATCTAGGGTTGTAACTCATGTTTGCCTTGTCTGACCTTCTCAGGGTATGTGAAGAACAGCAGACATGCAGTAAAGGGCACGGAGCTGGGTGGACTGGGGGCCCTAACTGCCAAGGCCTGAATACAGGCTGTGACTTGTCTCTCTGCCTGGGAGGCTACCTAAAGACCAATTTGGGGAAGGGGCAGGGAGTGATGTCCTTTTAAGACTCAGGGGCTTTCAGCATTTTTGACCTCCATTCAAAGTAAGAAATACAAGTTTTACATTGCCATCCATATCTGTAATTGAAACCAAAGTTTTATAAAACAGTGTATTACATGTGATATACTCTGATATATTCTACTTCATTAGGAAAAAAAAAAAAAAAAAAGCAGTAGGCATCCACTAAATTGATTTCATGACCTTCTTGGTCCTGGACCTACAGTTTGAAAACACTGCCCTAAATGGCATCTTCACAACTGTTTGATTATAGATAATTAAGTACTTAGAAGAAGGAATACCAAGCCAATCAGAAATTAAGATAAAGCTAATTTGAAATTGTAGTGATTGAAAAGGGATATTTGCGTCTATGCGTGTTTTCAAATTTTCATTGTATGGGAGAAGAAGCTACTCTCTGGGGTTTTAGGGACCCGTTCGAGCATAGAGGGCTCCCAAAAGGTCCTGAGGTGTCTGTACGGCCCAGTCCCTGTTCCCCTCCACCTGACATCTGCCTTTACTCATCCTGATTCGGGCGAAACATCCCTCCTCCCCGCCCTCCCCATAGGCCGGTCATGGAAGTGCCCTGCGACAAGCCCTTCCCCGAGGAGCAAGCTCGTCTCTACCTGAGGGACATCATCCTGGGTCTTGAGTACTGTGAGTAAGGGGCTGCCTGCTCCCCTGAGGCTGGAGACCCGGGGGGAGTGGAGGGGACACAAGAGGAGACGGAGCCCAGGCTGAGCAGAGTCTGAGCAGTTCCTGTCCGTCAGTGCTGATCTACCAATCATCTTTAGTTGGGGGTGGGGAAATGGGCCTGTGGGCGGGGCCGAAACTTCCTGAACAGGTAGAGTGGCGGCAGACTTCACTGGGCATGCGCCAGGTCCTTCTCGGCGCCTGGTCGTCACCGCGTCGGCCAGCGCCTGGGACGTTCAGCGTGTATCTCACCTCTGCTGAATTCTTAGCCAAGCTTAGCCTCTCCACTGGGCCTCAAGAGCTGTGGGAAGGAATTTATGTCCAGCGGCTCGAGGAGGAGTCTGTCCTGGTGTGGGGCCAGTGGGTGGTAGCAGAGTCCGTTTACTGTGAGGGGCCCTAAGGTGATGAGAGCTCAGAAGGGAGAATGTTCGTTTAGTCTCTATCTGTGGAATTCATTTATTCATTCATTTATCCATTTACGAGTACCTACTAAGTGTCAGCTGGGGGCGTGTAGATGCCAAAGACCCAGAAGTGATCTCAAGGCCTTATCTCGAAGCCTAGTGGGAGGGACGGGAACCTAAGCAGTGCCTGCCAAGGCTGGGGAGGCACAGGGGCTGTCAGAGCACTAAGGGACCAGGGGTGGCTTCCTGGAGGAGGCCACTTACGAGTAGGGTCCTGAAAGATGAGTAGGAGTTCGTTGGCTAGTTTGAGGCATGGTGGGAGGGAGTACACCAGGCGGAGAGAACTGCATGACAGCGGCACGGAGGGGAGTACTATTTGAGACTGGGGAGAAGTTCAGTTTGGTTAAGTCCAACCTGGGAGCCAGGGATAGGGAAAGAGGATGCTGTAAACACTGTCCAGGCTGCACTGCGAGGGCTGGGAATGCCTCCACAGAGGACTTTCATGGAGGACAAGAGGCCACCAGCTGGTCAGGGAGGAAGCTGGTTCTACAGCCCAACTGACAGATGGTGAGGCCTGGATTAGGGCAGCGGCAGCGGGGAGCAAATGTGAACGAGGTGAGGTGGGCAGCAGTGGGTGACTAACTGGTCATGGGGAGAAGAGGGCCCGCAGGCACCTAGGGTTCTGGCCTGGTTTGGGGAGTGGGGCACAGCCCATCCCTCTGAAATCTCAGCTTGGCTTATCAGAAGAATATTCTCTCCCTAGGGGAACAGGTGAGGACCAGCTGAGGTTTGACCTGCAGTGAATGTCTTTATCTCATCTGAGCCACTCCAGTGCCTTCATTTTAATGATGTCTTTGTACCTATGGGGAAACAGGCACAGAGAGGGAAGGGCTTTGCAGAAAGTCCCTAACAAAGGCCTAGAGGTGTGAGAAGGGGGCACTTCACCCTGGTGTGGTCGGCAGCAGACACGACCCCGTACCAGCTTGGCTTCCACCCACTTCTTGTCCCGGGCCTGTTGTCTCCCATCCTCTCTCCTTGCAAAAAAACCCCCCAAAAAACCCAGAAAAAACAAGCTAATCCCATCTGGCTCTTGGGTAAAGCCTCATCAAGACCCAGCTAACCATGATGAAGGGCTTTCTGGAGTGAATTGGTCAGCAGCAGGAACTGGACAGGCAGACAAATGGTGGCACCCGGTGCTGAAGACCCGCCTTGTGATTCTGGCCCCCGGAAGGGAGAGCTGAGGCTGCCCGGGGAAGGCCCTGTGGTCGGGGAGGCTCAGGCCTGATTCTTACAGGCGGGGCAAGTGCAGCCATGCAGGTAGGAGAAGCAGTCGCGTCTGGAATATATCTCAGAGGTCCAGTCCCTAGAACTTGCTGATGAACTGGTGTGGGGTCTGAAGGAGAGGAGTTGAGGTTTTTGGCCTGAGCAGCTGGTAATATGGCCATTAACTAAATGGGAAAGACTAGAAGAGGAGCAGAGCTCTTCTGTTCTGTTTGTTTGGTGGTGCCCTGTGTGTGTGTGTGTGTGTGTGTGTGTTTAGACGGGGCGGGGGTTGCAGACAAGAGAAATCAAGTTCTCAATTAAATATGTGATTGACAAATACTGAAGTATATGTTGAGATGTCTGTGGGATATCCTTGTGGATAAAGAGCTGGGAGTTCAAGGGCGATGCCAGAGTTTGAGATAAGAATCTGAGCCCACTTTCCATGGTCCATTGTGTGTACCTGGCACATAGGAGGCAATCGCTATAGGGCCATGAGTCCTGTTGTTATTCTTATTAATATATGATGTTCAGTCCCTCTGCCCCCAGCCTTCCTCTCCTTCTCCTTCCCCCTCCCCTTCCCTCCTTCCCATTCCATTCCCTCCTCTCCAACACCCTGGGGTCTGTTGGTCCAGGGGAACGTATTTGTTGAGCAGGGAGCCCATAGGTGGATGGCTGTGGGATGAGGTCAGTGCCTTTTCTCTGCTGGGACATTGCTGGTCATCTCGGCCTGAGCTGCCCATCTCTTCCCGGCAGTGCTGGACCCAGGAAGCAGGGTGGGCGCTCAGCCTACTAGAGAGGGCCGACACTTACCCCGGCCACATTCATCCTGGCAGTCCCAAGGCCTGGGGTACCCTCCCTCTCCAAAACCTCATCAGCCCAGAGTCCCTAGGGCTGAGGTGATACCTCTGCAGGATACCCCACAATCCCACCCTCAGTCCGAGGAACAGGGACAGCTGTGACAGGCTGGGTGCGGGGGATGGAACTGGGGAAAGATTTTGATGGGCTTCAAGCCTGTAGACAACACTCACATGGGAGGGCCAGGGATGGCCTACGGAGGACCCCTTCCCCCAGTTTCCTCTACGTCCACCCTCAGTGGCAGATGCCTTGATTGCCATGGAGAGAGCACTGGTCTTGGGGTCCGGAGATTCCTAAGAGTCCAGTCCCGGCTCTGTTACTAACAGCCTAGGTTAGTGCCTTCACTGCATAGCTGAGCAGGGGGCCCTAGGTCCTCGAGAGATGAATGTGTGCAGGGGACAGGAAGTCCCAGCTCCTTCTCTCCTGGAGTTTGAGGCAGCCTCCACGGCCAGGCAAGAGCAGGTGGGGGGTCTGGGCGGCAGGGCCCCAGGCCAGCGCTCGAGCTGCCTCTCTCTGCAGTGCACTACCAGAAGATCATCCACAGGGACATCAAGCCATCCAACCTGCTCCTGGGGGACGACGGGCACGTGAAGATCGCCGACTTCGGCGTCAGCAACCAGTTTGAGGGGAACGACGCTCGGCTGTCCAGCACGGCCGGGACCCCAGCGTTCATGGCCCCCGAGGCCATTTCTGAGTCCGGCCAGAGCTTCAGTGGGAAGGTGGCTCCCAGGACCCGGGCTGGGTTGGGGTTCAGGTGGAGGGGTGGGGGTACGTGCCACAGGGTCCCATTTCCAACCTGAGGGTGCCAGGGTCCTCATGTCTCAGGAGGGACCGAACATGGTCCCCTCCGTCATGTTTGCCTCCTTCTGGAGTCCAACAAACTTGCCGAACTTGGGCCTCCTCTCGTCCTCCAGCAAAACGGCCCCAAGTCTTCCCTGCAGACACTTCCCGCCAGCTGCTCTGTGCTGAGTTCTGGGCTGGGCTGTGGAACACACGGAGGCTGGACGGCCCAGCTCCCTGCCCTTCTGGTCATGTTGCAAGGGCAGGAGAGCTCGTGTCTGGGGGGACATCAGAGCTTCCCCTGACTTCTTGGATATGGCAGCCTTTGAACTAGGCCTTGAATAATGGGGAGAATTTGAGCAGGAGGTGGGGCCCAGAGAACATACAAGGGAGCTGAGGGGCACAGCGGGGCTTAGACAGAGTTTAAAGGGTCTGGAAGTCCTAAGGGTCTGGGCTTTGTCCTAAGTGACAGAGGCAGTGGCAAAGGTTTCTGAGCAGGGACTGTGGTTCTGTGTGTCCCCGGGCACATCCTGCTCTACCCTGTGAAGTACTGGCTGCCCCACTGTGGTTCTGCCATGGAGGAAATGGTCGAGAGGCACTTGGACACGTGTGTGAGTGTGGAGCTCGGGAGACGGCTGTAGATAGAGATTATTTTTTTAACTTTTAATTTTGATATAATTCCAAATTTACAGAAAAATTGCAAGAAAAATACAAAAAACTCCCCTATATCTTTTATTCAGATTCACCAATTATTGACATTTTGTCCCACTTACCTTTTCACTGTCTCTCCGTATATTTATAGAAGTTGGAGACATTATGCCCCTTTATCACTAAATACTTCTGGAGGTATTTTCTGAGAACAAGGACATTCTCTTACATAACCTCAGTACAGTTATCAAAGTTAGGACATTTATCATCGATAAAAGACTGTTATCTAATCGACCTTGTTCAGATTTCATCAGTTGTCCCCATACTGTCCTTTAATGCCTTTTCTTTTTCTGGTCCGGGATCTGATTCAGGGTCAGTCACTGCATTCACTTGTCACATCTCTTTGGGGTCCTTTAATCTGGAAAAGTGGCTTGACCTTGACATTTTTGAAAAGAACAGGCCTGTTATTTTGTAGAATGATGTCAGTTTGCATTTGTCTGGTGTTCCCTGATCGGATTCAGATGAGGCATCTGTGGCAGGAATACGTAGGCAGAGATTTGAGAATCATTCACATAAGAGAGAAAGTGGATACCAGGAGAGGAGGTGGGGTTCCAGAGGAGGAACTTGTAGAGAGAGGGCACATTCAAGGGTGCAGGGAAGCCCCAAGGGGCTGTGGAGGTAGCTGAGGGCCAGGGGCTGTTCTGGTGTCAGAAAGAAGGTGGATGGTGGCTTTTCCAGTGGATCATCAGGAAGAGGGATGACTTCTCGAAGCCAGAGCTGGTTTAGCGAGTACAAGTTCAACATATACTGTCGTTTCTGGGGTGCGTCTGTGTCGTGCGTACAGCAAATGCGACCCTGTAGATGAAGGGGGTTTTGTACCTGTTGAGTTGGAAACATGTCTGGTTTGGGCCCATTCCAAGGAGACTTGGAAACCCTTGACAGCAAGGGCCCTGGTCTGGCTGTCCCTGTGTCCGCAGTGCTCAGCACAGGGTCCAGCATGGAACAGGGGCCTGGGAGTGTTTGTTGAGTGAATACATGACTGAGGAAGGAGGTTCCCCACTTGCCCTCTCCCATGGCCCACTGAAGCTGGGTGACCAAGGGGTGTCAATTCCTTTTGGGGGACTGATATGAGCTCTTTCTTTCTAGGCCTTGGACGTGTGGGCCACAGGGATCACGCTGTACTGCTTTGTCTACGGGAAGGTGAGTGCTGGGTGGGCTGGCAGAGGTGGGGCAGCCCTGGCACCATGGGCTGGGCACCATGGGTCAGGATGCATGACAGATGCAGGCCCTGCCTTTGTGTCCTTAAGTAAAGTGACTTTTGAAAGAGCCCACCCAGCTCAGAGAAGATGGAAGGAAAAGGGACTTTTCTGTTCTCCTCTTGTCCCCTTGGGGGGATGGATTCATGTGCAGGAGTCCTGGGACAGCAGACATCCCAAGGGAGGTGTAGATGGTGCCATTCATTCATTCACATATTCACTCACTCATTCATTCATTCAACAAATTGTCCTTGACCTCTGCTCTGGGTCAGGCCGGACACCCAACCTTGACGCGCCGAGATCCCCGTCCTCACGCGCTCCCACTCCAGGGACCGTGCTGAGGCACAGGCGGGAATCTCAGGGAACATGTTCCCAAACTTCAGGCCCCGGCAGTGCAGGCCTTGCTGCGAGTGGCTGTCATGCACTCATTCGTTCAGTCCACATTTGTTGAGCATCTCCTGTGGGCTAGGACCTGCACAAGTTAGACGAGGTTCCCCCCCAGCTCACGAGGAGCCCGGAGCTGCCCCCAGCGAGCTGAGGTGCTGGGTGCCGCAACCTTTGTCTCTCCCCGCCGCAGTGCCCATTCATCGATGATTTCATCCTGGCCCTGCACCGCAAGATCAAGAATGAGGCCATCGTGTTCCCGGAGGAGTGAGTTGTCCACCACGGGCCCCGCCCACCCCCAGGGAGGCGTGTCTGGGTTTTAGCAGAGCTTTTGTCCTTTCCGGGCCCCACCCCAGCCTGCAGATCTGGAGGTTGGGGTGCTGCTCCCTGGGAGCAAATGGAGGGACATGTGAGCAGGGTCTCAGACATCTGGGTTGGATCTCATTGAACAGATGGGAACTCTGAGGCTGGGAGTGGGGCAGGGATGACCCCAGGTCACACATTCATCCTGCTTCTTCACTGAAGGCCTCCAGGAGGTCAGTGGCATCAACCCCATGCAGACCCTGCACCCGCGGGGAACCTCTACCTTCTCCACACGGGGTGGGGGGGGGGGCTTCATGATGCCGGTGCACTCCCCCATTTCACAGATGGAAAAGTGGAGGCTCAGTGGGTCTGGGATTTGAAGCCACTCCCTCCCCCTTGCCCCTTCCTTTGTGACTGAGGTCTCTGAGCCCAGAAGGACTGTTTGGAGAGGACTCCCCACCCATCCACGGTTCTCCCGATTATGATGCCAGCTACCATGGCAGCCAGCCTGAGTCCCCTAGCGCCGCACTTTTCAGGGCCCTTTTACCATCTGCGCAGAGTGCCCAGGTCAGAAACCAACCTGGGAGTTGTCCTCGGGGTCCCTGCCCCTCGCACCCACTTCCTGTACGGCCCCAAGCCGTGCTCAGTCCACCTCTTACATTTCTCTCGGTTCCGTTGCCAATGGCACCCCCCTGCCTAGTTCAGGCCTCTGCCTTGTCCAGCTACTGCAGTCAGGCCAGAGTGACCCTGATGAAGCGCAACAGATCTCACCACGCCGCCTGCTGAAAGTTTTTCCAAGGTTTCCCAAAGCCCACAGGAAGAGGCACGCCCTGGCCCGGGCATTCAAGGACCCCTGGGTCCCCCCACCTGTTCACCTGCTGCCGGCTCCCTGCTCCCTGCCGCCATCCCCATGGCAGTGGCTTCCTCCCCTTTCCTGTGACTGCCTGTCTCCCAGCCTTTCCCTCACCACCCCCGCGGTATATCCTTCTCCCCAGCCCAGGAGTTTGAAAAGGGATTAAGTATCTAGGACAGCAGAGGGAGCCAAGGTCATAGCCCTGAGAGTAGGTTCCTTCTCCCAAGAATTTAAGTAGCAACGAAGCCTGAAGTTTAAGCAGAGACAGTCGAAGCTGATGTGGGGCTGAGTCCTGCTCTCCTGCCCCTGAGTCTTACCCCTACCCTCCCTTTTCTGGGTGGTGGTGAGCCTCGGTTTCCTCCTCTGTCAAATGGGTATCTTCCCTGACCACCTCCCAGGCGGAGGAGAAGATAAGATGGTGAGTGGGGGTGAAGGCCTCTTGGGGGTCCCATAAAGCGCCTCTTCTCGCATTATCCTTGCCACCTCTGCCTCCCAGGGGGTGTCCAGCACCCATGGGACCCCGTTTGTGTCTGTGACCTCTGCCCCCTGAGGGAGACTGCTTTACTTCGTACTCAGGGGAGAAGGATATCCATACGCTTGTTCTGGAGCTCTCTCCTTCCACCCTGGTGCCTTTGGGGGTGTCCCTCCTGCTCTCTGAGAAGGGGGGTCGGCGGTGTCTCTGCCCTGGTGTGCACTGATCAGGGAAGCCTGGAGCAGGGTGGGATGCAGAGGTGGGATGCAAAGGACCATCAGCTGTCTCTCCCTCGTCTCCTTCCTTCCCCTTCTTTAGGCCAAAGGTCAGCGAAGAGCTCAAGGACTTAATCCTGAAGATGCTAGACAAGAACCCTGAAACAAGAATTGGGGTGCCAGACATCAAGGTTGGGGAACCAGAGGTGCTGGGCTGGGCCACAGAAAAAAGGCCTCAGTTTCCCCTTCTGGGGAGCCTTACACTGGGGACATCTGTGTATTGGGTTGGGGTTTGGGGTTTTTGGGCTTTGGACCCTCAAGGCGACTGTTGGTGGGATGCCTGGGTCCCTCGCTCGCCGATGTCTGTCGCCTGTGGCCCTGACCCTCCCTGCCCTCTGCTCTGCAGTCGCATCCCTGGGTGACCAAGAATGGGGAGGAGCCCCTTCCCTCGGAGGAGGAGCATTGCACTGTGGTAGAGGTGACGGAGGAGGAGGTGAAGAACTCAGTCAGGCTCATCCCCAGCTGGACCACAGTGGTAAGAGGATGGCGGTGGGGGGTGGGTGGGCGGGGAGGCACCGACTCCTGGGAGGGCCTGGGGGGTGGGCGTGGCTGCCACCTGAGACTAGCTCTGTGCTGGGCCCTGTGGGGGGCAGAGGGCTTCCTGGTTGGCCAGCCCCATGCTGGGCCCCTGAGGCCACTGTTCCGCTAGAGGCCCACAGGAACAAGGTCACATTATTCAGCCTCGTGGTGGGGAGACCAGGAGGTTTGGTGAGGAGAGCGAATGGTTTAAATATACTGCCCTCACTGAGTGTCCACATTCACCATGACCAGAGAAGCATTTCCTTCCTTCCTTCCTCCCTCCTTCCCTCCCTCCCTTTCTTCCTTCCTAAGGTTTATTGAACTTCTGCTATTTTCCAGGCACTGGACTAGGTGCCAAGGGCGTGAGAGGGAAAAGGCCTAGCATGCCCTTGATTTGGAGACGTGGTCCTGGGGCCCCCGCGTGTCAGGCAGATACCACCCGTGTGCTCCCTCCGCTTTCCTCTCGTGTTTCAGCTTTTCGCATCCTCCTCTGGACAGCTTCCACGTTAACAGTTGGGAGTTATTAACGTAGCCCCTGATGGCCATCTGTTTTTTTGTGTGGGGGGACTCTGAGAGCCATGGCTTGCCCTGCGCTGAGGTTTCACAGTGAGTCAGGGTGAGCACAAGGCTGGGAGAGCGAGCTGGGGCCTATGCCTGGCATGGGGTCTGGCCTGTGCACTTCATGCCTCCCTACTGGGTCCAGTAGGGCCAGCGGGCTAGAGTCCTATGCTCTACAGAGCTCCAGGGCTGTATGGGGTCTCTGGAATTGTCAGCTCCCGCAGGGTCCCTACTGCCACTTCCCTGGTCTTAACCACCATACTCTCTTTTCTAAACCACTGGAATCGCCTCCCAGGTTGTCCCCCTGCCCTTCCTCCACCCTGGCCCCCACTACAGTTAACACTCAACTCAGCAGCCAGGGTGGCCCAGGGACCTGGTCATGTCCCTTCTCAGCTCAGACCCTGCTCACTCAGGCCCCCGTGTTGCTCAGAGTAAGAGCCACGCACCTGACTGCCTGCCAGACCCTGCATGGCCTGCCTGCCCCCCTTTCCCCTGCCCACCTCCTCTCCCCCCTCCATTCACTCCGACCACATGCCACGGAAGCTGCCGCCTCAGTGCCTTTGAACATCCCTTCCCTCCGCCTGGGGTCCTCTGGCCCAGATGTCCACAGGGCCGCTTCCTCATCCCTCCAGGTCTTCACTCCACAGTCACCTTCTCAGTGAGAAGTGAGTGAACCTTCCCGGCCCCTTATTGAAAATTCCAACCTCCTCTTTGTCATACCTCATCCCCCTTCCTTGTTTTATTTTTTCCTCCTGAGCCCTTACCACTAACTAACATATATTCTACTGATCTGTCTTATTTATTGCCTGTCCCCGCAACTAGAATATAAACTCTATGAGGGCAAGAATTTTTGTCTCGTTGTGGTCCCTGTGCCTCGAATAGTGTCTGGCATATGTAGGCGCTCAATAAATACTTTCTGTTGGAAGGAAGAAGGAAGGAGGGAAGAAGTAAAGGCGCCCCTGATGCTATGCTGGTGTGTGAGAATTTGTGTGCGTGTGGGCAGGAGGATGGAGCTGTCCTTGTAGCGGGAGGAGGGACAGTCAGAGAGCTAGGACACAGCAGCCTGTCCCCTCCTGGCATCCCCCCAGGCCACTACGCAGCTCCTCTCTGGCCCCTGGGACAGCCTCTTCTCGACTCCATCCTTCCTGTGTAGCCAGAAGGCATTTCCAGATTGCACTCGCCATGCCCTCAGCCTCGCATTCCAGACCCTTCCTGGTCTGCTCCTGGCCTCTGTGCCCGCCACGCACCAGATGCACCGGGCTCCTCGCCGTTCCCAGAATTCACCCTCAACCAGCTCCCCTCCGTGCTCTTGCCATTTTTTCTGCTTGGGATGTGCTTCCTTGCTCTGCCCAAGGAAAGGGAGCTTCAGCAGGGCCCACCCAGCAGCCTCCCCGTCCGGGAGTCAGGGTGGAGGCTGCCAGTGCATCTGGGAACCCGGGGGCCTGTGTTCCTCACGCTGGTGTGTCTTCCCCAGATCCTGGTTAAGTCCATGCTGAGAAAGCGTTCCTTTGGGAACCCGTTTGAGCCCCAGGCACGGAGGGAAGAGCGCTCCATGTCTGCCCCGGGAAGCTTATTGTCGTAAGTACTGGTGGGCTGAGGCCTGCAGGGTGCTCCCTGCGGTGGGGGGAGGGCTGGGGCCCCTCCCCTCACCCTCAGCATCGCCAGGCTGTGCAGGCTGAGCCCGGAGCCTGGGGACTCGGCCAGGCCTCAGAGCAGGGCCCTGTCTGCACCTCTGTTCTCAGCCCACGGCAGCCTAGTCGAGGTTTGCAGGCAGACCTCTTTGTAGAAGGTTGGTTTGTGTGTGGAGGGAGGGACACTTCTGCTGACTCTTCCTGGTCCGGGGGTGGGGTGGGTCAGCTGCCTTCCTGAGTGGCCTGTGCTATACATCCGGTCATTGCCGAGGCCGTGCACCCAGTCAGCACTTCGTAAATGCTTGTTCAGCGAGTAAGGACAGGCAGACTGGTGACGACGATGCTGGGCCAGGGAAGAGGAACCCCCAGTGCTGCCGGCTTCCGCCTCAGAGCCCGGCAGGTACATTCGCCACCTCCTGGGGGAGGGCAGAAAAGCAGTTCCCCAGACCTCCGTGAGCCTGGCCCTCAGCGTTTCCACCTCCTTCCACTGAAATAAAAGTTTGGGATGCTGACAAGGCCTGCTGGAGTTTGCGCACAGACCTGCAGAGAGAAAACAGTAAGGGGGTCCTGGACCAGAATGTGGTCCTGGGACTTGGGTCGCCTTCCTCTAGCCTGCGAAGGGAGCTGCGGGACAGAGGGGCTGTGCCAGCCAGCCCGCTCTGCGGAGGAGATGTGCTCCCCTGGGAGGTGAGCGGCGGCTGCCTTCCAGGTACGTCGGCCTCTGGGGAAGGAGCAGTTTCACTTGTGCTGTCCGGGGGCCCAGATGTGGGTTTCGTCTGTGTGAGACCACCCTCTTCAGACGTACGGGGTCCCATCATAGTGGACAAGCTGGTGTCTGCTCCCTGCCAGAGGTTGCTTGCACCCAGGGAGGTCCACGTACCAACCTCTTGCCCTCCTCTTGACAGACTCCCTGGCCTAAGTGGGGTGAGCTCTGGGGCCTGGGAGAGGCCTCGACTGTCCAAAGCTTACTTCCTGTTCCCTGTCTCTTCTGTGAGGTGGCCAGTCCTAGGGAAGGGGTTCCCTGGGCTCTTTTAGATCTGCAGGCTGCGATGCTGGAATTGAGCATAGTGTAGGGGACCACATATTCTGCGTCCAAATGGAGCCACTCTTGAGAGCGAAAGAGGAAGCTATTACTAACTATGCCGGGGACAACAGGCAGAACTAGGACCATGAGGCGCAAACCCGGATGTCTGGTCTCCAGCTCAGTGTCTGTGACTAGGCGCCCCCTAGTGGTAGTTCGGGCCAGTCACAGGCCAGGGACGCATCTACGCAGGGCGCAGGGCTGGGCATGAAGAGTACACCTGAACAAGGCAATCTTTGTCCTTTCATGGACATGTTAATGGGGAGACAGGTCATTTCCTTCATCTGGACTGTGAAGGGATTGGGCTTAACACTTCCCAGCTATAACATTCTATAGTTCTGTGACTCAAGTTTAATTTTGAAAAGCAGGTTTTACCTCGTCAGAGTCCCAACATTTGTCCTTGATTGTCTCTGTTTTTTATGCTTTGGGATAATTGTAGAAACTCTACAGTAGATTTAAATGAGATTGATCCTTTTTAAAGGTATCAAAATCCACTCATTGATCATGTTTTAAAAAAAAGGTCTTAGGGGAAAAAAGCAGATACAGGAATCTACTGAATATATGACAGAATCCTGAGACCGATAGGTAGAATCTGTCCTGTGAACAAAGAAAAGAAAATGCAAAACCAAAGCCCTTCGACCCAGGACCATGGGGGCTGATCTAGGCCAACCTAGAAGGCCTGTGACCCGGCTGGTCCTTGAGGGTGCAGGGAAGTGAGCTCAGGAAGGTCAGATCTGGAGAGGCTCCGGAAGCCTGGCTGGGAAATCTAGATTTGGTCTCCAGGCAGTAGGGAGCCACGGAGGGTTGTGGGCTGAGACTAGGGGTGAGGAAACCAGCAAGGGACCACAATGCAGGAGAGTGAGACTGAGATGGGCTTAGAAAGGAGGTGAGGGGGGATTTGAGAGATGTGGACATAAATGCCCGTGAGTGTGTGTGAGTGTCCTCGTGCATGCAGTGTTCTGACCCCTGAGGTCCCTCTGCCTCTGGTGTCCCCTGAACAGGAAGGATGGGTGTGGTGAAGGAGGCAAAAGCCCGGAGCTCCCCGGCGTCCAAGAAGATGAGGCTGCGTCCTGAGCCCCTGCATGCGCCCAGGGCCGCCTGGCAGCACGCTCATCCTGCGGCTCCAAAGGCCCCCTGCCCTCATGCCAACAGCCGCCCCTGCGGGCAGGGGGCTGGGGACTGTGGCCCCTCTCCCGGCCCTCCTCCCCTGTCGTGCTGCATGACCTCCACAAGTGCGTGTCCAGGGACAGGATCGGAATGTGTGTCACCTGGGGTTGGGGGGGGGGGGTAGGGCTCCCACAAAGCCTTTTGTTTCGTCCTGGCTCTCCCTGGCGGGACCCATTCTTTGGGGAAGCTGGGTGCCCGTGGTGCCTTAGAAACCTCACCGGCTGGTTGGCAAGGCCCAGGGGCAGGAGGCAGGAAACCAAGATGACAGGTGGAAGCCTCGTTTGCTACCACTGCAGAGGCCGGGTGGGCGTGGCTCAGCCGCCACCTGCACAAGGAGGGGTGTACCCTGCCCTCCTCACGGGGGCGCTGCCAGAGCTCTTGTCTACTGAGAACACTGACGTGGAGGCTCTGGGCCCTTGGTGGGTATTCCTGGGCCTCACTGGGGCGGGGGCCAGTATTGGAGAATCCAGGTTCCTCTTTCGTTATCTTGTTTTTGGTAACTTGATGGGGGAGGTAGGTGCAAAGCTCTGCCTGGGGACACGTGTCGCGCTTTCCTCCAGCTTTGGGTGGTTCCCGGCATACCCACCAGCACTTGGCAGCCAAGTGGATTGGACTGGCCTTCCCGGATTGTGTTTCACACTCTGGAGGATGGGCTGAGTGAGGCTTTGAGCAGAGGCCTGAACCAGGAACACCACCCTTCCCTGCCCGCCTCCCTCCCTCCCCCCGTGGCGCCCCAGAGCCCTGGCTGCCAGAGATACCAGGGCTGACATCGACCGAGGGCCCTGGACTCACAGGGCTGAGACCTTGCAGAAGCTGAAGTAACTGAAATCCAGTCTGCGATCCAGCACCGGCCTCCCCATCTGGTCCTGCAGGCTGCCCTCGCGTTCCAGTGATGAAGGACCAAGTGCCCAGGTTGGAGGCCTCGCTATAGCTGGAACCCTGGTGGGGTGTGCACGCTGGCAGGTGGCCACGGAGAGGTGGGCCTTCTGTCGCTGGCTCACCCCAGAACAGTTGTCATCCCACCTGCTCAGAGCTGGAGCCGACTTCTCTCTGGGATCAGTGCCTGGCTTGCTGGCTTGGCCTTGACTGACCAAATGCTGAAGAGACTGACCCCCAAAGGAAAATAAAGCAGGACTCCAATACCTGCCCTGAAGACATGGGCCAGACAAGGGATTTCAGTCACCCTCACGGGGCTCCTGTTGCAGGAGAACTCTGTTCGGAAGGGAAGGAGGTGGGGCTGGAGGAAGGCTGCATCCCGCGTGTGTCTGTGCCTGTGGGTGTACATCGCCTCTCCATGCACGCACGCCCGTGCGTGCCCATCTGCTGCACACAGCATGTCTTGCACCAGCACGTGCATCTGTAATATAGTGTCTATGTTTATTTAAGGCTCTGAGCAGAACGCAGCCAGTTGTCGCCAGGTCCACATTTCTCCCTGCTCCTCTGCACTAAGTCATTGTAACCCAGGGCTTAAACAATAATTCGGTACTGTTCTTAAAAACACTTTTTATAGAGTTCATGGGAGGCCATTCACGGATCAGCAGGTTTTCCCTGAGCATCTCTGTGCTGGGGCCTTGGAGGGTAGGGGTTTCAGGGACACGCTCCCCCCTCGCAGAGCTCAAAGGTGGGCCCGGCTTCATTGCCCATGCTCACCCCAATCACTGAGGGTTTGGATTGGCATCATTGTTTCTGAATGTAGCACAAGGGATGGACAGACTCCATAAGAGTGTTTTAAAAATTAACTTCCTAGGAAGTGAGTTAAAAATAATAAAAGCCCTTTCCTGAGTTAAAACAAAACAACCCCCCAAAGCTTGGTATATGTACCTTTTCTGCATCTGGGTGTGGCTTTGCTAGCTTTTCTGCAGGGGTCTGAGTAGGGCAATAGTGGAGGAGCTCTGGGGGTGGGGGAGGGAGGGAGGGAGGGTTGATTTGGAGGGGGAGGGGCTACAGTCCAGGATGTGGCTCAGTCTCCTGGGTAGGTCCTGTGGCCCCTCCTTGGGAAGAACAGGGTGTTTGGGAGCCAGTGGGTGGCCCATCAGGGCATCCTGCCTGTTTTGCAGGGGCCCAGGGAGGCCAAGGTCTGGTCCTTGGGAGCCACTCCTATTCCTCATGGGGCAGAAGTCCCAAGTGAAACCTCACAGGAGTCCCTGTGATACAGGCCAGTGTCCTCCCAGTGCCCCCTTAGCCTTGGGCACTGGTACTAACTGTTTGGACCCGGCAGCTCCCTGCTCATAGGAGGCCTCTCCATGGCCATGATGAGAAAAGTCATCTTTGAAGTCAGATAGCCTTCATCTTGAATCCAAGCTTTGCCATGTAACAGCTGTGTGCCCTTTGCAGGTCATCAGAGTAGTCTCAGCTTCCTTGTTGGTACAATGCAGACAATATCGGCACCTCCTCATGGGGTTCTTGTGAGGTTAAATGAGGTATTTGTGCCAAGCATCTGACATAGTGCTTGGTACATAGTAAGTACTCAGCAAGTAAGACCCTTAAAAAACAACCCAAAGAACTTTCTGCCTCTGGGGCTGCCTGAAGCCAGCCTTAGAGACCCGAAGCTCAACACATCCTGCATGACTGGTATTTGCTCATCTGCAGAGCTCCTCACCAGGTGCTACTGGAGACCAGCCAGAAGGAGATCAAGCCAGAGGCTGCCCGTCATGGTGATCAGTTTTTCTATCTGAGAAATGGAGACCAAAGCTGCTGCTGCCTGTTTCCTGGTCGTCCTGCAAAGGTCCCATGAGGGCTACACCAAGCCCTCTGCAGGAGGGGGTCCTGGCCGCCAGGCAGAAGTTCCCCAAACGCCACTCCCTCCCGACCCTCGCTGTCCCTCAATTTTGGACCCACCACCTCTCGCTTCCTTACTGGTCTCTGGCTTGGTCCTCAGTGCTCCAATCCATCCTCTTACAAGCTGCCAGAGTGGTCTTTGGGCACCCACCGGACCACGCCCACCCCTCTCGGTGCTCAGCCTGGGGTTTGAGGCCATTGCCATTAGCCTCCCAGGCCTCCCTGGACGCTCTCCTGACCCATGCCCTGCCCACCCTCCCTCCAGCCACTCCTTGCTCCCCACGGCTCTTCAGACTCACTCACCCACTCCTCCCGGACACGGCTATCCCCCACCCCTGCCTCTGTTGATCAGTGTCGGCCCCACCCTCCAAGGCCTATTCTGCAGTCGGGAAAGATCCTCAGGTTGGATCATCCCAGGTGTTGGTCACCAAACCTCGTGCCTGGGTTTGACAGTACAGATTGTCACGCACAGGAGCTTCGAATAGGACCACGATGTCATTTCACCACGAGGACAGCCACACTACGTGGCACACTAAGGTAGGGAAACTGAGGCTCAGAGTCACACAGCGAGTTAGGGAAGAGCCAGGCCAGAGCCCAGGCCTCCTGTCCACACCCCCACCCAGGTTCCTACGTCAGCGGCTGGGAAAACCCGAGAGCCCTGTGTACAGGGAAGGACACCTGGGAAGATGGGAGATGGAGGTTGCGCTCCCAGGCCTAACTACACGGGGGAGCTGAGCCCAGGCCAGGGTGTCCAGCTGAAGGCTCGGGGCAGTCCGAGATTTGCCCTGGGAGGTTCTGGTTCCTCGCGGAGAATGACTCTGGGCTCCGGATCCCACAGGAAATTTGCCTGGTCTCTGCTCCCCCCAACCTCTATCATAGTATATGGTCTCAGCCTGAAGGAGAGGAGGGATGGGTGATCAGGGCCACTGAGGCTTCCAGTTTTCCCAGGGGAACACCCAGATGCACTGGGACTCATATAAACACCTGTGCCCCCCCCCACCACAGGCTGGCACACCTACGCAACCTCCCCTTGGGCAAACAAGCAGGCCTATCTATGGGGCTGCCTCCTGGGCCACTGGGGATCCACTGAGGGAGGCTGGGGAGCCATGCGGTGGGTGGTACTGGGCCCTGGGGGTCAACTGAAGCCCAGAAGGAGACCAGGAGGGGCTGGGAGGAGACTATCCTCTGTCTCACCTGCAGAATAAAGCCCTGGCCGCTCCCTGCACTGCTTCAGCCTCCTGATAGACTGGGTGTCCATGGCTTAAATGACCACCTCCTGTCCCTGGTCCCTTCCTGCACACGCACGTGCGTGCACACACACACACACACACAGACACACACACAGACACACACACACAGACTGACCTGGATCTGCCCTCTGAGGTCTCATACATCCACTTCTCCAGCTAGCATGACCCAGGGAACAAAGTCTGGGACCTCTCACTCTCCAGGGCAGCTGCCAGTTCCCACCCAGGTTGGGCTGACAGTTTATCATTAGCCCATGCCAGCTCTGTGGTCAACTTCCATGCTCTCCCCACTGCCTAGGCCCCCACCATCTCCAGGTCACCTCCTCCAGGAAGCCTTCCCTGGTCCACAGCCCCAGAGGCACCCTTGGCATGTGGTCTGGTGTCTGGTTCATCTCCTATAAGACTGGAAACAAGGCCCAGGGATTGCAGCCTTACCTACCGGCTGAGTCATTTTCACAACTTGTTATCTGTCTATTCACTGATCCGCCATGATGAAGACCATTGGAAAAGCATCTCTCAACTGAATCGCAAGAGTGGGACTTTCCCTCTGGGAACCCAATTCTCTCCACCTGATCCCTAGTAAGCCTCTTCGCTAGGCTGTATATCTCTGGCCTTCTCTGTTCTTCCCTCCCTGCTCCTCAGCCTGCAAACTAGCTCAGGTCTTCCCTTAACTATTTCCCAATTTCCACCGCCTTGGCTTTCTGAAGGCTGCTGTCCCACACACCCAGGCATACAGGAAGAGCCCCTCCTGGCTTCTCTCTCAGATGCCGTCTGCGCAGACTCCTTCTTCCCTGTTACTTCCTGGCTCAGTGTGTCCCGTCCCCAGCAGCGCTGGTCCCTGCTTGCTCTGGTCACAGTGCATGCTACTGGCTGATGCTCTCTGCACTGAGAGCCTTTTGACAACCCCTCCCCCCAGTCCTTTGGTCTCCCCAAGACCTTCCCTTCCCCATGGCCTAGGCACAGGTCCACACTGAAGGAATGGAACCACAACAATGGGGAACCGCAACATGGGAAGGGGCTAGTTAAACTTCTTCGCCCTCGGTCTCCCCCAAGCGCAGGGGATCAGCCTTGAGGCGCGGAGCTTTCACAGGAGAGGATCCACATGCCCTCAGGTGCTCTCGTCTTCTTTCAGGTAATCTTGCCAACATCCACCCACCTCCCTGGGAAATGCACCCCAAAGCTGAGAGAGCTCCCAGCTGTAGTCTGCCCTCTCCCATTCCCAGTTCAGCATAAACATCAGTTATCAACCTGGCTACATGCTAAAATCTCCCAGGGAGCTTTTAAAGAATCATCCACCCTTAGAGATTCTGATTTATTTTGGTCTGGAATGTAGTCTGGGTGTCAAGGTTTTGTTGTTGTTGTTTTAACAAACAGACTTTATTATTTGGAACAGTTTTAGGTTGACAGAAAAAATGAGTAGAAAGTACAGAGTCCCATACACCCTCTCACCTGCCTCTCCCACCCCCCAGTTTCCCCTGTTAGTATCATTTGCCTTAGTGTGGTACTTTTTTTTTTTTTAAAGGTGGATATATGACAATGTATTTTTAAAAAATGTTATTTATTTTTTTATTTTGGGCTGCATTGGGTCTTTGTTGCTGTGCGTGGGCTTTCTCTAGTTGTGGTAAGTGGGGGCTTCTCTTGTTGCGGAGCATGGGCTCTAGGCGTGCTGGCTTCGGTAGTTGTGGCACGCGGGCTCCAGAGTGCAGGCTCAGTAGTTGTGGTGCATGGGATTAGTTGCTCCGCGGCATGTGGGACCTTCCCGGACCAGGACTCGAACCCGTGTCCCCTGCATTGGCAGGCGGATTCTTAACCACTGCGCCACCAGGGAAGTCCTGTCTGTGACACTTGATCACTTCTTTTATGAAACTCTCCAGTCTGTCTCAGTATCCCACTCTCCCGGTTTCTTCTATGAATAGAAAATTATCCAGACATTGGAAATAAGAAAAAGGAACAGGAAAAATAGGCACACTGATGTTGTTTCAGTGTAGTGCCGGCTGCTCTCTAACATGCCTGTTCCACCTGGGATCATCTCATTCTCTAGGGAAGGGTACCCTGGCTTGACTTCCGATTTACTATTGATTAGGGTATTTTGCAACTCTGTAAGAGCAGAAGTTAATATATAGAAAATTCACAATGAGCAAATCATTCTTTTTTTAAATTTATTTCTTTTGAGTAAATAATTCTTGTCCAATAGTAATGCAAATTTTTTCTGTCTGGTAGAAAAGGGAACCCCAAAGGTTACAGTTTCTTGCCTTGCAGAGCATTAACCTCTGTGGTTAAATTCATTTCAATATTCCTTTGATTGACCAACTTGGTATTCATGCTCAAATTCTCTTTTGAGCTAGTCTTAATATCTTCCTGGGGACTTCCCTGGTGATGCAGTGGTTGGGAATCCGCCTGCCAATACAGGAGACATGGGTTCGAGCCCTGGTCCGGGAAGGTGTGCCACAACTGCTGAGCCTGCGCTCTAGAGCCTGTGAGCCACAACTACTGAGCCCGCACGTGCTCCACAATAAGAGGAGCCACCGCAATAAGAAGCCCGCATGCTGCAATGAAGAGTAGCTCCTGCTCGCCGCAACTAGAGAAAGCCCGCGCACAGCAATGAAGACCCAATGCAGGGCCTCCCTGGTTGCGCAGTGGTTAAGAATCCGCCCGCCAATGCAGGAGACACGGGTTCGAGCCCTGGTCTGGGAAGATCCCACATGCTGCGGAGCAACTAAGCCCGTGTGCCACAACTACTGAGCCTGTGCTCTAGAGCCCGCGAGCCATGACTACAGAGCCTGTGTGCCACAATTACTGAAGCCCGCGCGGCTAGAGCCCGTGCTCTGCAACAAGAGAAGCCACCGCAGTGAGAAGCCTGTGTACCACAATGAAGAGTAGCCCCTGCTCGCTGCATCCAGAGAAAAGCCCGCGTGCAGCAAGGAAGACACAACACAGCCAAAAAATAAAATAAATAAAATAAATAAATTTACTTTAAAAAAAGACCCAATGCAGCCAAAAATAAATACATAAATAAATAAATTTATAAAATCTTACTGATGTCCTCATTCATTAATGAGGATTAAAAGCTTTGACGTGTTCATTTAATATTTGGGAGTCATGTTTTTTAACTTTTTTGAAAATTGTTCTTTGCTGCTACTAGTGTTGTGACCTCACCTCAGCAGGCTGCACTAAGGAAAGGAAGGGGCGGTGGGGGTGAGTTAGGTGAACAGAAAGGTACAGGCAACAAGGGCTTTTCTGACAGGAGTCTAGGACCCCTGGTGTTTGCTGGATGCCCTGGCTTGCCCTGGATTCCTGATTCTCATGCCAGCCAGAGGTCCCCCAGGGAGCTGGTTCTCCTCTAAACTGTGCTGAATTGCAATGCCTGAGTCCTCGAGGCTCTTACCCTGCAGGGAGAGGGGCCTGCGCAACCTTCTCTGCTGGCCTCTTGATGTCCATAGCTGAGGAGGGATTGCTTCCTCCTCTCCCCATGCCCCACCCCCTCAGGCCTATGGAATACATGTAATGGCGCGGTCTGTGACTGTGGCCCAAAGCTGGCCAGCTAAGTACAAACTTTCTTTGAAATGTTCTTTAAAATTCATGCAAGTGCATTCCATACATTTAACCCAATCTTGTAACTACTGTGTCCCTTTCATCAAGGAAAACTAGCCCTCTAAAGAGCTCCATCTCGTGTTTGCTCTGTGTTTTAGACCATATTTAAAAAAAAGCAAAACCAACCAACCAAACAAAAAACTATGATGTACTGTACCCCTTCTGTCTGATCCTGTATCTACATATAATTATCTCATTTAAGCCTCACAACCTCCCATGGTGGGTAATGACCCATTTTACTGATGAAGAAATTGAAATTCCTAAGGGTTAAGTAGCTTGCTTGCCCAAGGTCACATGTGGTGTAAGGGGCGGAGCCAGCCAGCTTGAGACCCAGGTGTGCCTGATATTGATCATGTTCTCCCTTGGTTTATAATTATTTGCTTCTCCATTGTCAGAGCTGGTAAGGCCTTGGAGACCCTAGGATCCCACCTCCACCCTCCTCAGATGGGAAGACAGGACCAGAAAGGGGTCAGAACTAGCCCAAGGTAACACAGGGAGGAAGGTGCAAAATCAGGACTCAAAGCAAAAACTGACCAGTGGCGCCCTCTGGAAGCCTAGAGGACACTCCCTCTCTACCAACCAGGTTCTTGTTAGAAATGTCCGCAAGAAACCATGCTCAGAAGTCTCCAGTAAACCGAGCCCTTGGGAGACACGAAATTAGCGTTCAAGCTCACTACCCTCTTGGAGTCTCAATTTTGCGGTATGTAAAATGGGCCAACTATTGGGAGACTTGAGACAAAGGTTGTCAAGGCAAGTGCATTGTAAACCCACAGACTTGCCCAGAAGTGACAGACCAAGGCTCATTCTGGTTGCTAAGGCTCACATCCGGATTTTGTCCTTTAAATAGCCTGTCACCTTGGGTAAATTTCAATGCCTCAGTTTCCTCAAATGTGAAATGGGGATAGTAAAAGTAGAAACTTCATTGGGTTGTTGTAAGGATTCAAGCGCTTGGAACAGTCACTGGCAGGTAATGATAATTCAGTAAAATTAGCTTTGATTACAAGTTTACTGCTCAAGGTGTAGCTATTTTCTAAGCCCAGACTGTAGCGAACTGCTCCAGGCCCCGCAGGGGGGTGGCCCTCCAGCAGGCCCTGCCTCCGTTCCCACTCGGTCCCGCCTCCTCTTCACCAGATCCCGCTCCAGCCGTCCAGGGTTCCTCTCACCGCCAGAGGGCGTCGGCGCTGAAGAGAGCCTTCTAGCCGCAGCAGGCGACGCTCTAGGTAGCGGCTGCTCTGTGGCCTGTGGCAGTGGCGCTCTAGCCCGCGGTGTGCGGGGCGAGCTCTCAGTGGTGCGGCCGGCGGGCGGCGATGGCGGCCGTACGGGGCCTGCGAGTGTCGGTGAAGGCGGAGGTCCCGGCGGGGCCGGCCTTGGGGCCCCCGTCGCCTGAAGCTGAGTCAGGTTTGGACCGCGGCGAGCCGGAGCCCATGGAGGTGGAGGAGGGCGAGCTGGAGGTCGTGCCGGTTCGGCGCTCGCTAAAGGAACTGATCCCGGTACGGGCGGGGGGCGGGGGCGAGGGCGAGGGCGAGGAGGAGGTCGCTGAGCGAGTGTCCCGCGCCGGTGGGGGCCGGAAGGGGAGGTGGCCGGGGCTGGGGGAAGTCTGGGGAAGGGATGAGGGGGGCGAGCGCCCGGGGGGCGAGGGCGCCAGGCTTGAGCAGAGACGGGCAGCGAGAGAAAGGACGCTGGGGCGCCCGGAAATGGGTGTTGAGGGGGCTGGAGGAGGTGGGGAAGAGCTGGGGGGTAGTTGAGGACACCCCCTTCGCTGCCCCTCGGAGTCAGTCTGTGCAAGAGTGTGAATGAGGAGGGGTTGGGCTTATCTGGGGGCTTGAGATAAAGGGCGAGCCCCGGGCGGGAACAGAACCAGGAGCGGCCCAGAAAGAACTGTCGAGTGGCGCGGGCATCCCGGTCTCTTTGTGGGTCCTACTCCGGTGGAGCTGGTGTCTGTTAAACATAGCACTCGCGGTTTCCCTTGGGAGAGCTGGGCTTGTCAGCTGCAGAAACTCTGTGTTTCTGTTGTGACTTGAGGGTCATCTTGTCCCCGCGCGGCTCCGCTGTTACACCGTGGCTCCAGCATCTCACCCTTAATGAAAACAAAACATCAGTGAACCAGCAGTGGTCCTTGGTCCCTCTTTTATCACAATGGGGATGCTGAGAGGTGTTTTTGCTTTTGGTTTGGTGGTCTTGTGTCCGGTTCTTAGGGCTGGTCTCAGGCCTGCATGGCTTCTCTCATGTACTTAATTTCTCACCTAACATGGACTACTTTTTAGCACATGTCTGCTAGCCTTGCTTTTAAATTAAGATTATGGAAAAAGATTTTTTAAAAAAAAGGTAAGAGCACTAAAGACAGTAAATTATAGTGACTCTGGCAACAACAACTAACATAGTGGCATTTTACCATTTACTACATTATATCATTTAAAATATCACTGAGGTTGTGAAGTAGGTGTTATCATCCCTTCATTCCTTCAGTTCAACATGTACTTATTGCGTCCCCCACTTAGTGCCAGCCACAGTCCTAGGCACTTGACCAAGATCAAGACCAGACTGTGTCCTGGAGTTTATGTTCCAGTTGGGGGGACACAAGTAAACTAATAATTTACGGTAGTGGTGAGTGCTGTGGAGAGAATACAGCATGTTAATGGGATGGAAGTGTGCAGAGGGCAGGGAGGGTGTGCAGAGCCGGAAGCAGAATGGCATAGGATGGTCAGCAAAGTCCTCTGAGATGGTGAAATTTAAGCTGAACCCTAGGTGACAAAAAGGAGCCGTCCATGTGAAGATTTGGAAGAGAGCGTTCCCAGCAGGGGCAACAGTAAGTGCAGAGGCTCTGAGATGGGCACAAGATTGTTTTGTTGGAGAAAGGTAAAGTTCTGTAGCACAAGTGGGAGAGCAGTTAAAAGGGGTCAGAAAGGTAGGCGGATACCACAGAGGAAACCTAGGCCCAGAGAGGCCAAAGGAATTGTACAGCGTCATGTAATCAGTGAACGTCAGAGCTGTGATTTGAGTCCCCAGGCTTCCAAATCCCATCCTATTTTCATTGCACTGTGCTGTGTTTTCCCCAGAAGGTCGAGGTGAGTCCTGACTTTCTGCATTTTGGTGAAGACTTGTGCTCCATCTGGTGGCCTGGCACAATGAATTTGTCCAGTCTGGGTTGGGGAGATAAGTGACCGTGCCTCACCTTGGATATTTTTCATGAACGCCTTTAGATTTTCATTTACACGGATACCTTCAGTAGATGGAATTACTTTAGGTTGTGGATAGGCCTAGAAAAGCCTTCCTGGTATAGTAGTTGATGGCTACATGGAGCCACTGGGACAGGCTTCCCCATAATATGAGGTTGTCGGGGCGGGGGAAGGATTGCTGAAAAGAACGACCCTCCAGAAGGAATGGGTTGTCAGGCTGTTGTTTATCATGTGCTTGTCGTCGGTTGCTCGTTAGCAATTCTCACCCATCCCCTTCTTGTTAGGACACAAGCAGAAGATATGAAAACAAGGCTGGCAGCTTCATCACTGGAATCGATGTCACCTCCAAGGTAAGACAGACCATGATTCATTTATTCATTTTGAGAAGCAGGTGAACTTAATGAACGAATCTCTAGGAGAACAGCAATTACTCTTTACCTCCTTTTTTCTTTTGTTGTTGGATTGAAACTTTTTTTTAGGTTTAAATTTTGTGTTATACCGTGATGGCTTCATGCACCCTGAGAACATTCAGACAGCGTTTGTGTGTTGTTGAATCCATGAGAAGATGTAATCACTGTACCCGGATGCCTGTAATTAACCACGTCCAAGAAAAAGTTCTGCGCTGGAGTGCTTTTTTTATGCTGTCCATTCTTTAAAAATGTGTAAACTGTTTCCACTTTATTTTATTTATTTATTTATTTTTGTTTCCACTTTAAATGAAGCAAAACGTGAAAGTGCCTTGCACATAGTAAGCCCTTAGTAAACGTCTTTATTCCTCACTGGTTGAGGCCAAGAAAAATACGATTTCCTGAATGTGTGTGTGTGGCTAAACTTTGAAGGCCAAGTGGACTGAATTATTCCCAGTACCTGGGAGTATTGCCTTTTATCTAGTGATTGCTGTTACTAGATTACCAGCTTCACTGTAACTCTTCACAGAACGAAACACATTATTTTCTTTACAATAAACAGTTGATACTTATTTGTTGCTTTAATTGCTGATGATATTCAGCTTAAACATTGTTTCTGATTTTAATGTGTGCAGTTAAGTTTCGAAGAGAGTTTAAGTTACAATTCTGAATAAATAATACTGTGTTACTATATTGGATGTGTGAAAGCAAAAATAAAAATAAGTATGTCATGCTAACTTTTTTGTGTTTTATCTGGGTCTCAATCTCTGATTGCTTAAAGACCAAAAGAAGGAACTGATCATCTTTTTTGACAAGAAAATAGAATAAAGTGAAGATGTTTTCTTTTTGTAATTGAAAAAGAAGTATACAGGACTCTTCTTAAGCCCACACCGTTTACCATTATATGAAACAAATATGTGGGGGAAAGGGTGGTAGCCAAGAATTGGTACTAAAGTCTTACTAAAGGAAGGTAGATTAGTTGTTTCCAGTGGGAAAACTTAAGTGAAGAAAATTAGCATAACTATTGGGAAATAACAGAATTGTTGCTGCTTTACCAATCCCCACAAGCTTTTTATAGTCAGACCTTCAATTAGTGTGGCAAAGTCAATATACAATTAGTGAAGCTTCCTAAAAGCTATCAGAAACCCACAGTTGGACCTGGATTTATTTTACCTCTTGGGAAAAAAATTTAGGAAACTGATTGTTTTGTTTTTTAGAGAGCATCAATGCTTCTTGTCACTTATAGATGAAAACTGGCAATTCCGTGGGCACAAGTTTAGAATAGAGGAGAGAGTTTCTTTGCTTCAATGTTATTTTCAAATGCAGAAAAAGCTTTAGGGAGTGGACTGCTCAGGCAGACGTAATGTGATAGGTGTGATTACCATGCACACAGACCTTGTGAAATGGGGGTGGTGGGGGGGCTTCTAGAAATAGCACTGAGATCAGAAGATCTGCCCCTTATTAGCTGAAGTGCCTCCAGCAAACCTTTTAACTTTCTTTGTGCCTCAGTTTCTGCACCTGAAAGATTGGAATGTTAAGATTGTTTAGTTACAATTTGTTTACATGATTTCTAATAATAAATGTCAAACCATTATTCATTACTCACTGAATCAACAAATATTCATTGAATTCCTACTGTGTCCCAGATACAGCGATAGGCAATGAATCGTTGTAGAGATTATTACAAATTATAGCACTATTAGTGTATACCCTCCCAGTCATTGACTGTGAATATCTAGTTCTTTGCAAAAATTATTAAAGGCACAATGTTGCTTATTTCTTCTAAGTTACTTGTCACTGATGCATCATTTTGTGTTTGTGATTTAACTTTCCTCTTCCATGTTTCACTTCTTTGGCTTTTTCTATACCTTCTAGGAAGCAATTGAAAAGAAAGAACAGCGAGCTAAGCGCTTCCATTTTCGCTCAGAAGTAAATCTTGCCCAAAGAAATGTAGCCTTGGACCGAGACATGATGAAGAAAGGTACAGGGTGTTCGGGGGGAATTTTTCCACATTCTCCCAGAGAATGACTTTTCCCTGCCAGGGCCTCATGCTTCTGGCCTTGCCTTGCATGTCCAGTCCTCATCCAGATACTGCCAAAGGAAGGAACTGGTGAATTCCCCATTTCTGAGGTGACCTGTTAAAGTTGAGCTGCATTAGCTGTCTCTCAGATGTCAGAGCTGGGAAGAAGGAGATTGTCTTCTCTGAGAAGCCCCAGAGAACGTCACCTAGTTGGAGGCAGAGCTGAGATTAGAACTGTGCTTCTGTGGACTCATTTTCTGCTTTTAACATAGTGTTAACTTTTCTTTGCCTTTAAATATAGTGGGAGTGTATCACAGTGAGACTGTCTTTTAGGGGAGTCAGATTGGTCGGGGGGATACCATTAATACTTCGGTTGATACAGGCTTGTGATTTTATTTTATTTTTGTGTTTTGTTAGGGTAAGTATCATGCTTCCTGAAATTCACCCTGAATTATCATATCTAGTAATCTACCCCAATTTTCGAAAGCAATTTATAGAGGGGAAGATTATTATTACCCTTTTAGTGAGTTCACAGTCATATGTATTATTCCATAAATGCAAATGACCGCCCTCTGTTGTATTTGCAAATTTGGGATTTGTGAAGGGCTTAATAGGCAGCCTTCTGAATGTATGTTAAAGGTCTATGCTCTGCTGTGTGAGTTTCTCTAGGCTTGCTTGTTTGATAAAAACATGTTGAATGAATGAAAGAATAGCGACTATTGGGAACTTGCTCTCTTACCAGGCACTGTGTTAATTAGCGGGTTACATATTTGTTTCGTACTCATTTCTCACAACAACCCCATGAGGAATGTATTTTTATCCCTATTTTACAGAGGAAACAGGCCCAAAGAAGTTAAATAAATGCCCAGGTTTACACAGCTAGTAAAAGTAGAGTCAGGGTTAGAACCTGATAAACCAGATAAACCCAGGTTTATCTGACTCTAAAGCCTTGCTCTTAACTACTTTGCTCTGTTGCCTTACAATATGTGATATGACACCAGAGACCCAAACCTCATTCCGTGCCAGTGGACAGAGTAGCTCGGATGCAGAGCTCAACTCTGGATGCTGCTTTACTCCTTTTTTCTGCATAATGAGTTCAGTTTGGAAATACGACCTTGCTTCCCTTGCAGGCCAGGCATCCAGGCATCTGCTTGAGTGGATTTTTTTGTTTCAGAAAAAGTCCTGTGAAGGCATAGGCATTCATGTGCCTGCACGGTCTAGACCCAGGCAGGTGTCGGAGGCCTTTCTTACAGCTCGACCTTGAAAGCCCCCCTGTTTCCTTCTAGTCCCGTGAGCAGTCCTTGTGACATCTTGCTTCTGACCTTGCTCATGCCTGTCACTCTGTTGATTTGCCCCTCCTTGTCCCATGCTTTTTCGTTTCAGATGTCACTGCCTCTGTGAAGCATCCCTAATTACCCACTTCAGCCTCTCTTCCCACCTGTGTTGGGGCTCTTTAGAGTGCTGAGCCCTCCTGGGATCTAGTCTCAGTTCCTTAGTGAATGCGGGCGAGTTAGTGAACCTTTTTAGGTCTCACTTTCCTTGTTGTAAAATGGGAATAGGATACCTTCCTGAAAATGATCACTTTCGGGGTTAAATTTTAATTAAAAAAAAATGTTTTTTTGAAAAGTAATCCCGATCTCATGGTTTTAAAGATTTTCTTAAAAACAATAGATCTGCCTGGAATGTCAGTTGCTCATTACAACCTGTTTTTTGATCCAGGAAGCAGCATGGTTTTGGAGTGTGTTCTTGAACTCCAGAGAACCCTGCTGCCTTTCCCAGATCAATTTAAATTAGAGTGGGGGAATGGGTTTGGATAGATCTCAGAGATAGTTATTATTTTTATATCTCCTCAGGTAATTCTAATGTGCAGTCAGGATTGAGAACCACTGGTGTTGTGGTTAAGAGCATGGGTTCTGAAGTCTGACTGCCTGTATTCAAACCCTGACTTGTCACTTTCTAGCTCTTTGACCTTAGGTAAGTTGTTTAGCCTCTAAGAACCTCAGTTTCCTCATCTGGAAAGGCAGGTTAACGTTCTTATAGGGTGGTTGGGAGGCTCTGACAAAATGTTACGATTCTTAGAGTGGTGTCTGGCATATAGTAAATGTTAGTTATTATTATTATCTGGCATTCTCCATCTTCCAAACAGTCATCTAAGTGGTCCAGCCTCTTGGGAGAATGGGGACATTGGAATAAGCATCTTGATTCCTGCAGCCACAGTAGGTGTCAAGTTATTTCTTCTTATTAATATCAACAGTAATAAAATACACCATTTGATAAATGCTTACTATGTGCCAATCACTCTGCTATGTGGTTAGCTTATCTTCCAACAACCCTGTTGCAGGGAACGTATTTATCATTTCTGTTTTACTGGTGAGGAAAGTAAGGTGCTGAGAGGTTGAGAAACTTGCTCAAGTTCCCACAGGTAGTAAGTAGCAAGGCTGGGATTCGAAGGCTGGTCTGACTGAAGCCTGTGTTCCTAATCTCTCTGCCAGCTTCAGGGATGTGGTTTGGGATGCGCTGCACTAGACCAGTCCTCATCAAGAGTAACTCGCTACTTTTGAGTGACAGTGTCAAGCAGCTTCTCTTTATCTCCAAGATCAAAGCTCTCATGGTTGGAAAGGACCTTAGAGGTCATCTGGATCCCACCTCCTGCCCAGTGCTGCAGGCCTTTGGGCAAAGTTCCCCGTGGTCCTTTGGCCTCTGCCTGAACATTTCCTAGTGGTGGCATGAGAACTATTTATGAAGCAGTCAGTCTTTTTGTTTTTGTTTTAATTAAGGCATGCATACTGTTTATTTATTTATCTTTCTTTCTTTCTTTTTTTTTTTTTTTTTGGCCGCACCCTGTGGCATGTGAGATTTTAGTTCCCCAACCAGGGATCGGATCTGTGCCCTCTGCAATGGAAGCGCATAGTCTTAACCACTGGACCTCCAGGGAAGTCCCCACGGTCTTGTTTTTGGATACTTCTTCATGTTGAACAAAAATTGCTTTCTAGTAATTTCTGTCTCTTAGTTACTGTGTAACTCTTAGAACAACATTAAGTCCTTTCCTCATTCACACAGTAACTCTTCAGGTGAAGGAATGGACAGCCCATTCCCTAAACTTTCTTATGCAGCATGACTTTCTGGTCTCCCTCCTATAGACCCTTCCCAGTTTCTAAATGTCCTTCATCAGATGAGGTACAGATTCCAGATTTGGTTGGATTCGTGCAATGCATGGCAGGACTCTGACCACGGTTTCTGTCCCAGCCATTTCATAGTAGTCATCTTCTAGTCAACCAAAGCACCAGTTCTTTCCCTCAGGAATTGCACCTATCAAAACAGTCTTTCTCATCTTGTACTTGAGACATTTTAAAAAGTTGCCTTTTTGTTTATCCCTATTAAATTATATCTTGATTTCAAGACTCCATTTCAGCTTACGGAGTTAATTTTCATCTTGACTCTGCCTTTCAGCATTTTAGCTGCACTCCTCACTTTGTTATGCATGGCTTCTGCATCTTTTTCCAGTTGTTGGTAAATGTCAAACAGGATAATCCCGTATCATGCCATGACACACAGATCCGTGAATTATAGTCTTATTCTGTTATCAGGCCCACCTATCATTTTATTGTCATGGGGAACTAGATTACATGCCTTAATAAACTTGAGATAGAACATGTCTGTGGTATTCTTTGAATTTCTTGGCCTGCTAATCCAATCAAAAAAGAAATGAGGTTAGCTGGCTTGCTTCTTAGTGAACTCATGTCATTTCCTATGGGAAAGACTTAGTTTCTTAAGGGATCAGAGATTCTGTCTGATAAGCTATTTTTTAAAAATTTCAGAGAATGACAATCTTTTGCATCGTTTGGGAATTTCTCTTTTCCTCTTTTCTGAAAATCAGTACAGAATTAGTCCTTCTCAAGGCTTTAAGGTACCTCGTTCCTTCCCTGCAACTTTTTAGAGATTACTGCCTAATTCTGAAATCACTGCTTTGTGTTTTGGTTAGTACAGTGGGGCGTAATTCTAGATTAGAAGACTTAAATCTATTAAAACTATTTCTAAAGCCCTTCTTGTCACCTATCTTGGGTTTTAGTTCTTACTTAATGATAGCTATTCTACTGCCCTTTAGCAGTACAGCAAAATAGATCAGCAGTTCTGCCCTTTTCCCCAAAGCAACGTTGCTCCAAACACCTGGGGAAAAAAAACCCCACCATTGCCCCCACCCCCACACCACCCCCCCACCCCCGCCGTGCCGCTTGGCTTGTAGAATCTTAGTTCCCTGACCTGGGATTTAACCCGGGGCCATGGCAGTGAAAGCGCCGAGACCTAACCACTGGACCACCAGGGAAGTCCCCCATTGGCATTTTTTTTTTTTTTGCGGTATGAGGACCTCTCACTGCTGTGGCCTCTCCCGTTGCGGAGCACAGGCTCCGGACGCGCAGGCTCAGCGGCCATGGCTCACGGGCCCAGCCGCTTTGCGGCATGTGGGATCTTCCCGGACCAGGGCACGAACCCGTGTCCCCTGCATTGGCAGGTGGACTCTCAACCACTGCGCCACCAGGGAAGCCCCCACCATTGGCATTTTTGATGAGCCTGTTTGCTCTGGACTGTAACCTTTTCTTCATTAGATGTTAGACAAACATTTCGCGTCCGCCAAAGAAAATTTGGAAAGTAAAGTAAGAAGAAAAATTGCCCACAGTGCACCACCCAAATGCAGTCATTGTCAACATTTTGTGCATTTCCTTCTAATCTTTTCTGGGTATGGACTTTATTTTTGCTTTTCCCTTTGTAGTCCTACTGCTTTCTTCCTTTTCACTTGACAGTCTGTCATCAGCATTTTCCATGTTACTATAGAGCCTGATGTAGTCTTTCAGATTCGTACATGTCTTACATTTATTCTCTTATATTGGTAATTTACCCTTTATCTGTCTCCCATATGTGTTCTTTGGTGAGTTGTGCTCACCTAAGCTTTGTTGCTTTCTCTTTTCTTGGGATCACTGCTCATACTCTGAGTTACTGTATTTAGTGTCTTCCAAATTCTTTGATCATCCTAATCTGAGGCTTTGAAATTGGCTACTTTTTCTCTGGATTCTCAGAAATCTGCTTTCTTAAAGACTTGAGTTTTGTGTCCTACGACCTGTCATTCATTGTCTTCTTTCCTGTTGGAAAATCCAAGATGATTCCCTCACCACCTTGCTTGTAGTCAACACTCAGTAAATGCCCAGTTCTCATTCCCCAGTTCATTTGTTCACTGCCACCTCAGCAATTAGTCCTTTCTCATCATCTGGGCATAAATCTAGGCGCCTTCTTTGTTGCTTTGTTTTATTTTCAGCAGTGACATTGGCAGGCTTCCATCAAATCTTAAGCTTGTCTCATATATGATTAAATCCTTCATATCAGCATCTCCTACAAGATTTTCTTCTGCCTGCTCCTCAGTCTGATTCCTCTACCCTCACCAGGAGCTCTTCTTGTTGTTTACCCTCTTCAAAACCATCTCTTTACTTCCCAAAGGATTTTTTCCTCCAAAATCATGGCTTTTAGCTTGAAGAACTGAGAAGGTCCCCTGGGCTACCTCTTCAGTTTCCCATCCTGCGTGGTAGAGTTACTCTGCATGTCCAGTGTGGACATCCATCTCATTTGGGGTTCTGTTCATTGTTGCACTGCTGGTCACTAATAAGGACTTGCTAAGGATTCATAAGTCTTTTTTTTTTTTTGGCCGCACCATGCAGCATGCGGGATCTTAGTTCCCTGAGCAGGGATTGAACTCATCCCCTCAGCAGTGGAAGCACAGATTCTTAACCACTGGACCACCAGGGAAGTCCCAGGATTCATAAGTCTTGATGGTATCTCTGTCTTCATGAATCTGAGTTGGCAGGAAGATACTTACCTGATTTATTCTGCCCACACCTAATGGGCTCCCATTAAACCTATCTTTTACTCTTCAAAATAACAAAAAAAAAAAAAAGAACTTTTATCTGAAAGTATTCACATGTATTTCAAGTTCATTTGTTTTAAATAAAATATATGACATATAAAAACATACTTAGGAGTAATGGATGCTGAATTCTTTTTTTTTTTAAATTAATTTATTTTTTTGACTGTGTTGTGTCTTCATTGCTGCACGTGGGCTTTCTCTAGTCGCGGAGAGCAGGGGCTACTCTTTGTTGTGCAGGCTTCTCATTGCAGTGGCTTGTCTTGTTGCGGAGCACGGGCTCTAGGCACACGGGCTTCAGTAATTGTGGCACGCGAGCTCAGTAGTTGAGGTGCACGGGCTTAGTTGCTCCATGGCATGTGGGATCTTCCCGGACCAGGGCTCGAGCCTGTGTCCCCTGCATTGGCAGGCGGATTCTTAACCACTGCACCACCAGGGAAGTCCCAGATGCTGACTTCTTGACAGAACTACTTTGGAGAAGCTCGGGGAGAGAAGGGACGTGGAGCACTTACATAGGCCCTAGGGGTTTTTTTTGTTTGTTTTTGTTTTTAAATTTATTTATTTTATTTATTTATTTTTGGCTGCGTTGGGTCTTCGTTGCTGCGCACGGGCTTTCTCTAGTTGTGGCGAGTGGGGGCTACTCTTCATTGCGGTGCGCGGGCTTCTCATTGCAGTGGCTTCTCTTGTTGCAGGGCATGCGCTCTAGTCGCCCAGGCTTCAGGAGTTGTGGCTCACAGGCTCAGTAGTTGTGGCTCGCGGGCTCTAGAGCACAGGCTCAGTAGTTGTGGCGCATGGGCTTAGTTGCTCTGCAGCATGTGGGATCTTCCCAGACCAGGGCTCAAACCCGTGTCCCCTGCACTGGCAGGCGGATTCTTAACCACTGCACCACCAGGGAAGCCCGGGCCCTAGTTTCATATGTAGTGTTTTATTTGCCTCAAATCTTTTTTTTTTTTTTTTTTTTTTGTGGTACGCGGGCCTCTCACTGTTGTGGCCTCTCCCGTTGCGGAGCACAGGCTCTGGACGCACAGGCTCAGCGGCCATGGCTCACGGGCCCAGCCGCTCCACGGCATGTGGGATCTTCCCGGACCGGGTCACGAACCCGTGTCCCCTGCATCGGCAGGCGGACCCTCAACCGCTGCACCACCAGGGAAGCCCTATTTGCCTCAAATCTTTTTAAGAATTTAAGCGTAAAGCTAGGTGGTGGATATACAGGTTTTAAAAATATTTTTTCTTTGTTGATATATTTGCGTATTTCACAATTAAAAAGATTAAATGAGATAATGTGCTTAAAGTATTTAGTAAAAAATTAGCACAATTCTGGTAAGGCTGAGGTTCCTTTAGACCACAGCCTTCAACGTTTCTTCCTTCCCAGAGGTAACAGCTCTTATCAGTGTGGAGTGAATTATTCCAGACTTTCTTCTATGTATTTGTGTACACAAATATATACCCTTAGAAAATATATGGTGATATTTATGTTTTAATTTTTTTAATGTATGTATTTTTCTGCAGCTTTTTTTCACTCAGTAATGTGTCTTAGAATCTTTCCATGGTATATAATAAATTATCTCATTGTTTTTAACTGCTTAATATTCTATAATATGGATAAACCATGATTCATTTAATATGGATAAACCATAATTTATTACTCTGATAGCTACTGGGTTATTAAAATAGTGCTGCAACAAACATCTTTGTGTGGACCACTCTGTGAGCCCATGTGTATTTAGGATAGATACTGAAGAGAATTCCTTTGCCTATAGGGCATGTGCTTAATTACATTTGTAATAGACACTCCTAGTTGCACTTCAGAGTGGCTGTGGCAGTTCACACTCCCACCAGCAGAGGGAGGGGCTCTTTCCTCCACACTGCCACCAATTGATACTAAAAGACATTAATTAAAAACATAGTCAGTGGGCTTCCCTGATGGCACACTGGTTAAGAATCCGCCTGCCAATGTAGGGGACACGGGTTCAAGCCCTGGTCCGGGAAGATCCCACATGCTGCGGAGCAACTAAGCCCGTGCGCCACAACTACTGAGTCTGTGTTCTAGAGCCCGTGAGCCACAACTACTGAAGCCCGCGTGCCTAGAGCCTGTGCTCCGCAACAAGAGAAGCCACTGCAATGAGAAGCCCATGCACCGCAACAGAGAGTAGCTCCCGCTCGCCACAACTAGAGAAAGCCCGTGTGCAGCAACGAAGACCCAACGCAGCCAAAAATAAATAAATTAAAAAAACAAACAAACAAAAAAACCTGATCAATGAAAACTGATACCTTGTTTTAAGGTGGACTATCCTGATAGTAGTGAGGTCAACCATCTCTTCATGTTTATTGGCCTTTTCTGTTTCTTTTTGTGTGAATTGCCTGCTCATGTCCTCTGCCCATTTTTATTTGGGGCTGTCATTTTCTATTGATTTGTAGGATTTCTTTGCTCTACTTTCATACTTTGCTTTACATCCAGGGGCAGTGTCTCTTCTTCTTCTCAGAACTGTCTTGACTGTCGCACATTTCTCATTGACATATCTTTAAAAAATTTTAGAATCAGTGTATCAAGTTCAATGAATAGCCCTGTTGAATTCGGTATTGCTTTCATCATTACAGGTCATTTTGAGACGAGGTGTCATGTATATAATCAACACCATTTGTTTAATCTTCCTCAGCCTAATAAGCCCATTCTGAATAGTCATTTATTTAATGCTATTGCTGTGTGATAAAAATTAAAATAGTTTACCTTACTGTCAAGTCTCATTTTCTTTTGAAATAATTATTATCTCTTTCAGCATATTTCTGTTTAAAATACCTATTATCTGAACTGTTACAACGGGCTACTGGTGGATTGTACAACAGCAGGTGTCTTGTTTTTCTAGCAATCCCCAAAGTGAGGCTGGAGACAATCTACCTTTGCGGCGTAGATGAGATGAGCACCCAGGATGTCTTTTCCTATTTTAAAGAATATCCTCCGGCCCACATTGAGTGGTTGGATGATACCTCCTGTAAGTAACCCAGGTTACTTGGATATGCTTCTGTTTATGATTTTAAAAGAATTTTTGCCATCTCAAATGGTGAATGATTTTGGCCAGACTATGTCTAACCTCTGCCTTTAGCCTAGGAGAGAAAAAATTGCTCACTGCTGAGAACCAGAGTGCGTTAACCAGTCTGCCAGATCGTACTCCATGCGTATTCTAAGTCAGCTCACAGGTGGTTATCCGGCCTCTAGGCGGATGGTTGTTGGCAGCTGAGTCCAGGGTACATGACTGAGGCCTCTCTTAACACCCACAGTTTCCCAACAAAGGGGTGGGTCCAACTGCATAGACTTGGGGCTGCATTTTCAGGGCTTTAGACTTTGTCATTGCAACTTGCCATACAGCTTTTCAGAGCGCTATCTCTGACCTAGAACTAGACCAGAACCCTCTGACACAGTGCCAGACCTCTCATCTCTGCTTGCTTTGGACTGTGTTTTCTGGAGCTTCATCTGCTGGCCCTAATCTGGGGGCTGTTCCACTTGTGAGCTAACTGTAGTTTTTAACTTGCGTCCCCTCTCCAAGTCTGGCCTGACCTTTAGTACCCACTCTGCTGGCTTCTTGTCTTGTCTCACTTCTAGTCTGGCTTTACTTTCTGCCAGTGTGCTGACCTGCTTTTCCCGGCTGCTTTCTTAGATGTTAATTCATTGAAAGAAGAAGAAGCATGACTGAGTAAAAGTTTTTCTCCTTTTTTCTTAACTTAGACCATCCAAATCAGGGGATGGCAAGCCTTTTTTATAAAGGGCTGGATGATAAATATTGTAGGCTTTGCAGGCCACACAGTCTCTGTGGAATCTACCCAGCTTTGCCGTTGTATCGTGAAAGCAGCCGTAGACAATATAACTGAATGAGCCTGGCCGTTCTCTGTAGAACTTTGTTTACAAGAACAGGTGGCAGGTGTGTAGTTTATTATACGTTAGTTATAACTAAATAAAGCCGGTTCAAGTATAAATAGATAAATGGATGGGTGATGGATGGATGAATGAATCAATGATAGCAGGTGGTGGGCTGGATTTGCTAACGCCTGATTTATCTAATTAAAACTGTAGCTGAGGGATGTTAGAGTCAGAGGAACCCTTAGAATCATCCAGTTCACCTATCTCGTATTGTACATCAGAAACTGAGAAACAGAAGCGGGAGGTTATTTGCTCAAGACCATGTGGCATATTATTAACAAAGATGAGAATCTTTAGACCTTCATTTCCCAAACTGAGATACAGGAGTAACATAAGTTTGAGAAACGCTGCTTTAAAGTTAAACTTCTCAAAAACCTTTTCTTGCTAAATTCTCTTAAAGAAGCAAATTAAATTGATTGCTGCAAAGCCAGGTGGCTGTCACGCCTCCATTCTATATATCCCATGGATGCCATCGTCACCCACACTTCACAGTAGGGAAACATCATTTAGCATGTCTGGATAACAAGGAACAGCAGAGGGCTTCCATGTAGGGGGCAGTAGAATAAAGGATAATCTAAATTTATTTGAGAATTTTCACCATCATCATCATCGAGAACTGCTAACACTTATGTATAACAGCCACTGTATACCAGGCAGTTTTAATGTACAGAACTCCTTTTCATGGAGTACTTGACCATTATTTTGTGGACCCAGTTTGGGAATGTAGCTCTAGGTTGATTTTATCAAAGAAGTTTTACTACCAGGTTCTGTAGTTCCTTTCATTAGTTGGTGTGTACATTTACTGATGCCAGTCCATAGCTGAATGAGACTTTAGCAGTGAATATGATGTAGTCTCTGTTCTCAAGAAACTTAACCGTTTGGATGTGATGTAACATGTTATCTTATTTTAGGTAATGTGGTTTGGTTGGATGAAATGACAGCCACACGAGCCCTTATCAATATGAGTTCCCTGCCAGCCCTGGATAAGATAAGAAGCAGGGATGCCAATGAGGACAAGTCTGAGAAAAGTAAAAAAGGTAACTGACCACAAAGGAGGGACTTTGGGGCTAAAAGTCCTGTCCTTTACAACTTGAGTTTCTGTGCAGTGTTACATAGCATCTCATCGCCAGTTATTTCTGAAATAAGCTATGATGCTTTGGATCATTAGTAAAGAGGAGGAGAAAATATTAGACTTAGCATGTATGAGATGGAGTTAAGATTCATCTTGTCCCTCACGTTCCGTTTTAGACAAGCAGGAAGACAGTTCCGATGACGACGAGGCTGAAGAAGGCGAAGTTGAAGATGAGAACGCAAGTGATGTAGAGGTCAGTGAGAGGGCAAAGGTGTCTGTAAGGTTTCACTGTAAACAACTGCTTACTGTCTTGGTATTTAAGCCTTAAAGACTTAATACAGTACGTTGTGTTCTTCCTCTGGCTTTCACCGTTATACCTCCTGAGGGGGCACCAGGCTCTTGGCCTTTAAGTTCGTGTGGCTATAATGAATGATTCATCTTGAGATCTTAGTACTCACACTTCTGTATGAAAGGAGATGGTTTTATTGAGAAATCCTTTGAAATGCTATCAAATCAGTAAAATTAAGGAATAGCAAGTAATGGCATATTTCCTAATGGCATATGTACTATTGTTGGAAATATTAAAGTGTATTCATTTTAAAATTATTTATTAAATGCCTACCATATACCAAATTCTAGGTGCTGGGGGTATAGCGTCAAGCAAAACAAAGTCCTTGCCCTTTCGGAGCCTACATTCTAGTGGAGTAGACAGACAATACACTGATACACAGATATGTAATATAATGTCAGGAAGTGATGAGCGCTGTGAAGAAAAATAAAGAAGGGTAAGCAGATAGAGAATGATGGAGACGATTCTTTTAGACAAGGTGGTCAGGGAAGACCTCTGACTTAGACATCCTGCAGAGGAACTGGTGCTGTAATGCTGATGGGTATTAGTAAAGGTAGATTGCTTTCTTAATCAATGGTAACTTTGCTGCTGAATGAATATGAAAAAGGCTTTAATTTTTATGTCGAAAATGCTCTTTTTTCTTAAGTTGGACACGTTGTCTCAGGTAGAAGAAGAATCTCTGCTAAGAAATGATCTTCGTCCAGCGAACAAACTTGCTAAAGGAAATAGGTTATTCATGAGATTTGCTACAAAAGGTAAATGATAATTGGTATTGATTTTTATTTATTTTTATTTTTAATCAAAGTGATTTTTATTGAGTGACACCTCTCTTGAATCAGAACTTAGGTCAAGTAATCTCAAAGATCCTTCAAACTATAATATTCTGTGCTTATAAAATCAATGACTTGCTGCCTGAGTTGGAATTTCACACATTGAAAGTGAATATTAGTTACTTGTATACTTTTGTGGTTTCTAGCTAAAGTAAGTTATTTTCTGTCAAAGCTGGTTTGTCCCATGTGCTTTTCAGCCAGTTTATCATCTGAACTATGAAAACTTTAAAATTGTATTTTAGGTATCATAGCAATATCTTCCTGGACATTGCTAGTAGTGCCATTCAACTCTCATTCTCTAAAGAATTAAATTAAAAGCCTCTTAACAATTCATAAGGCTTTTTACACATAATGATTTGGGTACACATTAATAATGTGTGTGTGGTGGTGGGGGTTGAGTCAGTTGAGAGTTAATTGGAAATGACAACTCTTCACCCCTGAATACTTCAGTAAGTATTTCTGAAGAACAAGGACTTTGTTTTACACACAGTTATCAAAATCAGGGAACTTAGCATTAATACAATACTGTTACCTAATTCGGAGTCCACATTCAGATTGTACCAGCTCCCCACTCTGTATATTTAAACTACCCGGGGGAGAAAAAACTGCCTGGCACACAGTGAGTGCTGTGTAAGTGTCAAGAGTTCATGCTGCTGCTGCTGCTGACAATGACGATTATCAAACACATTGGGATTATTCTTTATACTACTCCCCCACTGAACTAGGATCCACTCTAGGACTGGGTGTTTAAGTCTGCCATGTCGCCTTAGTCTCCCTCAATATGGAACTACTCCTTTGTTTTCCTTGACTGGGACATTTTTAAAGAGGACGGGCTCATTATTTTATAGGCTGCCCCTTAGTTTGTCTGATGTCTCCTAATTAAATTCGGGTTGTGCGTTTATACCACAGAAGTGACATTGTGTCATTTTCAGTGCATCATATCAGGAGGCACATTGTATTTATTTATCCCCTTCCTGAGGATGTTAGCTTTTATCACTTGGTTAAGGTAATGATCGCCAGGTTTCTCCACTATAAAGTTACTCTTTTTCCATTTATAATTTAAAGGTTTGTGGGGAGATGCTTTGAGGTTGTGTAAATAGCCTGTTCCTCATCCAACTTCCATGCAGTAGCTTTAGATCCATTGATGACTTTTCAGCTCTCTCATTTATTAGTTGGCAGTCTGCCGTAAGGAAGAGCTTTCCCTTTTTACCCATTTGTTTATGTATTTACTTAACCTTTTTTACTTATATCAGTTCAGATTCATGGAGTTTTATTCAATGGGTTATCATCCGTTCTATCATTATTTTGTTTCACAAATTATTTTGGATTTGGCCAGTAGAGCCTCTTCAAACTGTTCTTGTGACACGCCTTCGTGATTCTTTGAGTTCTTTCTTTATGGCACAATAAAACATCTTGTTTTGCCAGACTCAACTTGTACTTTCCCTGCCCAGATCTGGAATCAGCCATTTCTCCAAGGAGCTGGTGGGCATGTTTTTTGTAGGGTGCACATTCTGGTTTGTGACACCAAGTTTATCTCTAGCACTGGGTACATTCTCATTGGTGTTCATCCGTTGCGTTCAGTGAGTGCCCGGGGAGCTGTCAAGAGACCTTTATATTATGAAAATATGCGTGCTCACTGACCACCTTTTCTTCCTGTTAACTGGCATTTTAACTTGATAAATGGGGTCTTTTCTTCATTTACTTATTCGAGGGACCATTTGTGTGCATTCTGGATATATGGTGCTGTGCTGTTTTCCTTAAGCCATTTTGAGGAACATCACGGTAAACTGGAAAGAAAATGGTTTGCCAAATACATGGACCTGTGTATAATCTGTTTCTTTGACCCTGATTCTGTGTTATTGGAGTGTTGTCATTCAGAAATGAATATCATCTTTCAGGGGGCAGTGAAAATGCCACCTCTTCTAAAAGCCTTTTTGATTCCTGAACGCTGGTGATAACTGATGCTCCCCTGTGCTTCTTGGAGCCTAGTATATTGTATTGTTGTTAATAGTATTTTCTCTATGGAGTCAGCTCCCTAACGGCAGCTTAACCTCCCTCACCTCTGAGTTTTGCTCCACCCCCTCCACAAGGCACTGCGTTAGGAGGCGCTCAGAGAGTGAGTGTTTCTAGTGCGTCCTCCCCTTTTGTTGGCTGATTGTGCTGATCTGATCCCAGCCATGAAAAACATTCTTTTTTTTTTTTAAACCCATTCAACATTGTCTTCACACTCACAGGAAATCCTTGGTAACTTGTAATTAATTTTTAGATGACAAAAAGGAACTTGGAGCAGCGAGAAGAAGTCAGTATTACATGAAATATGGGAATCCAAATTACGGAGGCATGAAAGGAATTCTTAGTAATTCTTGGTGAGTCCAAAACCTTAAAATACAATAGTTTAAATAGTACGTAAGCTTTTCATAATCCTTCAGTTGGTATTCTGCAGTGGAATGTCAACACCACATGTGGACGTGAAGGAAAACAAGAAGAAAGAATTCAAGATTTTTAACTGTGGTAAATGGTGTGAGAATGCTGACTTTCAGTTTCATGTGAAATATCTCAGTTTCAGCACCTAACATTGTGTCAGGGTGTAGTTGAAATTAACTAGTGGATTTCAAGGCCCTTCCTGCCGGTTTTTGATTATGTGCTTGTTTTGGCAATGTTGCAGGAAGCGAAGATACCATTCCCGTCGCATTCAGCGGGATGTGATCAAGAAGAGAGCCCTGATTGGGGACGACGTTGGCTTGACATCCTATGAACACCGACATTCCGGTAGTTGCCTGCTCAGCTCTTGGGTAGACACATGTTTGGCTCCTGAAATCATATTTTTATTCTTAATACAGTCTCTTAAGGTTCCAAACTTTATCATCCTCTCTTCCTTGCCCTCACCCTCTGCCAACATATAGGAAAGTAAGTCAAGTCACAATTAATTTGAAATTGCCCCGTACAAAGAGGTCAAATGATTTTATAAAAGCCGTTCTAACAATGAAGGCAAGATGTAGGAAAAATTAAAACTTTTCTTAGGAATCTAATTTTCCTATTAATATCAAAAGCTGCGTGAAAAAAATTTTTTTAAATTATTTTGTTGGATGAGTTGATTTGATCGTTCCTTTGTCTGATGAAAATAAGCTGCTATGTTTAGCGTTCTGTGCTTATTGGCTTGTGCACGTGAATGCCTCAGTAAAGTGGGATATCATGACTTGGGTTTCATTTTGTTTCTTCCTTCTCTTTTTTTTCTGTTTCTCTTCCTCTCTCTCCCCTCCCTCCCCCCCCCCTCCCTATCTCCCCCCCCTCCTCCCTTCCTCTCTTCCTCCCTTCCTTCCTTCCTTCCTTCCTTCCTTCCTTCCGTCCGTCCTTCCTTTTGGTGCTTATTGTGAAAGAACCATTTTCATTATGTTTTATAAAGATTTGTTTATTTTGAATCTGATCTGTGAAAATCTTCTATATGCTTTGTAGAACCAGCCAAGTCAGCATACAAACACAGAATAACACGCATACACATTTATCATTGTAATAGGGACAGGGAGAGATGAAATCTCTACATTTTAATTTCATGTGAATATCCAAACTTGTATATTTGAAATCTGCAGCTTAACGCACATACTTTTCTGATACACAGTTAGGCTTTTCCAATTTCAGTTACTTTTATTTTCATTATATAATCTTTATATTCATATTAAAGAAATTAAAAAACAAATTGCCTCTAATTCTAGCACTCCAAGATTAACAACTGATTTCATTTTACATTTTTCCTTTGTCTCTTTTCACAATAAATACTATAATAACTGTTGTGGACATATATTTTATATTCTGCTTCAAGCATTCCACTTACAAGCATTTTTCCATGACTTTTAAAGATACATTTCATTATTCATGGCGGTTATGTTCTATAAAGTCACCGTGATCATTGAAAATTATTCAGAGACTCTAATCACACCTTTTTTTTTTTTTTTTTTGCGGTAAGTGGGCCTCTCACTGTTGTGGCCTCTCCCGTTGCGGAGCACAGGCTCCGGATGCGCAGGCTCAGTGCCCATGGCTCACGGGCCAAGCTGCTCCACAGCATGTGGGATCTTCCCGGACCAGGGCACGAACCCACGTCCCCTGCATCTGCAGGCGTACTCTCAACCACTGCACCACCAGGGAAGCCCTAATCACACCATTTTTGTCAACTGATCAATATATAACTTTGTTTGGTGTGTGTTTCTGCTTAAAGACACCTCATTTACTACATACTGTTGATTCATTAACATTGGACTCGAGGCCAGCAGCAGTGTAACTCATGCCCGAACAAAGCTTATCTAACACACGTATTTTCTCCATACGGCTCATCACAGCCTTATTGTGTTTAGGAACACTAGACAGCTTTGGAACTATGCTCAGTGGCTATTTTAAACAAGGAAATCACCAATAAAAGCCACAAAAGTGTTAAAAATTAGCACTCACTGGACTGCAAAAAGGACACTTGTTTACAGTGTGAGAGATAAAACAAAAAAGATGTGGCTTTGCTTGCCCGCAGCTGGGAACATGCATGGCTGGTGCCTCAAATTTTTTGCTACTCCTATGCATGTCCACAAATGACCACGGAAGTGCCATGGGTTTTGATTCTGGAGTTACAAATAAAATTGGCAAATTCACAAATACAGAATCTGTGAATAATCATGAGGGTCTGTATTTTAGATAACTTTGTAATATGGCATCAGGCTGCTCGTTCATACTTTACCTAGACATTCTTTGTTGTCGGGATCAGAATGGTAACCAGATTAGCACTATTATACATAATGCCCCAATAAACTCTAAGGATGGGAATCCCATCTTTTAAAAAGGTCACTGATGTAGAATAGAAAATTGGATTTGTTAGTTTTAGGGCTTTTCCTAATGTTTTTTGGTTAAATTCCTTAGGACTAGTGAATGTTCCTGAGGAACCCATCGAGGAGGAGGAAGAGGAGGAGGAGGAAGAGGAGGACCAGGACATGGATGCTGATGACAGGGTGGTGGTGGAGTACCACGAGGAGCTCCCAGCCCTCAAGCAGACCCGGGAGCGGAGCACGTCTAGGCGGTCCAGTGCCAGCGGCTCAGACTCGGATGAAATGGACTATGATCTCGAACTGAAAATGATTTCCACCCCTTCGCCAAAGAAGAGCATGAAAATGACGATGTATGCGGACGAAGTGGAATCTCAGCTGAAAAATATCAGGTAAAAATATTTTTTTCTTTTCATCAGTGCTGGCTTTTAATTTGATTTAAAAAATTACTAAGTTCTTCTTAATACCAATTACTAACTTCTTCTTAATGCCTCTTAATTTTATATCCACTTTTTTCTAATTTCAGTCCTTTGTAGAATTTGAATAAAAGCATCTGATTTTTCCTCTTAATGTACAAGAGGTGATCCTTGTTATAAAAGCTATAGACGATATAGAAAGTGAAGTCACCTGTAGTCTCCTCTTCTAAGAGAACGACTGTTAGCAATTGGGTGAATTACTTTCCTGCTAGTTGTATGTGTATACATAACACATAGAGAAATTATAGATATCTTTGTACAAAAGTTAAGTTATACTGTTTATATTGTTTTGACATATGCTTTTTCCATTTAATGTAGTGTAGACATCTGCTAATTTTTCAAGTGTATGTAGTCCATTGTTTTGAAAGTGTCATTGTTTATTTAACCAATCCCTTATTGATGGAGATTTCTGTTTTGTTTTTTTTTCCCTTGGCTGCGCCCTGCGGCTCACAGGATCTTAGTTCCCCAACCAGCGATCAAACCTGGGCCCTCGGCAGTGAAAGAGCAGTGCCCTAACCACTGGGATGCCAGGGGATTCCCTGGATTTCTGTTTTCTTACTGTTGCAACAACTAGATAAATTCTAGTTACTGCATAAGTCAAGGCACGTGTTTCAAAATGTGATGTTGCTAAATTTCCTTCCAAAAAGGTTTTACTCAAATTACCACCTGTTGCCTACATAATTCACCAACCTTAGGTATTATTACTCTGATTTTTGCTATTCATGGACGAAAAAATACAGTTATTTTAATATGCGTTCTTTGATGACCAGTGGAGCTGAGCAGATTCCTGAGGGCAGATTGCATATGCATGGCTCAGAGAGGGCTCGAGGCTGGGGTGCTCTCTAAGAGTTCTTGATGGTGTGTTTGGGAAAAGGGAAGAAAAAACTTTTAAGCTGGTTGGTTTGTATGGCCTTGTTCACATCCTTATTTTTAGTTTTCAGAGAACTTTCCAGTGGCAAATGCTGCCGAATAATGGAACCCGTCCCCTGACATGGTGGGAGAGGTCTTTGGCAGAGACGCCTGTCCTTTAACGAAAGGGGTTGTAGACTCCGTTGTGTCTAGACTGTAGCCAGATCACAGCCTGGGTGAGCAGAGGCCTCCAGCCCTCTGCAGGCCTCTACTTAGCGTTTGTCCCAGGAGGAGGGGGCTCGCAGGTACGTGCTCTGCGATAGCTTGCAGATGCCGTGTGCGGAAACCACCCCGGAAGACTCAGGGGCCTGCTCAACCCCAAGCAGCCTCTTTACAGCAGGCTGGTCCTGGCTTTTGTAAGCAAATAATTACTGGTTTATGGTGTTGTAAGTGAATGTTGGCCATGTTAGATTGGGTTTCTTAAATTGTTTTTCCAGAGTGTATGAGATTGTTGTATGAGTGTTATCCCACAGTTCAAGTTGGTTTACTGTTCCCCCACCCCCCTTTTTAAAGGAACTCCATGAAGGCAGATACTCTATCTACAAGCAATATAAAAAACCGAATTGGTAACAAATTAACACCCGAGAAATTTGCAGATGTCCGACATTTGTTAGATGAAAAACGTCAACACACACGTCCACGGCCACCTGGCAGCAGTACTAAAACAGGTATTGTTGAGTTGTGTATCTGGGCTTCATTCTGAGTTCCAGAAAGCAAATGCAGACAGGGATAGGTTCTTGGATAAAACGCCGTCATTTACGGACCAATTTAGTAGTCCTGATTCATCACTTCTAAATTTTGGGTTAGGCATTGGCACTTTAGGACATGAAATTTAATCAGACTTTTGCAATACTCGTTTTCAATATTTTTGTCCCAAACAATTATTTTACTCTGTATGTCATTGGTATACTTTATACATAAGGATAATAGAAATTAACTCGGGTTGTTGTATAAATGGTTAAGAGTTTGAACTGGTTAGTTTATATGTGCAAACACGCATATAGTGGGTACTTGGCCATGCCTGCTGTGTGCCAGGGCTAGACGCTGGGAGTGTTAGAAGTCTTTGCAGGGGATGCAAAGTAATCATAGAACTCAGATGGAAAAACATAAGGGCGCACATTCAGGTAATTCCACCTGAAGCAGAATGGAGTAAGTGCTGTGATAGGGCACTGTAAGCAGTGGGCTGTGGGAGCAGAGCGGGGAGGTGGATCTGTTGGGGGAAGATCTGTTGTGGGATGCTTCTCAGAGCACGTGGCTGTGGAGTGAGGCCTCGGAGAGGAAATAGGATCTCAGTTGGCAAACCTAATTTGTTGAGGCGGGAAGTAACCTGATCTTACATCTATTTTAGAAGGTAACTTGGTGGAGGCGTAGCGTGTGACAGAGAGCTAAGTGAGTAACAAGGGCCTGAACTAGATCAGGGACAGTGGAGGCAGAACTGATGACAGTGTCAGCCTTGGAGAGGAAGAAGACTCAGCGCTGGGGATTGCGGGAGGGAAGGGAGAGAAGCCAAGGGGCCCAGGCCTGAGAGGCTGAAAGATGGGGGTGCTGTCCTCAGAGAGCATAGGCAAGGTGGGTGAAAGCCCAGCACAGGGACTTGCTAATAAATGTGTTTTTGTGGTTGCTGTTATTGTGAGAGGGAGCTCAGGAGGACAGGCAGGTTTCTGGGGGGGGCGGGGCTTGGAGGAAAAACAAATACGATTTGGGACATCTTCCCTTGATCCTTTGCTTTTTGTCAGTCTCATTACAACTATTGTTCAATGTAATAGTTTATTGAGAACTTCTTACATGTTCAGAGATTGCGGCTTCTGTCCTCAGGGAGCTTGCAGTATTTCTTGTCAGCCGAAATGTTCGTAAATTATTTGCTCTGCTTGATCCGACTACAGAAAACACAAAGCAGACAATTCTGCCTCAGAAGTTCCTTTCTGGAGCAGTCAGCTAAGGCTTTTTTCCCCCTGTGAGCCCCTGGGGATTCTCATTTGAATTTTCCCAGAGAATCCAGACTCTGTAGAGGGAAGGCTCTTAAAAGCCTGGTTGTGCTGGGCCCCATGTCCAGCACGTGTCTAAATCTCAAGGAGATTTGGTACCAGGTCCTGCAGAGATCTCAGGTTGACAGTACAGATAGCAAAGCATATGCACGTGGTCACGGTAGTACTTTTTTTCTTTTTCTAGATATACGCCAGCGATTAGGAAAAAGACCACATTCTCCGGAAAAGGCTTTTAGTGGTAACCCAGTCGTTCGGAGAGAGCCCTTTTCTGATGTACATAGTAGGCTAGGTGTTCCCAGGCAAGATGTTAAAGGCCTCTACTCTGATACTCGGGAGAAGAAATCAGGTTGGTAACACTGAAAACTGATGGGGAAGGGAATTGGGTAAGAGCAGAGACAATGGGTGTAGCACAGAAATACTTTGTTAGCAGAAGGCAGGAAATAGCATATGACCAAAATAAATTATTTTTCCTCTTTCATTATAGTCATCGTCATCGTCATCATAATGGTAACAGTGTGGAAAATTTAGAAAATGGGAAAGAAAACCCACCCCTGATTCTTTCTGTTTAACACAAATACTTTTTAGTTTCATGCTATTCCAGTCTTTGCCCATATAAATATACTATTATTTTCATATATCATCTTATCATAGGCATTTTTCCACATTGTTATAGCTTTTATAAATAAAACCTTTTTTTTTTTTTTTTTTTGCGGTACGCGGGCCTCTCACGGTTGTGACCTCTCCCGTTGCGGAGCACAGGCTCCGGACGCGCAGGCTCAGCGGCCATGGCTCACGGGCCCAGCCGCTCCGCGGCATGTGGGATCTTCCCGGACCGGGGCACGAACCCGTGTCCCCTGCATCGGCAGGCGGACTCTCAACCACTGCGCCACCAGGGAAGCCCTTATAAATAAAACTTTTAATTGCCTTACAGAGTGTCTATCTTATGAAATTCTGTGTATTTCTCTATTGTTAACTATTAATATTTGAAAAATTAATGGAGAGTGGGCAGAATCTGAAAGTTGACAGTGTAGCAGGCCCATCAGTTTGCAGAATGTTGTAGCTGGGAAGATCTGGGAATGGCCCAGTCCTGGCAGAATGAAGTTGTCCACGGACGGGATGGTGAGTCTCACCAGGCAGGGGCAGGTGTAGTATAAGCAGCCTCCCAGGTGATTCTGATGTGCCTATCATGGGGTAGGGTGGGGTCGGGGGGGGGGGGCACATATCCCCGAGCTGAGAGAATCTCCCGTTGGGTCCAGTTCTCTCAGTCTGCAGGCAGGGGACTGCAGCCAGGGAAAGGAGAGGATCTGCCCAAGGCTGCACCATGGTTGCAGGTGCCACGGACAACCCCCCAGCCGCCCTGCTGGCTCCACCCCCGCCCCCCGCCCCGTGCTTCCTGCACGTCAGGTGTTGCCAGTGCCCCTGTTTCTCAGCATCGACTGCCAGAGCTGAAATGCCTTCTCACCCAAACAGGTAGTTTATGGAATCGCTTAGGATCTGCACCCAAGACCAAAGAAAAGAACACGAAGAAAGTGGATCACAGGGCGCCCGGCACAGAGGAAGATGACTCCGAGCTGCAGAGGGCATGGGGGGCTCTGATTAAGGAGAAAGAACAGTCTCGCCAAAAGAAGAGCCGGTTAGATAACTTACCATCTCTCCAGATTGAAGTTAGTCGGGAAAGCAGCTCTGGTTCAGAGGCAGAGTCCTGATGCCCTTGGGGCCCAAGGCAGCTGCCCTGAAGCCTGACATTCTTTTGCAGGGTGGGGTGCACAGTAGGAACCCCCCATGCGGGAGTTGGCGCCCCTCCCGTTCCGGCTCACGCAGTCACTCTCCGCTCTTGCTACTTGAGCAAGACATCTTAAGAATGTGACATGTTTTGAAGGGCATCTATCTAATCTTTTGCTGCAGAGTTAATAGTTCTGGGCCCTCATTTCTTTTCCCACCACCCCACAAGCTTTACCCTTTGAGGAAAAGGCAGCCCTCCAGATTTTGTAGACATTTTTCTTAATATTTTTAACCTTGTGTCTTTTAAAAGAAATGTTTTACACAGTTCATCCAAAGAGCAGAGAACTGAACTTCTCACTATTGCCTTGGCCCTGACAGCTGTTACCAGCACCCTTTTCCCAAGAAAAGTCAATTCCCAGGTGCTTATTGGACAGCCTTCGAGGGGGAAGATGAGGGAAGCTGCCAGCTCACCCTTCCAGGATCCTAGTGTGGGGGCCGAATCTCATGGACCTGACCTCAGAGGTGCACCCGTGCCGCCCAGGTAGATAAGAGCCGCAGCGTCGATCGCCCTTCGTTCCTCCCTGGGGATTTCTGTTAGGGGGCCTTGTTAGCAATCAGCTTGCAGTGAAGATCAAGTTCAGTGCTGTGGGATTTTTAGGAACGAAAAACTGTGACTTTGGGGTGGATTTTTGTGCTAGGGGTGGGGTCATGGGTTAATGTTGAACAATTTTTAAGTCTGTATTATGTTTAAAAAATATTAATGATTTAAAATTTTTAATTTTTATATGTGAAAATATTTCCTTTTGCCTACGAGGGAAGCTCAAGTGGTGTCTTCTTATGTGCTGTTAAATATATATTATATACTTTGGAAGAAGGCAAAGAGGGGAGCCGCATTATTTTTAAATGATCCCAACTGTATAGTCTGTCTGTTGTACATAGAGCTTAACTTGCTTTTTGGCCGCTGTAGGGAAGAAAACCCATCCACCTGAGATGGGAACCTGTCATTTATTTTCACTTCAGAAGTGATACACTGATATTTATTCTTTCTGTCTCCAAGTTCTGGCACTTGAAGACTTCTTCAAAACTGGCAAATAAGATAATAGTTACAGAAATTTTAGTTCATTTATTTCTAAACTCCTTTCAGATTGTTTTACCATGAGAAGGTGGTAGGTTATTTTGTCTTCCTGTCTGATTTTTATTTTGAAGTATTTAGTGTTGTATTCCTCTGCAGGCTTAAAAGTAGTGTCTTACTTCAATTCAGTAGAGCTTAGGGTTAAAGAGAATAAAGCCCGTGTTGCTTGTGTGATGTCACAACCCCTCACCTGTCTGGAATGTTCAGCACCCAGTGCAGCTCAGGGTTCTAGAGCTCTTTGCTCTGCCTGAGCTAATGGTCACATGATTAGTTGATTGCAGTGCGGTGCGGTGGAGGGCGGAACGAACGCTTTGTTTAATAAAGAAAGGCGGGGAGACTTGAGAGTTGCAACAAGAACTGTGTTGTCCATGTTTTGTTGGTTAACCTGCTTTTTCCCTCCCTGTAGAAAGATGAGAGCATGTAACCATGATATGTTTCAGCTTCCTAGTGGGATTCTAGGAAAGAGCTGGTTCCGGTTTCCCTGCCAGTTGAGACCTAAGGTTTCTGAGGTTTCTCAGCTCTTTGCCCATGAAGCACACAGCTGGGAACCAGGTTCTTGAGGAGGGGCCAGGGTCTGGGCGGTTGGTCAAGTGAGAAGTGCAGGGGCTGTAGAGTCAGAGACGCCGACCCCTGGCTCTGCTCCGTGGGCCTGAGCCTCAGTTTCCCCTTCTAGCAAATGAATGGGCTGGTACCAGAGCCGCTGGCTTCGTTGGTGCGTCTTAATGGTGTTTTGCTGTCTCAGAGCGGTGGCTGCAGCGGGCTGGCCAGCACCAGTATCTGCGGCAGGTGCGGGGAGGGTCAAGGAGACAACTGAGGGTGTGCATGAGGTTGTGGACGGGACTACCCCCACCCCACTCCAGTCTCTGGGCCATTAGTGAGACAAAGAGGTCCCCGTGGTCAGGGTCCCCACTGACATGCTCTCTGCAGTGTTCAGAAAACTCCCCTTCTCAGACTTTCCCTTGTGTTTCCCAGTCATGACCCTTTCCCACCAGTAGTTCAGGCCCACTTGTCCCATGGCCTTTCAGCCCTCACCAGTCTTTTGCTAGGGATCAAGGAAGGCTTTCAGGAAGGGCGGTGGTGTGTAGTTAAAACTGTTGTGACCAAGAAAAATGCCTACTTCAGCAGCCTTGCAGTTCTCACAAACACGCACAGTCCAGAAAATTACCTTTAAAGACGTTAAGTTTTATCTCCCAAAGTTATTGGCCTTAGCCTCTCACTCTCCAGCCCACTCAAGCACTCAGATCTTGCAGCGTCTTACGAGTGTTCTGGAAGCCCAGGCCCTTTCTTGGGAGTTGGGGAGCAAAGATGGACAGTCGGTTTAGCCTTTACACATACGAGATTTTAGATACGTTTTGCTGCTTGATAATAATTACAGATACCTCATTTCTGTTTTCCACTCTCCACCTTGGGAGAGGTGCCAACTACCCAGGAGAGCTTGTGGAGCCCAGCACACAATGGAACCCCTCCTCCCCTGGCCTCCTCTAGCCTGACCCCATGAGTCCCTCGCCTTAGGTCAGAAACTGTCTTCTCCCACTCCATCCCTGCAGCAGCCTCTTCACTGGTTCCTCTCCCCTGTCTCTCCTTCTCCATTCTGCACACTGCAGCTGGGATGAACTTTCGGTGTTGCTAGCAGCTTCACTGAGATGTAATTCACATGGCATACAGTTCACCCATTTAAAGCGTACATTTCCGTGGCTTCTAGTATATCCACGGAGTTGTGCATCCATTGCCATAATCAATGTTAGAATATTTTCATCATCAAAAAGAAACCCTGTACCCATTCGCAGTACCCCATTCCCTGTTCCCCACTGGCAACCACTAACTACTTTTTGTGTCTATGGATTTATCTGTTCTGAACATTTCATATAAATGGAAATCATACACTTTGTGGCTGTTTGTGACTGGTTTCTTTAACTAAACGTACTTTCGAGGTTCATCCATGTTGTAATATATATCAGTACTTCGTTTCTTTTTATTGCTGAGTAATGTTCCATCGTATGGATATACCATATTTTGTTTAGCCGTTCATCAGTTGATGGACCGGTGGGTTGTTTCTACTTTTTGGCTGTTACGAATAAGGCTGCTGTGAAAATTCATGTACAAGTTTTTACATGGACATATGTTTTCATTACTCTTGGGTTATATACCTAGGAGTGGAATTGCTGGGTCCTCTGGTATCTCTATCTTTAACCTGTGAAGAGCTGCCAGACCGTTTTTCCAAGTGGCTGCATCATTCTCCATTCCCCCCAGCAACGTATGAGGGTTCCAGTTTTTCCACATCTTTGTCAAGACTTGTTATGTTTGGATGTGAATTGGTATCTCATTATGGTTTTGATTTGCATTTCCTTGATGACTAATGATGTTGGGCATCTTTTCATGTGCTTCAGGATGAACATTCTTACAAAGGTTATTCCTATTACTCCTCTGCCTAAAAGCATCACCATTGCCGATGGGATAAATTCTGAACTCGTTTGACAGCTCACGAGGCTGGTCAAGATCTAGCCTCTGGCAGTATCTCTAGCCTCTTCTCCCCATCCTCCCCGACCTTCTGCCTGCTGGTTTCCTGGAGGCATCTTGATCTCACCAGCCTCCCAGACTTTGCTCAGTGCTGTTCCTCCCCCCAGTGACTCCCTGGTCCTCTCCTCATCCCACTTCAGCTTTGCCTTCTCCTCTCCCTCATCCTCAAGGACTTACAAACCTCTCCAGGAAGCTACCTGCAACTTCCAGAGCAAGGTTATTGGCCCTGTTATGTGTCCCGTGGTACTGCCACGAAGGAGTCTTGTTACATTCCAGGGTTAGGTTATAAAGTCATGCCTAGGATAAAAATTGAGTGTAATCAAAACTCCTTTCAGACACCTTGAGGAAGGCGCCATGTTGAAGACCATTCTCGCAGGGTGCAGTGCGGCTGGTTCCTGCCTGTGCAGGAATAGGTCACAGTTTCTTTCGCTGAGCACCAGGAGAAGTGGTTAGCCTGCAAATAGGGCCGTGTTATGCAAGCAACACTTATTTGTAGGTGTTAGACTCACGCTCAGGCGAGCAGTTCGCTTTTGAAGAGGCTCTTGGGAACTGAGACAGGCCGCGGGAGCAGCAGGGGCACAAGCTCACCTCCGGCCCTCCCGCCTGTCTGCTCAGGGAGCGGAGTGGCAGATGGAATGGCCCAAATGACTTAAAACTGTTTTCCTTGACTTTTTTTTTTCCTAACTTTTTCAGACAAATACCATACTGTTTGCCTAAGTGAAATATGTATGTAATGCCAAATCTCTGTACCCCCTCAAGCCAGCACACCGGTACACTGGATCACAGTTCCGTCTTCCTACTTTGTCTTCTTGTTAGACTGTGAGCTCCGTGAGAGCAGGGCCACATCTGGCTTGGTCATGGGCTTCCCCGGTCCGAGTGCCATGCCTGGCACCTGGCAGATCCCCTGTACACATAGCTGGATGTGTGAATTCCCCAGCTGCTGGAGCAGCTCCATTCTCTGAAGCCCCAGCATCCTCTTACCAGCTAGTCCTCGTGGTTCTGCCTTGTACACACAACACTTTATTTTCATGTTTTGTTTTCCCTGCTAGCAGCCCCTGTGAGCAGGCTTCTTCATGTTGTTATCTCTGTTCTTCCTACCAGGCCAGTCCAGAGTAAATGGTGCCTAAAAAGTGTTTGGCAAATGAATGAATTGTGGGAACCCAACCCAGCTCTGGCACCTTTGTCTGCAGGCTAGTCTGCTTCTAGCGGAGACTACCACATTCAAAAAAGAGGAAGGTTGTTCACAAGTGCATAAATCGTGCTTGCATAAGAAAGAATCTCATTAAGTAGACCTCCGTGAAGTTCAAATTTTGATGATCTGGCTATATCTGAGCTGAAGCTTACCTGGCTTTGTAAAGAATTTGCTAGAGAGTCATGTAGATAATCCAGAATATTTTTTAGAAAGCATTCATCTGCACCCAGGAGACCAAGAAAGGAAGCCGGCGGGTGGATCAGAGGCCCCAAAGAGAGACTGCTGGGCCGATTCTTAGCATCTGATCCAATTGGTGAGGAAGTGACAGCAGCCCAAAGAAGACACAAAGAAACAACTCGTTCCTGGCAACAACTCTTTTGCCTAAAGTAGGCTTCCCACTGTCGCGCGGAGCAGTTTTAAAGTTACGGTGAAATGCTAACAGGCAATTTGGATTAAAGTTAACAGCAAATGACGGCTTCACAGGTTAATTAATTGCTGCACAAATAAGTTGATGTACAAGTATTTGCTTTTAAATCTTACACAATAAGAAGTAAATTAGAAGTCAAACCATTTTTTCCTTTGAAGAACTAAAAGGACAGAATGTCTTTGATGAACTTGAGAACAGCATACTGGCTTCAAGGCAGACTGTTGTTGTGTAGTCTGACCAATAATAATGTAGAACTTTTCTTACATGTTTATAAAATAAATCTTAGAAGAAAAATAATACTGTAGCCTTTTTTAAAACAATGAAATTCTATGAACGTTTCACAGAACTTGGATGTTCCTGGGAGCGGTCAGGGAAATGCTGGCTCAGAAGCTTATTTCAAATAGTGGTGAGGCATTGCAGTGGGCTTTTGCTCTGCTATAAATACAACTCTAGGGTATGGGTGGTCTTTAACCCACCAAAGTCAGCACCCGGCACCCGGGGTTCTTACCTGGTTTTGTTGGAGCAATTCCAGAGGCCCCCTCTGGATGACAGAGTCTTCAGTAGTTGAGATTTTGTGTTACCTCAGACTGTGTCACCCCTGCCTCGGGACCGGTGTTGGTTAGAGCAAGGGACCACACCATCGACAGGAGAGGTGATGAGGCCTTCCCGTCCCTCCCTGGGGCTGTCATGTGTTTAATGCGTCACCTCTTAGTGGCAAGAGTTCGTCAGAGGGCCCGTGAGCAGGAGACGGCACTGTTTTGCTCAGGTAGAATGTCTTTTGGGGGGGGGTCAAATGGGGTGACGGCTGGGGCTGGGCCCGCAGCCTTGGGGACTCGTTCTATCTCATCTGCTGACTTGAAAAAAAAACCCAAACGAGTCCCTTCGCTTCTTGGGACCTCAGTGTCCCTGCCTGTCAGATGAAGGGCTCAAGTGGGATGACCTCCAGGTTTCCTTCTAGTGCTAATGTCAGTTCTAGGATCTTTGCTGAGGTTTCCCAAGGAGCATCAGGAGTGTAAGTTGGACGGGAAGGAGTTGGGGGCAAGCAAGAGGCCTAAGCCCTTGCACCCTTGGTTCCATGAGCCGGTGCAACACCCCCGCCCCAGCCCTCCGTTACGAAAGGAGAAGGAGATCCTCTCCCTTGCTCCCTTCCCCGCTTGGCCCCCCTCCCCCAGTGCGCACACACACCATTCTGTTTTACCTGGGAGATTCTTTAGGAGGTAGCCCAGTGTCTTAATCATCGGCTCAGGCAGCTATAACAAAATACCATGGACTGGGTGGCTTAAATAACAGAAACTTATTTTCTCACGGCCTAAAAGTAGAAGTCCAGGATCAGGGTGCTAGTAGTTGGGTTCGCACGAGGCCTCTCTTCCTGGCTTGCAGACAGCATCTCACTGTGTGCTCACATGGCCTTTCCTTGGTGCGTGCGCTTGCAGAGAGAGATGTCTCTTCCTCTTCTCAAGCCACCAAGCCTATTGGATTAGGGCCCTACCTTTTTTTTTTTTTAATTTTTTTTATTTTTGTCTGCATTGGGTCTTCATTGCTGTGCGCGAGCTTTCTCTAGTTGCGGAGAGCGGGGGCTACTCTTCGTTGCGATGCGCGGGCTTCTCATTGCGGTGGCTTCTCTTGTTGCGGAGCACGGGCTCTAGGCGCACGGCTTCAGTAGTTGTGGCACGCAGGCTCAGTAGTCGTGGCTTGTGGGCTCTAGAGTGCAGGCTCCGTAGTTGTGGTGCATGGGCTTAGTTGCTCCATGGCATGTGGGTTCTTCCCCGACCAGGGCTCGAACCCGTGTCCCCTGCACTGGCAGACAGATTCTTAATCAGTGCGCCACCAGGGAAGTCCTGGGCCCCACCTTTTTGATCTTAATTATCTGCTAAAGGCTCTATCTCCAAATGTAGTCACGTTGGGGGTTATGGCGTCAACATATGAATTTGGGGAGGGGGGCACAGTTCAGTCCATGGCACCCAGTAATGCAAGGGTCCCAGTGTGTGTTTGTGGAATGAGGTCACTGCTTTTTAAAAGCTCACAGACTGGGAGGGATTTTGATCCATGGGTCTGAAGGCAGTAGGGTTTGTAGTTCAGAGTCCTGGTTCTGGAGGAAACAGACCCATTTGACTGAGTCCACCTCGGCCACTTACTAGCCCTACGGCCTTGGGCAGATTACTTAACCTCTGTCTCTGAGCCAGCATCCCCATCTGCAGAATCGGGGTAACCGAGTACGGTGGCTGTGAGGGTCAGACGAGGGCTTGCGCGGAAGCCCTTGGCACTGAGTCTGCGTCCCCTCCTGACGCTCAGTCAATGCGAGTGATTACCACTGCTTTTCAGTCTTCCCGGAGCCCCTTTGCCAGCTCTGTCCTCTGCTGCGGTCCCGTGTCTAGTCTCAGTAACATCCTCACTCTTCCAAACGCCCTCCTCCCAGCCTCCTAGGACTCAGAAGGCAAGTGGGTAATTAGAAATATTTCCTGTGTCTGGGGGCGATGAGGCAGGCCTGTGGGGACAGCCCCCATCCCCTGGTGAATTGTGCTCTCCACTCACTCTCCAGACAAAGCAGTTGGTCCTTTCAGCTCAGGCTGAACATGTGTCCTCCATCCCCTAACTTTTAAAACTGTTTATTGTGAATTAATTTAACAATTACAGAATAGCTTCGAGGGTAGAACAAGGAACATTTTGCCACATTTCATTATTCATTCTTTTCTTCCTCCCCTCCCTCCCCCCTCACCCCCTTGTCCCCCACGAGCCACGAACTGTTTGAGAGTTACCTGCCTACATCGCGTCCCTTTACTCCCTAAATGTAATACTTTAGTGTACATTTTCTAAGAACAAGGACATTCTCTCATATGACCAGAGTATTGTTATCAAATTCAGGAAGTGTATAATTTTAATCAGTACAATAGTACCTAATCCACGGTTCATGCTTCAGTTTTGCCAACTGTCCCAATAATGTTCTTTTCTGGTCTAGGATACAATCCAGGATCACACACTACAGTTAATATCCTGTCTTTAGTCTCTTATAATGTGGAGCAATTCCTTTATCTTTCTTTGCCTTTTATGATGTTGACGTTTTTGAAGTGTTCAGTCCGATCATGTTGTAGAATTCCCTCAAGTTGGTCCCTTACCATTTGTTTAAAGTAAAATGAGTTAAGAAGCCATTTTCACATTGCTTTTGGATGTAGCTACTGAATGCCCAGCCTTGCATTAGGCTCTGTGAACCGGGAGCATTATATAGCCTGGCTCTGACTTAGGACCTTAAGTCTGGGTTTGTGGGGACAGCAGTTACTGTCAGAAGGGCTTGAAGGGCCCCTGCGTGCTCGTGATTAGGGGTCAGCTGTGCCGGCACCAACAAGCTTGGAAAATACATCTCGGATGGATGCAGGATGAGTCAGCATTCTGGAAGTCTCCAAAGATGCAGAAAATGGCCCTGCACCTGTTCCAGCATCCACTCATCTACTCTGCCTGGCCTCCAGAGATGTCCTGAAGTTCACACTCCAAACCAAAGTCCTGTTTTCTCTCAGAAACCTCCAGCAGGCTGCAGTCGTGGGTTCCAGCCTGTCCTTACTGCTGCTCTGCTCTGCGGCCTGGGTCTGTTCTCTCCCGCTCTGGGCCAGTGGTGGGAGGGGAGCCCCTCCTTGCTCTGCCAAGTGCCCCTGGCACTGGGAACAGGGAGGGAAAGAGTCACTGAGCCCTGAGTGTGGGAAGACAGCCAGCACCCTGGCCTGTGACGAGGTTAAGCCAACTTGGGGTGATCTTCGTCGTGATCTGGCAGACGACTCATCACACCTGGAGCTTTGCTTTTCCATCTGTTTAACTTCTCTGTTGGATGGTATGTACTGTGAAAAACAGTGAATCGTAATCTCTATTCAAACAACCGTGTGACATCAGGGAACTATCGTGCTAGTTGGAGGTATTTTGTCAGACCAAAGCAAACAATGCAAGAATGTTATAAGTGACATCAGTCTTTACAGAACTTTGGCCAAGCAGGCTTTCACTGTGAGAAACAAGATAAAATTGATTTTCATCTAGTCATTAAGTCATCACCATTGTCTGCTGTGTTTTAACACTTATATTAACACTTCAAAGTGCTCTCCCTGGAGATGCAGGCATTCATGTGAGAGAGACATAGAGTCCCCTGCCTTTTTGGTTGTAAATTAATTAAAATTAAATAAAATTGAAAATTCAGTTCCTCAGTGACTGGTGACATTTCAAGGGCTCAGTAGCCACATGTGGCTAGGGGCTCCCATGTTGGACCGTGCGGCTCTAGACCCTCATCGCCGAGTTCTGTTGGACAGCGCTGCTCTGCACGGCCAACAGTCTGGGAAGTAGAGGTGCGGGAGAGACTTCCTTCTGCGACAGACGTGGTCACACAGGGAAAATTGGACAGATCGTGAAGTTGGCATTTAAACATGACTGCAGGCTGTTGGCAGTGTGTCCTCTGGGCTGCTGGGTTGGATCAAAGGTGTGCTGAAAGATGCATGGAGTGTCACTTCTTCCGTTGTTCTGGTAGCCCAGAGCTCTGTTAGGTTAGTTCCATATCATGGGCTGTAGTCAGGTGTTAAAGAGAATGCAGCCAAAGCTGCACTGAGGCAGCGATTCAGGCAGCTCGTGGGTCTTTCCACTCACCTGACCCTCCGCAGTCTCAGGGCCTCGCGTGCGCAGCAGAGTGTCGGAGCCCCGAGCTGTGAGGGTGCTTTCTGTAGGAAGGACCCCGGGCCAGGCGCTGGGGTGAGGTGTGTAGTGGCAGGTTCCGGGGCAGGGCATGGGGCTGGGACCCACCCACGTGGGTGATAAACAACGGCTGGATTAATACTGCTCCTGCACGTCACACATGTGCTGCTGAGATCATCCAGCCCTGTTCCCGGGCCAAACCTCGGCTCACTGTTCCACCAAAGTGTGGGTGATGGGGCAGGGCTGGCTGGTGTCTCTGAGCTCCCAGGACCCAGCCCACAACTGCTGAGGAAGCCACGCAGCCAGCCGTGTACAAGTGAAGCGTCTGTGTCTACTTGAAAGTGCCTGCCTGCCTGTGGTCCTTGCCTGTGTGTGCGCCTCTGTCCCCGCCTCCTGGCTGCCCGAGCCCTGGAGCTGCGGGGGGAAGCTGAGCAAGTCGAGGCCCACGCCGCTGCCTCTGCTCCAGCTAGGATGTGGCTCTTCCACACTCTGCTCTGCATGACCAGTAAGTCAGCCTCACCCCCTGCCCCGAGGGGCTGCACAGCCTGTCCATCTGCGTGTCTCTGGTGGGGCTCAGAGCCTGAGGGCAGGGAAAGTCTGGGGACTCCCCCTGGAAGCCCGTCTTGCTCCGTGGGTCAGACCCCCAGGTAGGAAGGACCTCTGAGGCTCTGTTGGCTGCCGACAGCGTGTGGCTTTGGACTCCAGGGCTCTGCCTCCTGTTCCTCCCGCCAGCTCCCCTCCCCATGCAGGCCCTCTCCCCTGGAACCCACTCCAGGCAGCCCCTCAGGTCTGTGCCAAGCTTGTCCCCAGAGTGTGGAGGCTGGTGCGGCCCACCCGCCCAGCGGAGCCCCCCGGTTTAGCTGACGAGGGTGAGGACCCCGTGCGCAGGTGAGCACTGATGAGAGACCGTGCGGCGAACGCGTGCGGGGAGCCTGCTTCCTGTTCCTGACGTTAGGGCCCCTGAGTGAACCTGTATGGGGGAGGGGACACTCCCTCTCCACTGCCTGAGGTCCCATATGGCCTTTAAAACTCCTCTGGAAGCCCCTTGGGGCAAGCCAAGCCAGGAGCCTGCACCTAGCCGCTAGGCCCCAGGGATGAAAATAAGCGTGGTCAGCGAGCCCCTGGGCACTGCTCAGATCCAGCCTGAGGCGAGGGTGGTCCTGTGTAGTGATCTGGCAGGCTTCCCGGGGGCCTCCTGCGCTGGCCAGGAGCTGGTCAGAAGAATGAGACTGGACATCAGGCAGGTGTAGCTTCAGGGCTGCTGGGAGCCTGAGTTCTCCCCAAGGATGGGTGGGGGCTAGCTAGTGAACGCCAGACAGTGGCTGAGAGCTGAGGCCAGGCTGGGAGGGGGCTCAGAATTAGCACCCACCATGGGGCCAGATCACCCAAGAGGCAGGCCAAACGTGCATGGGGCACGAGCAAAGCATACGTTTTTGGATACCTTTTAATATTTGGTATTTAAAAAACATCAAAATAGTCATCGTGGAAAGATCAAAACTTTGTTGAACTTCCTTTTCCTTATTTTACAGTTTAGACTTCCCTTTACTTTCAGTTACATATGGTGTGTGGAGAAGGTCTCAATGCTTTTTATGGTTTATGGCTTTGATCCCCCATCACCAAGTGTGTCCATACCCTGGTCCACCCCATCCCAGTAGAGAGGAGGTGACTGAGGCCCAGAGAGGGGTAATGACTGGCCAGTTACAAGCAAGTACTAGTAGAAGCGGGGCTCAAGCCCAAGCCTCTGCCTGCCTCCCAGCTCTAGAATACCCCATGGCCTGGGACACTAACCCTGGTGTCACTCTGGTCTCCTGCTTGTCTCTGTCTCCTGTGGCCTCTGGAAAGCCCATCTATCCCCCCAGCACCTTTTTCAGCAATGTCAATCCAGATGACATTTATCAAACCCCTTCTGAGGCTGAGGCCCCCCCCCAGGCTGGCGGACAGCAGAGAGCAAGATGGAGCAGACTTGCAATGAAATCACTTACCCCGCTTGGCTATGCTATGGGCTGGGGGTAAGACCAGGGCCCCAGCAGTGCCAGTCTGAGTGGGAGAAATGAAACTGTGACAGTCCTTCTCCAAGCTGTGAGGTCCTGAGATTTAGGGATGGACCAATCATGAAGAGCTTCCTGGAGGAAGTGAGATTGGCGCTGAGTCTTAAGGGCTGGAGAGAGTCTGAGAAAGTGACAAGGAGATGCCAGGGAGGGTGGAGGAACCCCTCAGACGGTGACCCCACGCCCAGGGCCCTGCATCCTGTGCCTGGCTGCACCTCCCTAGGCTGGAGAGAATCCAAACTGTTCCTGGCCTGACCTTCCACCCTTCCCAAGCACCCACTGTGGTGATGCCCACTTCTCATCAGTGGGAGCAGATGAGATAACATCAGTTGTCTGAGACAGTCAGATGTAGACACAAACACACTGAAACCCTGGAGCTGCCCACCTCGTCCTGCTACCATGCAGCCTGCTGTTCCGAGGTCAGTCTTCACCCTGACTCATTCTGTGACCACAGCCACTCACTTCTCCCCCCAGGGTCTCAGAGGTTGCGTCTACATCGCTCGTGTGAGGAAGGGAACTGTGCTAGTGGCCTGTAAAACCTTACAGTGGTACACGAGCCAGCAGTCCAGGGCCGGCTCTGCTGTTGCACCAACTTCAGGCTGGGGCCTGGGGCCCTGCTGCATCCTGCTGGGGGAGTGGGGAGGTGTCAGACCTGCCTCTGCCCGGGGCACAACCCCAGACCTGAGTGCAAGTGTGTGATGGGAAACCTTGGCCATTGAGGATGGGGGACTGTAGTGTCCATGGTGGCCCTGAGGATGGGGGAGGTGCTTAGCAAGTGCAGACAGGTGGTGCGGGGTGAGAGGGAGGCTTTCTGTGCAGGAGAAACAGTACGGACAGAGACCCGGGTGTGAGGAGTGTGTTTAAGGAGACGCAGGGTGAGGTTTGAGTGGGAACAGAAGGCTGTCTGCTCTGACGCTGCCTGCGCCCCACAACCAGGACACGCTGGGCCCTAGTGGGGAGCAGGCCACACGCACACAATAACCCTGACCCTCTGTCCCCAGCCAGAGGGCCCACTGAGACTTCAGGTGACACACAGGGGATGGGGAAAGGGCATCCCAGGCAGAGGTAAGACAAGCACAGTGTTCGTGGGCCAGCCGGGTGTGGAGAGCGGTCCACGCAGGAGCCAGACGCCTCCGACCTTCTCTGGGAGGCTGGCTTGGGGAGTAGCTGGGGGCCATGCGGGTGGTCAGGGTGCTGGTGGAGAGTGTGGGGGGCCCAGAGTGCCAGGCTGAGGGAGCTCGGGCCACACCCTGAGGGCAGTGGGAAGGCCAGCAGGCCCCTAGCCCGGAGGTGACAATGGGACGTGCCTGTGGTGTAGAAGGCAGAGTCCTGGAGAAAGGGGAGGCAGACAGGCCCGTGAGGAGCCGCTGCTGAGGTCCCATCCAGGGGGGTTGGGGCAGGAGGGCATGGGGAGGGAGAGACACTTACGAGAAATGTTTAGGAGGAAGAAGCACTTTAGCACAGAGCACAACACTGTCTGCTCTAGACCTGTCGGCCATGGTTATTAGGTAGCCTGTGAAGGGGGCCAGGGTGGGGGACCGAGGTATGAGGTTTGGGGCTGAGACGATGAGGCTCAACATGGAAGACCCAGGCGGGTGGGTGGAGCGTGAGCTGCCCCACGGGACAGGCGGCCTGCAGACCTTTCTGGGTGCTCTGGACTGGGCGTCAGGAAGGCTGAATCTAGTCCTAGCTCTATGGCCCGGCTCCTTGTATATGTGCGGGCAAACCATTCCCTGCCCTGCATCCACCCCTCCGGGTTCAGTTTGCTAAACCAAGAACAGTACTGTGAGAATGTGTATTTAAACTGCCTGGTGTGATGGGGGAGATAGGGGGTGGGTGCAGGCAGTGGTGGCTGACAGGATGGAGGGGACTCTGACTCAGCGGGCCTGTGTGGCCGGGACAGCTTGGAGAGGCGGCCCTGTGGGCGCTGTGGTGACAGGCTCCGGTTCAGCCGGGCTCTCACCACTGGCAGCCCAAGAAGGAGCCTTGAGCTGGCGGGCAAGGCTGTCAGAGAACGTGGCAGGCCTCCCTTGTGGTTATAACACTGACATTAGCACCCACATACTGAGCCTGCAAGATGTCAGATGCTGCGCCCGGCCTTGCCCCACTAGTCTGCACGGTCCCACGTCACAGATGGGGAGACTGGGGTGAAGTGACAAGCCCAAGGTCCTTCGGGGACTCCGTGGCAGAGCGAGGATTTGAACTCAGGACTGTCTCCCTCCTGGGCTCATGCTCTCTTCTCTGAGTCGAAGTGGGAAGTGGGAAGAGAGGGGGTCCCCTGATGGAGGCACAGCCCGAGCAGAGGGACCACGGCAGGGGCCTGGGGAAAGTCTGCCCCAGCAAGGCGGCCCACGCCTGGTGGACCCCAGGCACTGGCTGGCTTTATGGGAAAGCTCAGCGGACCCGGTGACACTCCTGAACACACACACACACATAAATATGTTCTCACTGACCTAATTATCAGCTCGATAACCCAGAGCTCTGCCCCAGCTCTGAGCTGCTGGCACGACAGGGAGCCAGGTCTCTGTTTACAGCATACCCCCCCCCCCCCCCCGCAGTGCCTCCAGCTTTTATTAAAGGCTTTAGAAATAGGCAGACCTGGGCCCCAGACACAAATTACAATTTGCTGATGGGCCATGAGCAATCACCTGACCTCTCTGAGCCTCAGCACCAGAGTATGGTACCTGGAAGACAGCAGGTGGTCAAGGAAGGTGGCTGTAATGGTCTCTCTGCTTATCTCCTCCCCTTTCCCACCCCTCAAGAATCTTGCACCAAGATCCCTCCGTTGAACAAAGCAAAATGGGGATGTGGGGGGTGGGGTAGGGGATCAGGAATCTCTGTCCCTCTTTGATGTTTCCAGGACACTTCATCTGGGCCTGGCACTGTGCTGAGCGGGACTCAGTGGTTGGGGTTGTGTCATGGGTGACTCAAATCAGATTACAGTTTTGGGGAGACAGACTTTATCACAGATCACTCCGACCCAGACACGATTTAGTCAGAGCCAGACAGAGACCTCACAGGATGCCGAGGGAGCTCAGGGACCGTTGGGGTACTCTGGCTGAGAATCTGGATTGGCTCCTGGGGCAGGGCCCCAAAGGATGGGGTAGAGGTGGGAGAGTGATGAGGAAGGCATATTGGGCAGAGGGAACCGCTTGTGCAAAGGCCCTGCGGCGGGTGGTATGCAGATGGTGTTCCGGAAGTGGGGTGTTGAGCCAGAGAGCAGAGCTGGCAGAGGGGACACTGGGCTGGGCAGGGAGGTACCATGGATGCCGGGGGAGGAGGCTGGACTTATCACAGGGGTTTCAATTCATGTCTCTTAAGTCACACAGATGGTAAAAAGGGGAAAGAATGCCTTCCAGTCACCCCTTGTAAGAAGTGGGTAGTTCTCCCTTTTTAGTTTTTTTGACCTGCCCCATTATTTTAAAACAAGTTTTATTTTAGCACATGGTGTATTTTT